CGTCTACCCCTGATCGACATAGGTGTTTCCATACTTTTATTTTACTGTATGAAAAATGTCCTCGTATTCCAAACATCTCGCGCCGCAGGCGAAAATTTTGCGAATTTTGGAAGGTCGTTAAGGTCGTTGTACGAAAACACAAACTTTTTGATACAGAATATTATTTTAGAGAAAGATTTGATAAACAAAAAATTTACATGAAAAGGTTCAGCCTGTAAAGTTAAACGTATAGCTACATCTATATCTTCAATATTATCATTTTTATTAATTGGCAATTGTGGACAGAAAAGTCTATAAACAGAAATTTTGCATTCAAAATCTGGTCTTTCTCCAATAATTCCTTCAATATAAGCCCTTCTCCATGTTCTTACTCCATTTGGATTATATATTATACAAACAGCCCCATTCCTCAAACGGCTAATTGGAATTTTCTTTTCAGCATTAAAAATAACAATTAAAGATTTTTCATATTTTGTCTCATTTCTTTTTTAATTTAAAAATTATTTTTTAAATAAAATTTTAAAATTTACATTGTAATATAATCATAATAAAATGATTTAGTTATAAATATATGTATTAAATCAATATTTATATTTATCGTTGTCCACTTATAAATTAAATATCTTCCAAAAACAAAAATATAAAGAATAAATATATAATTAGATGATTTTGTAATTTTATTTAGCAATTGCTTAATTAATCGTTTTTTAAATATCATTGAAAATAAAGCTAAAATAAAATTAAAAATAATTCCAGCAAAGGATTGAAATAAAGTAATTGTTCAGGTAATTAATATCAATCTTTCAGTGTTTGGGTGGGGGGCTATTTGATATCAAAAAATTTTACACAAATACAATCCTCAGCCTTCTATTTTAAGAAAAATATTTAAATTCAAAATCAAATATTCGAAGAAGTTTAATAATTATAAATACTTTTTTAAAATTACCTAAATAAAATGCAACAAATATGGAAGTAAAGATAAAATCTCCGACTAATTTAAATAAAACTTTTCCAAAATTTAAATAAAATGTAGAACGGGAATGTAAATTTTAATTAAATCGTAAGTTATTTTCATTCCGAACACAAAAAAACTAAACAAGAGAACAATTTTTTGAATAATTTTTAAATTAGCATAAAAATTCTGATTAATTTTATTATTTTTTTAATTTCAAAATTAAAATTATTAAAGCGGAAGAAAGATTAAATCATTAATTAGAACAGATTTTTTGTTTCATTTATAAATATAAATGTTCCTTTTTCTAAAAAATGCAACAATTTAATAAAAAATATAAAAAAGAAAGATTTTAAATAGAAATAAATTTATGAACGAGACAAGTCCGAATTGCCAAAATTACAGATATTGGGCAACTAAATCTCCTCCTAACTAAACTTCCTAAATATTTCAAAACCCTTCTTCTTTAATGATATGGACAATTATTTGCAAATTAACTGATTCATTATATCCTTCAATTAAATAATTAAAAAAAAGAGGTGTAGCTAAAACACGTTATAAATTAACACTTAAATGAAGGGATTTTAAGCAAAATCCCCATCCCAAAAATTAATCGACCGATAAGTTTCTAAATATTAGTGGAAATTAAAAAACTGTATCATTTAAATAAATAATAAATATATTTTTACATATTAAATGGATTTGATAAAAAGGAGAATCTTTATCTTGATAGAAAAATAAAAAACTGTTTACATTTATTTATAAATAAATGTTCCTTTTTTTAAAATGCAACATAAAAAAATACAAAAAAGAAGGATTTTAAATAGAAACAAAAATTGTAGTAAAAATATTATTTAGAGAAAATATTATTAATGGTTTTGGGGTTACCGAAACAATGGGTGTTTATTGGATATACCGAATCAAATAATCTTTGTTTTTGCAAAATATATTTTTAAAATTTGTTTTATTTTTGATATAAAAATTGTTAGAATAAATTATTTTAAAAATTTTAAAAAAATAAATTAATATGTACAAATAGGTTCTCTTTTATAATTACTTTCAGTTAATATATTAATTAAAAGATTATCTTTAATTAAATCATCAATTCTTTTCCAAGTATTTTTAACATTAAAACAATTTGCCCTAACTTTTTTAATATTACATTTATGATAATTCCAACATTTACTTTCTGATTTGTCTACTAAAACTTTCATTCCCTTTTAAAAGATTTAGTAAATTTAAAATTAAAATAAAAATACTTGAGAATTAAATCCCAAACATTTATTTAGTTCAACAGTTAAAGCTTCAGATTTGGGTAATTTATTTAATAAACTGGAAAGTTTATAGCGACGAACAAATTTTGCAAAATTTTTCTCCAAAGGATTTGTGTTTAAAATACGTCCATCAAGATTAACATTCTTTAAAATTAAAAATATTTTTGATCAAAATTTTATTAATATTTCAGATTGAAATATTTAAATATAAAATAAATTACTAACAGAATAATCACGAGCATGTATAATATATGCCTGTTTTAGAGGAAGTCTCATTTCTATATAGCCTAAACAGAATATATATTATTATTAAATATTACTATAATTTTAATTTCTACACTACCTAACCAAACCCACATAATCAACTCAAATCCTCTAATATCCTTCTTAATCTCCTTAGTAATAAAATAACTAAAGAAATATGATTTAGGTATTTCTAGTTAAAAATTGGAGGGTTGGAGGCCTCCCTCTTCAGTTGGAGGGCCTCCATTCAAATAGAAAAGCTATCCTTCAAAAATATGTCATTCAATTAGAAGGCCCATCTAATTAGAATAAATACGGTAACCTAAAATTACCATTCTCTACTCTATTAGCCCAATGTAAATCAACTCCATATATTCCTCTATTTGGTTTGTAAATAGCTTTTCCATAAAAATATTGAGTATCTTTTGTGCTGTATTTAATTCCTTTTTTCCAAAATTCTTTTATTTTATGGCCTTTGATATTCATTTCGTCTGAATTTAATTAAAAATATTTTAAATTTAAATATTATATGTATATTTTTTCTTTATCATTTTTTATCATATTATTAAATATGTAAATAATTTTTTTAATAAGTTTAGACTAATTGGATTCTACATTTTACTTTAGAATATTTAAAAAAGGATTCTGTTTTACAAATATTAGTTCTCAATTAAATCTAGTACATTTAACAATTCCCTATTAATTAAACTTCTTAAGGAAATATTAGTTCTTCTTAAGGAAATACATACACTGCGCGTCATAACTATACGTCCACCCAAGATTTTGGGTTTATCACATTAAATCGTGATAAAATTAATTAAAATATATTAGATTGGGATAAGAAGATTCTATTCTTACTAAAACTTAAGTAAGCATTCAAGTATTTATTCAACAAATAGTGATTTTTAAACAATTATGCCAAAACTTGCGCGTCATAACTATACGTCCACTTTTATTTTTGACATTAGGGGTGGTCCGATAAATTTACAAAAATTTCTGTAAACAATAATTGCTCTCTAACAATTAAATATTCCTCTAATAATTATCCAATCATTTTTCTTACAAATTAAACCATCAGGTTCAAAACTTCCTATTTTTCCTTTATGAGTTCGAATTGTTTAGTTAAAGGATAATTGTTTGTGCCTTTATTTTCGAAATATAATTTAGACGTATTAAAATAAAATAAAATTCTTTTTCAAATTAAAATACCTAGAGATTCATGATAACCCATATAACGGTCAATTATAAAAGTATTAACTTTTGGATTTTGTTCAGCAAATTTTTGGAGGATTGGATAATAAGGAATATTATAATTTGGAGTAAAAAAGAAATCATCCCAATCTGGAAAAGCAATAAATTCTGCACTTTCTTTAAATTCGTAAAGACAATCTTGAAAGTTTGTTAATTGATTTTGCCATGAAGTTTCTGAATTTGGATTATAATCTAATTCTGTATTTGTTGAAGGCATCTGAAATTTTGACAAATATTAATTATAATTTTCCTACGCTTTCTAATAGAAAGAGTTTAGCAAAAGTTAAGCCATCGGGCAGGGTTCGAACCTGCGACCTACTCGTAGTTGCTAGGCGTTTTCGCTCACCACATACAGAAGCACTACAGCAGAGCTACCGAGGCATGGACTAATGCTCTCTTTTATCCTAATATTAAGTTAAATATGTATATTGGATTTGGATTATAATCTAATTAGATAATCTTTATTTATTTTTAAATTATACAGATCGAGTCTTTTAACGTTTAATTATAAAACAAAATATACACACCTCCAATGAAGGCCTTATTTGAACCAAACCACTTTTTTCATATACTCTAATCAAATTATAAACTTGAGCTTCTACACTTTGTATATAAACAACTACAAGATCAACTCGATGTAAACGATATAATTCCATTGTTGTTATAAATAAATGCCATTGATCAAAAGCAAAAAGACGGCTTGGACACGCAATAAACTTTTTGGGTTTATTATCGGCTCTTTGCATTTTTATCTAAAAGATTATTAGGTAAATTAATGTTTGCGTCTTGTCATGTTAAATTTTCCTTGTGATGGTTTAGGAAATAGTATACCTTCAGAAGGAAATAAGTGGTCCTAACAGGTTTTCTGCTGCTCTATCCATTCCGATGATCCTTTAATTACACTAGAGTGATTTCGAACAGAAAATTTAATTTGTAATAACCAATCAGGTGCAAAAGTATGGACATAGCGATTTCCATACTTTTGTACATGTCTCCATATTAATCATTTAACACCACAATTTAGCTTGTACTCGTACTTCGTACTTACTCGTGCTTGAGAAAAAAGATAAATTCTAAAATTTTTATGATTTTTTGGAGTCTACAACATTTAGTTTAAATTTAAAGTGTCGTATGCGATAATTTATGAATTTCGGAAGGCTTTTAAGCCATAAATCCTCCTATTCCAAACCTCCACGGGCGAAAATTTTGAGAATTTTGGAAAATCGTCGTACGAATTTTGCTAAGAGCTTGACACAAACTTTTTGATACAAAATATTAATTTAGAGAAGGATTTTGATAATCAAAAAATTTACATGAAAAGGTTCAGCATTTAAAGTTAAACGTATAGCTACATCTATATCTTCAATATTCTCATTTTTATTAATTGGCAATTGTGGACAGAAAAGTCTATAAACAGAAATTTTGCATTCAAAATCTGGTCTTTCTCCAATAATTCCTTCAATATAAGCCCTTCTCCATGTTCTAACTCCATTTGGATTATATATTATACAAACAGCCCCATTCCTCAAACGGCTAATTGGAATTTTCTTTTCAGCATTAAAAATAACAATTAAAGATTTTTCATATTTTGTCTCATTTCTTTTTTAATTTAAAAATTATTTTTTTTAAATTAATTTTTAAAATTTACATTGTAATATAATCATAATAAAAAGATTTTGTTATAAATATATGTATTAAATCATTATTTATATTTATTGTTGTCCATTTAGCACGCATTAATAAACAAAAAATAAAAGAATATAAAATAAAAATATTATTTAATTTTAATAAACGTCTTCTGAAGATCATTTAATTAATTAAAAATCATTACAAAATTAAATAAACGGAGGGGGAACTGTCTTTATTAAATATTTATTTTTTAAATCTAAATCTTTAAATAAGTTTATTTATTTTCTCTCACTAAATTGGATGAATTAATCGAAAATAAATAAATAATTGTTCAATTTTTAAAGACAAAAAAAAGATTTTAATCTCTCCGATATATTCAAAACATGTGTGTATAATTAAAGAAGCATTTTTTTGTGAATTTTGTAAAATATATGTATTAACTTGTTCAATTAATTACTATTTAATTTTGGGAAAAATGTTTAAAAATTAACTAAAACTATTAATTTAATTATTAAAAAAAATTAAATTTTTAAAATTATTTACATATTTTATTTACACGATTAATTTAAAAATAATATTATTTTAGATCAAATTTAAAAATTTTTTATTTTTTTCTTCCACCACCAATTCCACCAAATAAATTAGCAAAATCAATGCCTGTAACATCTTTAAGTGGCATATAATTATCACTCCCTATAGCTACTGGTTTGAGCCAAAAAGCCTGTGGATCTGGTTGTTGTGCAATTACTGCCTAAATTGAAGTTTAAAAATATTTTTACAATGGAGTTCTGACCATTTTCTATGGAGGAAAAGAAATGTACTGAATTTATTTTTGTCAATTTTAGGACATATTTATGGAACTTTATCTCAAAATAAATTTTTTTGGATTTATTTGTTATTTTTTATATAAAATTATCAAAATACTATTAATTAAAAATATTACTCTTTCCCAAAATAAACTAGTAGATAATATTCCAAATGATAAGATAAAAATAATTAACGAGGAAAGGTCTCTGACCATAATTAAATATTTTTTTTTGTTAAATAACTATTAATTTATGATAAAATAAATTAATTTCTTAGAGTTTTATATATAAATAATTTTGTTAAAATATTTAAAGTCTAGACTAATCTAATTAATCAAAAAAAGTTTTTTTTTAAATACCGTATTTCCTAAAATAGTACTCCCGGGAGTACTATTTTTCAACCCTCCTCCAAAGGGGAGTACTATTTAAGGGGGGAGTGCTAATTCAGGGGGGAGTACTATTTTTCAACCTTCCTCACTGATTTATCTTGTGAAAATTTATTTCAAAATTCTAAATGTCTAAATCAATTAGATTTCTTAATTTGAAAAATGCTGGATCCGTACATAGATTTTCAAAAAAATTCCTTTATAATTCGCAAAAAATATCCAAATTATTATAAAATTGAGCACATGGCAGGACATTTAAACACAAGTGACTTAAAATAAGGATTATTGAGGGATATCAAGAAGTATATATCAGTGGATTTGGAGTGGGGATTTAAGCTATAAGGGGATTTAAACAATTAAGAGTGAAGCATGCTTTGGACTAAGGTGGATATCGAAAATTGATACATCACTTTTGTTCTTCCGATATCCCTTCGAATCTTATGATATCCATATTTGGCGTAATATCAAGGGATCAAATTATGTAAGTTGGAGATCAGTGAGTTGGATATCTGAAAATTCTTGAATTAGAGGTATCGAAATAAAATCGTTGGGTTGAGGAGGATTCATGATTCAATTTTATCTTAATCACGCTTAATCAACAAAAAACTACTAATATGACTCATCCGTCATTATTCCCTCAAATTCCTTTATCCGCCTTTAATCCAATGATATCTTTTAACTCGCCTGATCAATTCAGAACCCCTTTTATCACCCGATATCAATACACTTATATCCCTCAAATCCACTTTTATCCAGCCACTTAATCACAATATACCTATCTCCTTAATCCTCAACAAATTTACGGTTCGATTTCGGTTAACAGGAAGTTTCGGTTCGGGTTTTCGGTTCGGTTTCGGTTAACACAGAATTAATTGAAACCGACAACCATAATTAGAGTAAATGAAATAATTTAATGAGTCTTTTATAATTTTTTCAAATATAGGGGAAAAATATTTTAGGGGGGAGTACTATTTTAGGGGGAGTACTAATTCAGGGGGGAGTACTATTTTTCAACCCTCCTCCAAAGGGGAGTATTATTTAAGGGGGGAGTGCTAATTCAGGGGGGAGTACTATTTTAGGAAATACGGTAATTAAATAAAAATTAATTAATCACTCCATTCTATTAATAATTTTTTATTAAATCTGCACAACCAAAGAATTTCTTTTATTTTGACAATACATATACATATTCAAAAAATGGGTAAAAGAGTATTAATTGTGGGACTTTGTTGTTTGGATGTTGTAAGCTATTTAGATAATTTTCCTGTTGAGGATAGTGATAATCGTGTTTTTGATTCGGTAAATTTAATTTTTTGCAATTATTTACATATATAATAAACTTGTTGATGAGTAGGGCTGTGAAAAATATAGAAATCTAAATATATTTAGTTTTTATTCTAAATAGATAGAAGGTTGAACCGCGTAAAAATCCAGATTTATATATTTTATCAATATTTGTCCATTTTTTAGTTCGTGTTCCAATACAATTGAGAAATTTTGTTTTAGTGATTAAAACTATTGTCTTTCAAATTTTTTTATAATTTAGAAAAAATTAAAAATCAAAAAAGAGAAAATTAATATATATTTTTGTAGAGAATTTGTTTAGGTGGAAATGCTACAAATTCAACATTAGTTTTTAATCAATTGTCAAGAAAACGTAATGATATTAATTGCGAATTATTTGCTGCTCTTCCAAATAATAATAAACTTGTTGACGAGTTGCATATTTTTTGATTTAGTTTAAAGAAATTTAAAAATTTTAGATTAATTGAAAAATCGGGTATAAATACTGGAAAAAGTATTAGACGTGTTAATTCTGAATGCCCATTATCTACAGTATTTTTAGAGAAAATATACTCATTTTTAAATTTATAATTATATAAAGGTTATTATAAATAGTAAAAATAATGGTAGCCGAACTATTTTACATTATAGAGGAAATTTAGAAGAAATAACTTTTGAAGAGTTTTATAATGCTTTTGGGCAAGAAATAAAGGATGGTAAACTAGATTGGATACATTTTGAAGGTTTTAACTAGTAAATATTTTATTAAAAACCATCGCATAATTCCATCACATAATTCCCAATTAATATTTTAACAAACAAGCCATAATCGGATTTTTTTAAAGGGGATTATTTTATTTTAAACAAAAGATAATTTCATTTGAAAAACTTTTTTAAAACTAAAAAAATTTTTAAAATTAGCTTAAAAATATAAAATAAAAAACTCAAAGAACGACAGTCAAAGCTCTCTTATTTAATTTTGTATATTTAATTTAAACATTATATTTTTACTTTAAGGTAGAAATTTTAATCAAGTAAAGAAAATGATGGAATTCACGAAAAATGAACGTTTAAAAAATCGTCCATTTATTTCTGTCGAATTAGAAAAAGTACGTCCATTTCCCTGTCTTGAACAATTAATTGAGCCGTCAGATTTAATTTTTGTTTCAAAAGATTTTGCACAATTTAAAGGTAAAAAAAATAAAAAATATTTATAAATTAATTAAATAAAGGCTGGAATGATATGGAGGCCACAATTAATGGAATTCAACAAGAAATGGGAGAATCTTCAAAAATAGTGTTTTGTGCTTGGGGAGAAAAAGTTTTTGCTGTTGATAAAAATTAATTTTAATTTTAAATTAAATTTAAAGGGTGCAGCAGTTAGAGAATCATTTACTAATAAATCTTCAATTAATATTCCTCCTCCAAAATTATATATTCAACCAATATTTCCATCATTACCCCCAATAATAGATACTTTAGGGGCTGGCGATTGTTTTATAGGAACAGCTTTATTTAATTTATGCCAAAATAATAAATCTTTAAAAGAAGTTTTGGCTGAATCTGTCAGAATTGCAGGAATTAAATGTACACGTAAAGGGCTCTTAAATTTGGATGATTTGGCTGAATAAATAAAAGAAAATAAATTGGTGTTTTTCTTTATTTGAAATATTTTTTTGTTTGTTAAATTTTTATTATGTAAAATAAAATCTTTTTACAAAAATAAATACAACCTAATTTTTATTTTTAAAATAATTCTAAAAATTTCCGGGCCGAATGATTAGAAAATTAAAAATTTGAAACCCAGACTCGGGTAAATACAAATAAACAATTCCATTTATTGAAAATTTGAATAAATAAGCTAATAATAATTCCAAAACATATTAACTAAAGGTATTTAAAGCTAAAAATATTATGGAACTAAAATCCAAGAGAAATGGATTTTTAGGAAAAGTTTTTTTGAAGAGATTAATAATAAATTCAATTTAAAATAACTAATTTTTACTAAATATTTTTTTAAAGAAAATTAATTTTAAATAATAATTGATCGTTCTGTGCCTTAAAAAAAGAATGGATTTTTTCTTCCGGAACTTGGCAATGCTTTTAATAAATTTTCTTTTCTTTTAAAAATTCTCACAAAAAATTGTTGAGTGTAAATTTATGTATTGTCTTTATTTTTTTTAGAAAAGAAAAATTATTTTTAAAGTGCTGTCGATGACAATTCTAAAAATTGAGGATGAATTTGAAGTATTTTTTTCTTTTTATAAAATATTTCCTTAAATTTATTTAAAAGTATTTTATAGCCCCTCAGGCGGATTTAATATTTTTATAGAAAATTCATCCAATTTGTTAGTTCTTTTTTTTAATATCTCCTTTATATATTCCCCCTTTTCCTCTCTTGTTTTTTTACTTTTACCTCTTCTCGTTTTATTCATTTAATAAACGGGAAAAAAAGGGGGGAGGCTTACACAAATAACAAATTGATGCGTTCCCGCCTTCCTTATATCCACTTTTAAAACATTTTTTCTACCATTTTGGCCAATAAAAATGGTATTAGATAAAAATAAGTATATCTGTTAAGACTAAAAATTTAACCCTTATATTTCTTTTTTTAAAGACAAAAAAAGGGGGGAGCAAGCAACAAACACAGAAAATATAAACAAGTATTTTTACTACGTCCGTTTTTTGCCACCAAATTCTTTTGTCAAAAATGCCATTTACGCTTTCTTTTTTTGTTCTATACAAATTCTTCCTCTTTTATTTTGTGTGAATAATCTGTCATTTTCCTCCTTCACTTTTTTTAAAAGTCTATTTTTTATTTTTTAATATTTAAAATATTTATTTTGAAAAATTATTTTTTAATTTAAATTTTATTTTTAATTAATTTTAAATATTCAAAAATTCAAAAATTCAGAACTCTTTTGTATTTTTAACTTCACAATTATTTTATATTATTAAAAAAATATTTTCTTTTTTAAAAAATTTTGCTAAACATATTTTTATTTAAATATCAATAATTGTCCATTTTTGCCATTCTTTCCATATTTCTCTAAAAATAATTTTCCAATTTTCGCCCTTGGAAAAATTTTTAGTAAAATTATGTCTTTGTAGACACAAATAATTTTAAATACAATTAAATTTTGTTTGACTTAAATCTTTTGTAAATTATTTTAGTAGAAAAATATATGTATATTCTACTGTGTTTTTGACATTTTATTTTAATTTTCAATAAATTAATTTAAAATTTAATAATTTTTGATTAATATTTTACTAGAATAAGATGACTACAAAATTCTCTTCTTCTTTGTCCTTTCTAATTTTAATAATTATTTGTTATATTTCATTAGCTTTATTACAAAAAACTAAAATAATTACTAAACGATTTTCACCTCTCCCAACAAAAGAAAATATTTTTAATCAAAAAGAAAAATTAAATAATTTTATTTGGCCATTAGAATGTCGACAACAAAAAAGGTTTTGGAAAAGAGAGAAAATCGAATTGAAAATTAAAATTAAAAAAAGTTTTCTTTTTTAAAGATTATTAGGGAAAGATGGAAAAAGTTCCTCTTCTCAATTGGTTGCGGACCAGGGACAATTCCCAGAGGATTTATTTACTATGGACCAGCTACGTAGAGGAGCTGTATTTTTGCATTTATTTGGTAAAAATAAATAAATAAATAAGTATTTTTAAATTAAATAAATTGTTGATAATTTAATTCTAATTTTTTTATTTTGTGATTAAATATAAAATTGGGAAATAAATTTAAAGGATTAGTTTATATGTTTATTGCATTGGCTATTGTTTGCGATGAATTTTTTGTGCCTTCATTAGGTAATAATTAAAAAGGAATTTTATAAGAATTTTGATGAAATTAACAAAATTTTAATTAATTTATAAAGCTGTAATAACTCAAAGATTGGATATTTCTGATGATGTTGCAGGGGCAACATTTATGGCAGCTGGAGGGTCTGCCCCGGAATTTGTTTGTTTTTATTTAAAGAAATAAAATTTAAATTAAATAAATTTAGTTTACTTCTGTTGTTGGAACATTTTTAGCCAAAAATAATGTTGGGATAGGGACTATTGTTGGTTAGTTTTCCCTCTAATGTAAGTAATTATCAATTTATGTTTAATTTTAAAGGAAGTGCAACATTTAATATTTTGTGTGTTCTTGCTTTTTGTACAATTTTCTCTAAAAATTGTTTACAATTAAGTTGGTGGCCTCTTTTTAGGTTTTTTTGAAGAAAAATATTTTTTTTCCAAATTTTAATTTTTAAGGGATGTTTCTTTTTATGTTATTGCTTTAATTATTTTAGTTTTTGCATTTCTTGATGAACAAGTTAATTTTAAAAAAAAATAAATTTTTTAAAAAATATTTTTATTAAAAAAAGATTATTTGGTGGGAAGCAGCATTACTTTTTATTATTTATTTAGCTTATGCTTTATTTATGAAATATAATTCTGTTGTTGAAATTTATATTAAAAATTGTTTTGGATGTTTAACAGAAATAGATAAAGAATTAACACAAATAAAAGAAATTGATTGTGTTGAAAGAATGGAAGTATTGGAAGAGGAAGAAGATGAAGATAATAATAATAGTTATTTAGAGGAAAATAATAAACAATTAGAATCTGCTAAATCTGGTGGTGGTGGAATTGTTGTAATAATTATTTTCTTTTAATTTAAAATTATGTATATACATATATTTTTATATTTGAAAGATTTTCTAGTTTCTAATTTAATGGTGGTGGGGGATATATACATATGGCTGGCTATTTTAGATAGCCAGCCATATAATGAGTTTTTTAAAAGACAATAAATTATATTAAATATAAATCACTTTACCGTGAAAAAAGTTTTTTTGCCTGTTCAAGTGCATTAAGATTTGTTTTAAATAAATTTTTCATAAAAAAATAATAGAAAATGAAGAAAAACAAATATAGGGATGAAAAACTTAGAAAGAAATTCGTATATATGTATAAAATGGAGGTTAAATATATTTTTTACTAATTTTTCTAGACCTCAAAGGAAGTAAATAATATTCCTGTTGAAAAAACGCCAAAATTTGAATGGTGGAGTTGGAGACGTCCATTACCAATTAGCCAATTACATCGTTCAGACACAGTTTGTGCCCACAGAACAATTCAACACCATAATAACACAAATAATCAAAGACGTCGACAATCTTCAATTCCAAATTCTGGCAGTTATAGACGTCAATCTATTCCAATTTTACATTCTGGGGCAATGTTTAGAAATGGAATTATTTCTGTAAAAAGAGAGGGAAATTTTAATTTTAAATTCTAAATTTGTAGTTAATGTCTCAAACACTTGATCCAGTAATTGAAAATCGCGATCAGAATATAGTAGAAAATGAAAATAAAAATAAATTAGAATCACTCAGAGGAGGAAATAATTTAGAGGTAAAAATAATTTTTTAATTAAAAAAATTAAATTAAAATCTCAGCAACAATCAATTCTAAAACGACCAAATTCTGATTTAAATAGAAATTATCCAACTGCAAATACAGCAATTAGAAGATCTTTAGTTGATACAAATGGAGATATAATTATTGGTAGTTTAAGTAGTAATCGTTGTTCGCCTAGAGTTGATTTTGAAGAAATTGTTTGTTTGATTTTTGTTTGTTGTTTTTTTCTAAAAATATACTTTTAATAGAAATCTGTATTGGAAGAAGAGGCAGATAGACCCTTAGATATGAGTTGGCCGGCACTTTGGCATAAACAAATACTTTACGTGTTTTTAGCCCCAATACTTTTCCCTTTATGGTTAACAATGGCTGATGTTCGAAAACCTGTAAAAATTTTATAAAAAATTTTTATTAAAATAAATTTAAAGGAAAAACAAAAATATTTTGCAATTACATTTTCTTTGTCTGTCCTTTGGATTGCTTTTTTCTCTTATTTAATGGTTTGGTTAGCTAATACAATTGGTCTTACACTTGGAATTTCTACAGAAGTAAATAAATAAATAAATTTAACTATATTTTTTTAGGTTTTGGGATTAACAATTCTCGCTGCTGGTACTTCTATACCTGATTTAATTACTAGGTTAATATTTAAATTTTAATTTATAATTAAATTGTTTCCTAGTGTTATTGTTGCTCGGAAAGGACTTGGAGGTATTTTTAAAAAAATATTTTAACTAGGGCAGCAACTCGCCCCCTTTGGGGGCGAGTGTGTCGAAAATCTAAGTTTGCCGGGGAGGGCATTTTGGGGTCGGGGTTCGGGTTGCTACCCTAATTTTAACATTTAAAGATATGGCTGTTTCAAGTTCTGTTGGTTCTAACATTTTTGATGTTTGTGTAGGGTATGATTAATATTTTAATTAAATAATTATTTATTTAATAGATTACCAATACCTTGGCTTATTTACTTTCTTTGGCAATTAGTAATTAATTTAATTTAAATTAATTAAATCAATTTATTTAAAAAAGATATCTAATTTTACTTTTTCAAATGCCAATCAAAATTATTTGTCTGTACAAGTTTCCAGTAATGGATTAGTTTGTAGTGTTGGAATGCTATTTTTAATGTTAATTGTGCTTGTATTGTCTGTTGGTTTTTGTAATTGGAGAATGAATAAATTATTTGGGGGAACGATGATTATTGCTTATTTAATTTTTTGTGCTCTCTCAATTGCTTTGGAAATTGGTGGAATTTCTTGTCCTTTAAGGCTTTGCCAAAATTATTAAAAATTTAAAAATTGATCTCTTTTATTGTATATTTTTATAGTTAATTTAAATAAATAAATAAAGATTTTTTGTTTACTTTAATTTGTAATTTTTTAGATTAAAAAATATTAAAAAAAATTTAGAAAAATACAGGTAGAGTAGAAGAATTTGATGAAAATTGGGTCTAGGTCTATTGCTTTAATTAAAAGAAATCCCGAAAAATACACTTCTCTGTGTGGCCAAAAGTGCAAAAATAAAGTTGTTTATTTTCACATTATTTTTTTATAATTTCCGTTTTTAATTTTTGTTTATTATATAAAGTGCAATTGATTAATTATTTCTTAAATATTATTTTCGAAATCCTCATTGTTATTTAAAATAAACTTTATTTTAAATATTTATTATTCAAAAAATGTTTTTAACTAAAAGATTTAATATTTTAATTATTTTATTTTTAATTTATTGTAAGTCGTTATTTATTTAAATAAAAACAATAAATTTAAATTAATTTAGTAATGTTAATTTTGGTTAATATGAAGGACAATAATAAAAAATTAAATAATTTAATTAATGTCAGAACTTCAATTTCAACACTTGTTTGGTCTTCTGTTGCCCATTTTGGGTTTATTTAATTATTTAATATTTTTTTGTTTATGTTCTCTTTTAGTCCTTCACAAAATAATATAAATATGGAAATATTTTCAAAAAATTTGAAGAAAATATTTAAACAAAAATATTTAAAGCAAATAATTAAAGAAAAACAAAAAACATCAAAAATTCCAGATTTTTATTTAAAATTTTCTGAAACAATTTTTTATTTATAAATTTTTCAAATGAAGCAAAGGATTGTTGTGAAGGTTTAATTGAAAAAATTGGAAATATGTTAAATAATGATGGTGATGGTGATACTAGACATATACAAAATATTTTGGATAAAACAAATATTCGTTTAATAAATAAATTAAATAAATGGGAAAGTTGTCTTGAAAGGTACCATTATTTTAAATGAAAAATTAATTTTCGTGGTGATGATAGATTTTTTTTGATAAATTCTAGAAATTTATTATAAAAATTGTGACAAAAATTCCCTTAAAAGATTTCATTCTATTTAGAAAATGAGAGCGTAAGTGAATATTAGGGTTGAACTCCGTCCATGAAAGTTACATATAAATTGTAAATATATTTTAAATAATTAAGTTCTCAGGAAGAAGAAAGAGATAATGAAATAACGTTTAATAATAATATTAATTTAAATGAAGGCAAACCAAACTTCCATTTATTACTTTTCTATCATTTTTTTATTTTTGAATTAATTAAATATTTAACACCCCCATTATCTGAAACAAAAATTTTAATTGAAAATATGGGAGAATCTTCTTCTTCGGCATCTTCAATTTGGTCACAAATTGGACGAAAATTTACACATAGTGCAACAAAAAAAGAAAATCTTTTAAATTCAACTTTTAATAATTTAATTGTTGAATGGCTTAGTGAAGGGGTTTTGGCAAAATTGGAAACAAAATTAATTTTGCCAATAATTGAATGTGATAAATTGGAAATAGCTAAATTTGGTATTAGACTTGCTTTTCGACCTTTGAAAAAAATAACAGAAGCAAAACATTGGTGGACTTATATTTTGGATCCAAGTTTTTCAATAGCAAATATGGATGACAGTGGAGAAAGTTGGTTAAATAATAAAGAATGGGAAGAGCAATTAACTAAAAGGTTATAAAAATAAAATAAATGTAAATAAAATATTTTTTAGTTTACCAAAATATATTTCCAAATTGTCAAATAAAATGATTGAAAGTGCAGAAAGTATTGTTAGTTCAATTATAGAAGAATTATCTTTACTGGAGGGATCATCTACAGTTAAATCTCAATTATTTTTAATTTTTGAAACAGTAGAAAATGATATGAGATCGGATAAATTTATACAAATATTAAAAAATCTTTCAGAAATAAATAAAAGAGAAGTTAAAGTTTAGTAAATAGCTAATTTTTTATTTAAAATGTTTTTTTCAGATATTATTTTTTTATATAAAATATTTTCAAAAAATTAAAGAACATATTCTTTTAAATAATGTTGAGATAGGAGAAATAAATAACAGTAGAAGAAGAGGAGGAGGAGGGATAGAATCAGTTCAATCATCTCCAATTATTGCCCAATTCACAACAAATAAAGAAAAAAATTATTTTATAAAAAATAAATTAATTGACTGGCTATTTATTTTGGAAGAATATTTAGTGTTAATTGATCCCAAATGGAGTCTTGCTGAATTAGAAAATAAAATTAATAAAAATAATAATTCTTTATCAGAATTATTTCCTCTTTTAAATCTGGGACTTTTTTATAAATGGCAGAATGGGCAACCTTTGGCAACAATTAAATTGTTATCTTTAAAAGAACGCCGTCCTCTACTTCGTTTAATTAATTCTTCAACCTTTAATAGAGCAATGCTTTTAATTTATTCTGCTATATCCCCATTCCTTGTGCAGATTAATACCATTAAGAAATTGGAATTGGCATGTGATGTTAGAGCAGTAAGATCATCAATTGCTATACAAGTAAAGTTTCTGTGATTTAGTTATTGGCTATGTTTATGGGTTGTTATAATATTTGATATTGTTTTTAAATAGGATAGCTTATGTATGTCCTTGTAATGGGGGTATTCTAAAACTAATTAGATTATTACTTTACCTACATACCTAAACAAAAAATTTATTTAAATTATAAAAAATTAATTTTTTTAGGAAAAAATGTTTTTAGAATGTATTAAAAACATAGAGAAAGGAGAGGTTTTTCGAGAAATTCTTTACAATAATTCTGATGGTACAGAACAAATAATGATTTCAAAAATTCAAAAAGAAATAGCCCAATGGGATGATCGTAACCAAAATAAAGGAATTAAACAATTACTAAATATTATTTTAAATGTCCAAATAGATTTTGAATTAATATATAAAGAATTAATTAAAAGTTTTGTTTGGAAAAGAGGAGAATTACAAAAAGTTTTGATAATATTTATTTTAAGTAGATTATTTTATTATACCGAAAAAAATATTTTAAAACAAGAGAATAATATTTTGGGAATTTTTGTAAGAGAAAAATTAATTGGAATTAATAAAGATATTGTAATTGAAGAAAATAATAATGATTATGCAGGAACTAGTAGCACTCGTACATCAACATCATTGTCTGGACCTCCACGTTCTTGTAATTTATTATAATATTAACATTTTTATCTTAAAATAAAAATAAAAAAGAATAACCTTTTAATGAATAAATTTACTACATTCATTTAAAAAATTTTCTTAAATTTTATTAAATTTAAAAATAATTTAGCAACAAGTACTGATATCCAACAAACACCGCAAAGAGAGAATGAACAACGAAGAAGCCTTCTTGATATTGTATTAAATGGAAGTTTAGAAGATCAAAAATTTAAAAAGAAGTTTTTGTCTAATTTATTTTTAAGTAATAATATTTATGAAAAATTTGAAGAATTGGAGAATACTAAGCAAGGAGAAAGTAAATTATTTAAAATGTTTTTAATGAATAAAGAAGAAAATGATGATTAAATTAATCTTTTTTATGTTTTTTTGTAAAAAATAAATTAATAATTAATTTTTTAATTATTTTAATTAAAATTAAAATAATTAAAATAATTATAATTAAAATAAAAAATAAAATATCTAAACATAAATATTCTATTAATGAAAGGTTAACAGTTTCTGGAATCATTTCTTTTAAAGGGCCATTAGAAATAACAAATTCTGTCCATTTAATTATAGCTTCTTCTGGTCTATTTGGTTTTTGATTGTGAAGATTAGATAAACGTTGAGAATTTTGTTTGTAATAACTGTTTAATAAAAAGAGTTTAATTTAAAAATTAATTTTTATTAACCTTATATTAATTAACATTTCATTAATTTTTTCTTTAATTTTTTCTAAATTTAATAAATCTTTTCTAATTAATATCCTTCCATTTCCTCTATATTCAGCACATTTAGAATTCCTTAATTGATCAAAGAAAAGAGGAATAATTAAAACAGGAACACCTCTAATTGTACTTTCAATTAAAGAATTATATCCTCCATGCGTTATAAATAATCTAATTTTTGGATGTCCTTTTAAATTTAAAGATATATAAAAAACTCTCTCTTTTTTAGTTACATACCAAGTAAATCAGATTGTGGAAACCATTCAAACTAGAAAAAATTAAATAAATTTATTTATTTTTTAAATATTTTTTAATTTTAACCAAATGTATGTTTGGCATATTTTTTGTATATTCTTGAGTAAATTTATCTGCAGCACTTATTTTAACAATAAAAGAATATTCCTCAAAATAAGAGAAGGCTTTAAGAATATTTTGCCATTTTTCTTTATTAAGAGATTTAGTATCAGTTATACTTCCCATTGAAAAAATAATTGTTCCTTTTTTGCCCGATTCAATAGCCTTAACAATTTTAATACCCAATTTATTTATTGAATAATTAGCAGGCTTTATTCCCAATCCGCCAATCGAAATAACCTAAAAAATAATAATGAAGGGTATTTCTTCTACCTTTTTTTCTCTAAAGAAAAAAACCTTCGGCAGTGTAGGCAATGCAGGATCAAGAAATTCATCATTATAAACAAAAGCTAAATCAACTTGTGACAAAACTTTATCTAATGAAGGAAAATTTGGAGAAATATATGATCGAAATAGTTCATTTTCCTTAAAAATTTTTAAAAGAATTTTTGGAATTTTTAGCAAAACTTTTCTCAATGTTTGCATAAAAGAATACCAACTCAAAGCAAATTGCCAAATATTTGTTGCTCTTTCCATCATATTCATTTTTGGACCTAACATTGTTGTTTCTTGTAATAGAGGAGAAATGCTTAGAGGTAATGGAATACCTAAATAAATAATAAAGAAGGAAGAACAAATAATTATTTTTTTACCTAAAAACCAAAGAGGTCCTTCAGGTAAAGGTCCAGTACTAATCCAAATTTGTTTTTCAATTCCCAAATATTTAATAATTCCTTGAAGGCAATAATCTATCATATTTGAAAAAGCCAAATCAAAATTAGAATTTTTAAGTATTTCAAGTTCATCCTTTTTCTTTAAAATTGCTAGAAAAAATATCAATTTTTAAATAATTAAATATAAAATTAATTTTCCACCAACATTCACAGTAAATAACCATTCCTTCATCTTCTGAACGCCTTGCAGAATAGGAAGATATTTCTTCATTAAATGCATCAAAATTAGTTATTTGTTCAATAACATTAAAAAGTCCTTTCATTCTAATTATTTTCTGTGCAAATTTTGTTCCAGTTTCCTCAATATTATCCATTTCTGGTATAAAAACTGTCTTAATAATATTTATAAATTAATTTAAAAAAAATAATATTTTGAGTAAATTAAAATAAAATTCTCATTTAGTAAATATTTCCCCAATTTAATTACCCAAGTTTAAAAGCAATTATTATTATTAAATTCTTCCAATTTATTAAATTCTTCTAATTTATTAAAAATTTGACAATGTCCAAATCGACAAAGAAAAGACAAAAATCACTAGAAAGTTCTGAGGATGAAGGCAATATAATAGAACAAAGAATAGATCGATTGGATAAATTAGTAGAGCAATTAACAACAAAAATTTCTAATATTGTTACTCCCTTGACAACATCAAATAAAAAAAATAATACTAATGAAATTGTATTGACACGTATTGAAAAAATTGAAGAAAAAATATTAAAAATTGAAGAAATTTTAACACGTATTGACAATAATAACAACAACACAACTTCCCAACCATCATGGGGTTCGCCTATTTCTGCCCTAAGTCCTCCACCTGACCTTGTTATGAAACTAATATCTTCAGCAGCATCTAATGGGGATCTTCTCAAGCAAAAATCATGTAGAGCTGTTCTAGAAAAACTACCTGAATCTATGGATGAGAAGGAAGTGGTAGGAAAAATTATTGATTCTATTGGACTTACTAATGAATATTTGCCAGAACATACACACCGTCACCCACAAAACAAAAATATGTCTAGCGAAATAAACAAAAAACCAAAATTAATTAAAATTTCTTTTAAAAACTCTATTTCGCGTGACAAATTTTTGTATTCTTTTAGAAACACTTTGCGTAAAATACATTCCCTTCCCCAAAATCTTACTGTTCGAAGGGATATGATCCCGGCCGAATTAGCAATATTATATTCACAACGGTCTAAAGCATATTCACTTAATGCTTCATGCAAACTTTTTAAATATTATGTAGTTGACCTACAAATAAGGGAGTTACGCGAACCTAAACCTCTCAATACTAAATAGGATAAATTGAGTAAACCCCGAAAGTCAAAAAATTCTAACATTGATATAGATATAAAAAATTTAACATGCCTTTGCTTTAACAGCAGATCACTAAATAATAAAGTGCCTGATTTGCAACATTTTCTTGAAATACATAACCCTAGCATTTGTATGATTACCGAAAGCTGGCTTACTCAATCTAATTGTATAAAAACAGATTTTTCAATGGGTGATAAATATCAGTGTTACTTTGCAAATCGTCCAAATAAAAGGGGAGGTGGCTGTTGTCTTTTAATTTTATCAACTATACCTGTCAAACTTTTGTTCTGTGGGACAAAATTTGGTTGCGAAATTATTATTATTGAGATTCTAATTACCAAACCTACTATTGTTATTACTTTATATAGACCCCCATCACTTAATCAATCTAGTACTAATAAAATACTTAAATATATTGCTGACTTAAACCATAAAAACTTAATAATAGCTGGTGATTTTAATATTAACACAATAAACTGGTTAACAAACTCTTGTTCAAACGATAATACTACACAAATATTTATTGAATTTGTTAATCGCACCCAAATTAAACAACATGTTACATCACCTACTCGCGGCGATAATATCTTAGATCTTGTATTTTCGAGACCCCATGACTTAGTTAGAAATTTAGAGATCACTGAAAATTTTTCAACATCTGATCACAAATCCTTAAAGTTCAATCTTTCCTTATGCACTATGCGTATTCCAAAAAAGAAGATATATATAAGAAAAGTAACAGAAAAAGGTTTCTCCAAGTTAAACATAGAGCTAACACAACTTGATTTTATAAAATATATGTCTGACAAATATGCAATCAATGAAAAATATAATTCTTTTACTGAAATACTATATTTTTATTATGATAAATTCATACCACTTAGGACTATAAATACCATAATTAAAAACGAATATCCACAAAAAATCCGATCTCTGAATCAAGAAAAACTAAAATTACACAAAACCTTGAAGGAATCTCCTAATTCTAATCTAGCAACAAAATATAAAATTATCTCACGACAACTTAAAATTCAATTACAAAAATTTCATTATAATAAGGAGAACACCATTATATCAAAAGGTGCAAATGCAATTCACAAATTTATTAAAAAGAAACTTAAAACAAACGCATGTATTGACGCATTAATAGATAAAAAAGGAAATATACTTACAAAAGATCAGGAAAAATGTGAGTTACTTGCAGAAAGTTTTCAAAGTAACTTCACTGATAAAGAAACTCAAAGTCAAGAATTTATTGACGTCTACTCTCAAAATCCTAACTCTAATTCACAAAATCTTATCAAAGATATAAACTTTGATATTCTGCAAATTCTAGATTTACTTAAAAGACTTCCAAATAGAAATTCAACATCACCAGATCAAATACCCTATATATTATTAAAGAGATCGTGTGATCAAATCGCACAATATATTACAGAAATCTTTAGACTAATATTAGATAGTAAAAATATACCCGACATTTGGAAAACATCAATTATAGTACCTATACATAAAAAAGGAATAACAACAGATCCAGAAAATTATAGGCCAATTTCCCTAACTTGTACATTATGTAGAGTTTTTGAAAGAATCATAGCTAATAATATTATAGAATTTTTACATAATAAGGATTTTTTTGATAAAAATCAATTTGGTTTCCTCAAATCAAGATCTACTACTACACAACTTCTAACAATGTTAGAAGATTTTTACAATGCAGTAGGTAACAATCAGAATATAGATGTAATTTATATCGACTTAAAAAAAGCTTTTGACACAGTTCCAATAAATTTATTACTTACAAAAGTTAAAAATGCTGGTATATCTGGAAAAATTTTTGAATTCATAAAGCATTTTGTAACAGGACGATCCTACCGTGTAAAAATAAATGACTCGTTTTCAAGATCTTTTCATACATATTCAGGTGTTCCCCAGGGCAGTGTTTTGGGACCTATTTTATTCACAATCTTTATTAATGATTTCCCTGTCAACCTTCCAAAAGAAATAGGCTATAAAATATATGCAGATGATATAAAGCTTTATATTTCACATAATAATGATTCTAATATTAATTATCTTAATGAATCAATAACAATATTACAAAATTGGGTTATATCAAACTTTTTAGAAATATCAATTAAGAAATGTGTAATACTTTATATAGGAAAAGGAAACCTTAAACAGGAATATAAAATATTTAATCAAACATTAAACACATCAGATTGCGTACGAGACTTAGGTATCCTAATTGATAACAACTTAAAATTTAACAAACATATTGATAAAATAGTTAAAAATTCATACTTTATAACTTATCAAATACTAAGAATATTAAAAAACTTGAATATGCCACTGAAATTTGGAACCCAAACAGAATTCTTCAAATTAATAAAATAGAGCGAGTACAAAAATATTTTACAAGAAGAGCATTAAAAATCACAGGAATAACGCCACTACCTTATGAACAAAGACTTAACAAATTCAAACTAAAACAACTAAGCCATCGAAGAAAAGTAGCCGATCTTGTAATGGCGCACAAAATTATTTCAAAACAGACGCATCTAGACCTACAAAAATACTTTGATTTTGCAGTAAAAGCTAAAAGGAAAATATTTTGTTTAAGGAACAAAAAGTTTAACGGTAAAACTAGAAATAATTTTTTTAATAGAATCATAAATAACTGGAATAGCTTACCTAATGAAATTTTACAAACATATAATTCGCAAAAATTTAGAGTACTTGTTAATAACTTTATAAAATAGAGGTTTTAGTTCGCAACTCCCTTATCCTCCTAGATTGACATTTTTTTATAAATTTATTATGACATTTTCTTATAGTATTTTAAAAATTTATTTTTTATTTTACCACTATAATTGTACTTTTTTATGTACTTTGTGGTTTACTCAATAAATTAAATTAAATTAAATTAAATTAAATTTAAATAATTGTTTTTTTAAAAACTACTAACAACATTATGTCCAGCATTAACCAATAAATCAGCTAAATGTCCCATTTTATATATAAGACTTAAAGAAAGAGCTGGACTTATAACAAGAATATTAGCTTCCTCAGATTTTTTAATAAAAATAAAAAATAAACATTTAATTAATAAAATAAATTTAATATTTTTGTTAAACATTTTTTAAAATAAAAATATAATTTTTAATAAATACCTAATAAATAATAATTAAGAATATTAAATTTAGATAGTCTTATCAGTATACTTAATTTCTAAAATAATTATTGCTTATCAAAAAAATAATAAAAGATAAAATTATTAATTAATAAAGAAATATTGTTAATCCAATTAAAAAAAAATTTTTATAAATATTAATTAACAATTAATATTATAAATAATATTTTCAATTAATATTACTAAATACATATACTTTCTGTCATTTTAAATTATTATATTTTTGCTTAAATTTAAATCTCTTCTCTTCTTTAAATATTTTTACAATTTTCTAAGATAATATTTTTAAATTTAAATTTTTATTTTCAAGCATTGCGTCATATAAAAAATGAAATCAACAAATAAATATTTTTTGATCAATTTGTGCAGCTGCTAGAATTTGTAAATGTACAAGTATTTCAAACTTTTTTCGTAGCTGAAGCAGAAAATGAATGAAAGAAGAATTTACACAATTGGTCCGTGATATTTATTTTTATTTACTAAATAAATATATTGGACCTGCAACAAACAAATGTTCTCTTTTTTTCTTTTCAGTTGGAAAGATGTTTAATAAAAAGGAAATTTTGGATATAAATGAAAAAGAAAGAGGCATTTCTCGATTCGATTTTGCAAAAATATTAAATACCTACATATAACGATTCTTTATTTCTACTTAATCTGGAATAAAATTATTGGGTAAATGTAAATGTTTCAGTGATTCTGTCGACATTGAAAAATAAATTACTGAATTTCGGGAATCGGGACGGCAGAATTTCTTATATGTTTATAACCAATATTTTTATTTACTAAAAAAAAACAGCTTTATATATACCTCCATTTTACGTGTAATTTTTAAATTCGGCTCAAACCTCAAATTTAACCCTGAATTTTAAATAGATTTTGATGAATATGTATATTTTATTTAAACACTTTATTTTAAATACTTTATTTAATTCTTAATTTTTTAAAATTATTCCAACAAAATTAGGTGTAATACAAATTATTAAAGTAAAAAGGATCAGCCGCCATTAATATATATTGGTCTAAGATTTGGCTTAAAATTATATTTTGCTTCCAAAATTTTTTTCCAATTATTCGATTATTTCTTTTCTTTCTCTATAATCTTTAACTAAAAATATATATATAATCAACCAAAAAGACAATTTTTGCACTCAATCTCCCCTCTCTGAATATATATTTATTTATATCAACCTTCCAAAATCAAAATCCATTAGGGCCATCTGTTGCAGCCGTTTCTTCTTCTTTACTTCCCTTAAATCTCTATATAAAACGTTTGTCAATCCATCTTCGGTTTCTTCCAGAGCTTCAGGCCATTCAAATACTTTTTCTCTTTTTGTATATTTGTGAGTCATCATTCCCGCCATATCCCCCCTTCATTGAGCAGGCACATTTTAGTTAGTTAACTAAATATTAGAGAATACTTTTGCTCATCTTCTTTTGATTGAAACAATGACGTTTGGACAATCTTTTCTATTGTTGCTGATTTTTGAATTTTGCTCATTGATTAAGAATTTAATTTTTATTTATTTTACATATAAATATTTATTTTTAATATAACTTTCAACATATTGTCTATTGGAAATTATAGCGGTCCGATATTGAGCAGATCCGATACCTAGAGACCGATATATTTAGGCCCCTGAAAATTGAAAAAGAGGAGGGGAGTAAGCTCATTTTGGGGTGAAAAATTCGAATATTCAAATGATAGCTTATTCGGAAGAGCTCCTCGAGCTGAGTCGAGTGACACCAAAATTATCGCGATCTAGCAAGAGTGGGCAGAATTACTTTCGCTTGTTTAAGCTCCTTACCTATTGTTTAAATAGAGGTTATTGTTGCTGGTGTGCTAACCCCCGTGGCCGCACTAAAAGTTATTCGACCATAAATTTAATTGCTCGTAACTTTGTTAAGAATCATCGAATCGACCAAATTTTGATGTCATTCGACTCAGCTCGAGGAGCTCTTTCGTATGATTTATCATTTCCATGAATTTTTTACCAAAGAGTGAGCTTAATCTCCCTTCTCTTTTCCAATTTTCACAAGTCCGAAACTCGATCCCGGACACAAACTCGATCTCGAATGATACCTCATTCTACCAAATCAGTCAAGAAGTCACAAAAGCCATTTTATTTTTCAATTTTCATTTATTTTTCACTATATAATATCGTCAAATAAAATGCATTTTTAAGACAATACAGTTAAATATGTATATTATTTATATTTTTAATAGTTTAGGTATATGTATCTTAATAATTAAATTTTATACAATTCTATTAAATTCTCACGAGAATTTATTACAATAAAAAATAAAAAATTAAAATTAATAAAAAATTAACGAAAATTCTTTAAAATGTAGTATACTTTTAGCTTAATTTTATATGTTTGACAAATTAGGATCTTTTTAAGAATTATCAATGAAATCAACTTAAAGTTGAATCTCTCTTTACTAATTAAAAAAATATTTAATATAAATTAACGTAATTTCTAACCAAAATTTATAGTCATTTTATTAAATAAACATAAGAATACAAAATTATTTTTATAGCTTTAACACATTTTAAATCAAATTTTTGCCCAAAAATAGGCAAAAATTAGCTGCGCAAATCATGGGCCAGCTCAGGAGAATATCTGGCAGTCATGGACCTAAGAAAAAATCGACATTTAAAAGCAAATTAACGAGGAATACAGGAATAGATACAATAACAAATATCCCTATTAGATTATCTATTTGGTAAGTTAAAGAATATTTTGTGAAAAAATTAGTTTTTGAGGCCACTATTATTGGTAACATCTGTAACATTCTTGACCGGTTTAACATTTGTTGAAACGGTAAATTAAATTTAAAAAATTTTAATAAATTCATCATATAATTTAAGCAAAATGCATGCAGAGATTGTACACAACGTGGATGTTTTTGTGTTGGAGAAAAGGGGGGGATGGGCCCTCCAGGACCGCAAGGACCGCCAGGACTAGCTGGAAGTAGAGGATTTCCTGGCCCGGAAGGATTGCAAGGACCAAAAGGCCAGAAAGGCGCACAAGGTCCACCTGGACCGCCTGGACTGAAAGGAGATAGAGGACCTATTGGCGTACCTGGATTTTCTGGCAACGATGGAAATCCTGGAAGAGTGAAGCTAATTTTCGGAACCGTTTAAAAATTTAATTTATTTAGCCTGGAGAAACTGGTCCACCAGGACCACCCGGATGGGATGGTTGTAATGGAACTGATGGTCTTCCTGGTCTGCCTGGAATGCCGGGACCACCTGGGTTGCCTGGATTTCCTGGAACAGCTGGTCTAGATGGACCAAAAGGAGAGCCAGCCATTGGATATGCTGGTGCGCCAGGAGAAAAAGTTAAAAGAGAATTTAATTAAAATCACTTATAAAATATTAAGGGAGATAGCGGTGTTCCTGGTGTACCTGGACTTTCTGGCCCGCCAGGTAGAGATGGATATCCTGGTGAAAAAGGAGATAGAGGAGATATTGGACCAGCAGTGAGTGAAAAAATTAGATTAAAAAATTAATTATTAATTTTAATATTAAAAAATAAAATTAAAAAGTATATATTCAATTTTTTTAAATAAAAATTTTTCATAAGGGCCCGCGTGGTCCCCCTGGTGAGGTTGGACTGCCTGGTAACCCAGGAATTGGAAGTATTGGTCCAAAAGGAGATGAGGTAATTGTTATTTATATTTTAAAATATTTTAATAATTGTTAAAATTAAATAATAGATTCATTTTTAATTCAATCAAACTTGTTTATGTAATACTCAGTATTAATTAAAAAAAACAAAAAGTACATATTTTTCTATAAGTTTATTGAATTACCTCAAAATTAAAAAATTTTAAATTAACTTTCAATTAAATTGTTGAATTCTTACAGGGTGATTTAGGACTGCCTGGTCCTCCTGGACCACCAGGTCCAAGTGAATTCACGGGTCAGGCTGCAATTATTGGTCCAACTGGTTTTCCGGGAGAGAAAGGTGGAAAGGCGAGTTAATATTTTTGTTTTCAGGAAGATAAAGCTTAGTAAATAGTAGTTTAGTTAGTTAATTAGTATTTGCTTTATTCAAAATAATTATTACTTAATCAAATACTAAAAAATTTTAATAAATCTAATATTTAAAAAATTCTTTTTATTAACCAATTATTTGTTTTTTGATATCAATATATATGTATACATATGGAAATAGAAAGCGTAGATAGAATCATATTATAGAGTTAATAGAGAGTAATTATTACTTGACAAAAATGTTTTGTAGTTTTTAAATGTATTTAAATAATTTAATTTAAAAAATTTTAATAATTTATGAGGATTAAAAGACATTTTTGTCAATAGTTATGTTTGATTACTATTATTATTATTACTTTTTAATTAAAGGGAGAACCAGGAGAACCGGGACCAAGAGGATATCCTGGCCAAGCAGGATTACCAGGCCAGCCTGGATTGTCAGGAATTAAAGGAGAAAAAGGATTGCCTGGCCCTGCTGGTCCTAGAGTAAGTTTTTAATAATTTTCAATAAATGCTATATTTTAAAATTATTTTTGAAATTGAAAAAGTGCCTGATCAAAATTTTTGTATTATTTAAAATCTATTAAGGGAAAAGAAGGCCGACCAGGACATCCAGGCCCACCTGGTCTTAAAGGCGACCGTGGTGTTGACGGTATTTCCGGTGTACCTGGCCCACTAGGCCAGAAAGGAGAACAAGGATATCAAGGAAGGGATGGAACTAAAGGTATAATACTAATACTTGTTATTTCCTTCAAATAAATATTTCTAAGGAGAAAGAGGCCCTCCTGGCCCACCTGGTGGTGGGGAATTCTCTGATGGACCGCCTGGACCACCTGGCTTGCCTGGTAACTTTATAATTAATTCTATATACCTATATTTGTGAGTTAAATAAGTGGAAAAATGTCATTTATGGGGGAGGTAAATTTTGATAAAATTTATATAGCATACTTTTATTTGGAAACTTTTACTGTTTACCTTTAAATTTTCATCTTTGTACTTGAACTATACTTATTGTCAATTCCTGCACTATATCTCTAATTATTTAAATTATGTTTGTACAGGTCGTCCCGGTCAACCAGGCCTGCCAGGAAATGACGGTTATACAGGCCCGCCAGGTCCACCCGGACCACAAGGATTACCTGGAGGCGTCGGAGTGCCAGGAGTGAGTAATTAATTATAAATTAAAATTAAATTATCTTTTTTAGTTGCCTGGTTTTGAGGGCGCTCCGGGAATTAAAGGAGAGAAGGGAGATTCTGGAATTCCCGGAGCTCCAGGCATTGCTGGACCGCCCGGTTTGCCTGGATTATTAGGACCGAAAGGAGAACCTGGTCCAAGAGGTAATAATTTTAAATAAATGGGAAAATTTATATGCTTCAAAAACATTGAAAATATGCATGATAGTGAAAATATTATCATTTTAGAAATATATTAAAATTATAAGTTAAATAAATTTATAGAAATACGCCAGTATTTCTATATATGTATATATGATTTGGAGGAAAATATGCAGTTACATATAGTAAATACTAGTAGGTAACAATTTATTATTCAGGAACACCGGGTATAGCAATTGCTGGACTACAAGGCAAAGATGGACGTCCAGGATTGGATGGTGCCCCAGGAAGGAAAGGAGAGATGGGATTAACTGGAATGCGAGGTAACGAGCTGTTGAAACCAACTAAAAACCAACAAAAACAAACCAACTAACAACCAACTCTACATACCTTATTTTTACTTTTAAAGGCCCGCCTGGCGATTCATTAAATGGGATGCCAGGTCCACCAGGCTTTCCCGGAGCCCCTGGTCCAAAAGGATATGATGGCCGTGATGGTGCACCAGGTCTTCCAGGAATCCCAGGAATGAAAGGAGAACGTGGTGGTGAATGTTCAATTTGTTCACCTGGTGTCAAAGGCGAGAAGGGCCTTGCAGGTTATCCAGGATTACCTGGACCACAAGGTAAAAATTATCATTAATTTGTTTTTAAAGCATAAAATATATTTTTGAAAATAATATTAAATTAAGGTGATCGTGGTCTACCCGGAATGCCAGGAATGGTTGGAGATGCTGGCGATGATGGAATGCCCGGAGCAGTTGGTCCAGCTGGCCCGCCTGGCTTGCCAGGAAGAGATGGATTACCTGGGGTACCTGGTCTAAAGTATGCTCAAATTTACTTATTATGTTTAGTTAAATATAAATTATGTTTAGTTAAAATAATATATATATTTTTATCCACCTTCAGAGGTGAACCAACACAATTGCGTCTTCGACCAGGCCCACCCGGATATCCAGGGCCTAAAGGAGATGGTGGATTTCCCGGACCGCCTGGGCCAGAAGGATTGCCAGGAAAAGAAGGCGCACCCGGATTTCCTGGAGCGCAGGGACCTGAAGGACAAAAGGCATGTAAAAATGAATATCTGTTTTAGTTTTGTAAAAATTACTAAAATATAATTCGAAGATAATAAGTTAATAATATATTATATCTTCTAACGTTTTAGGGCGAGCCAGGAGCTTATGGAATCCCTGGAAAGCCCGGTCAAGATGGATTACCCGGCTTGCCTGGTACCAAAGGAGAACCTGGCTATGGTCTGTCTGGAGCAGCTGGGTTGCCTGGACCAAAGGGAGAAGCAGGACTGCCAGGTGCACCAGGATTTCCTGGACAAAAAGTAATTTTCTCTTTTCATTTAAACGATTTAATCTTAAAATGGAACTGATTAAAATTAAAACTGAACTTTTAATATTCGCTTAAACAGACATAATCAGAAATTCTTCTCAAATAATGGATAAATAAAAAATTGAAATAAATAGGGAATTATGTTATGTCTTAGGTGGATTTAAAATTTGAATTTAATTGATAATTGACATTTTGACAATTAAAATTGAAATTACAAAGTAATTGTCAAACAATGGACAATTACAATTGACGCACTTGAATTTAAAATGAAAAAAGCTATTATGAGAAAAAGCTGATATTTAGAATATTTTAAAATTAAAAAATAAATTGTTAAAAATACTTATTTTATGATGAATATTTTTTAATTTTTATTTTCTTGTGAAATATTAATCCAATTAAGGGAGAACCTGGACCGATGCCGCCGTTAAATTTATTGCCAGCTGGAAAGGATGGCCCACCCGGATTGCCGGGCCTTCCAGGATTGAAAGGAGAGCCAGGGTTCCCTGGTTTACCAGGTTTTTAGATCAATTTATTTTTTAATTCTAGATTTTACGTAAAATATTTAAACATTAGTTTTTCCTGAATTAGAAATAATAATTATTTTAATAAAGGTGCTGATGGCCTTGCTGGCGTGCCTGGTCTACCAGGACAAAAAGGAGAACCCGGTTCTCCAGGATTTCCAGGCTTAGAAGGACCGCCCGGACCTATTGGAATTGAAGGATTGCCCGGTAATAAATAAAAGTAATTATTTTTTAATTAATTTTTTCAGGTCAACCTGGCCTTCAAGGCTTGCCAGGATCTAAAGGAGAAGCGGGCAGACCTGGTCAACTCGGATTTACTGGACAGAAAGGCGAACCAGGACCATCAATTCACGGGCCTCCAGGTCCTCCAGGTTTTCCTGGCCTTAAAGGCGATGCTGGACTACCTGGTCTTCCCGGACAGCCTGGTCTCGAAGGGTTTGTAATATTAATCATTACTAGGATAACGGAAACTCAACAATAGTTTTTGAAATTAATGTTTATAATTTCAAGCTAAAAATAGATATGCATATTTTGAGCTCTTTCAGTATATGTATATACGTGAATTTTACAATTTGCTTGTTTCTTAAACATAATTATATGTAAATAAATTTATCAAAATATAACAGATTGCCTGGTCAATCAGGCTTCCCAGGCGCAGCCGGTGCACCAGGATTTCCCGGACTCAAAGGAGAGCCTGGTCTTTCAGGATTTCCAGGTATGTAATTATTATGTAAATCATCGTAAACTGATTCAATACTCTTATAAGGGCATGTCATACTACATCTTTATATGTCTTTTTTTTATATTTTTAAAGATCAACGGAATTCAAAAATTTTCCATTAATCTTCCTAAATTTTAGAGACTTTCGTTTTTAAATATTAATTAAGAAATGACTAAAGATAGAAATTAAATACTTACAAATATGGACCCTAGAATTAAAGGGTCGTTTCGAAAACCCCCAATGCGCATTGTATCTGAAAAGTGTCCGTTAAGATCCTAAAATGAATACTACATATAATTCAATTGGTGGATGTTTTCTAACACAATATTTTTGTATTATTTAATTGAAAGGTTTTATTTTTAAGGAAAAGAAGGCATTGAAGGTCAGCCGGGATTTCCTGGTTCCCCTGGAGAGAGAGGAGCTGATGGACTGACTGGGTTGCCAGGAATTCCAGGACAGAAGGGTGAAGCCGGATATCCTGGCCTTCCAGGTATTTAGTATCAAATTGGAAATAATTAGAAAGCAATTGTTTTTAGGCACTGATGGTTTACCAGGACCACCAGGTTTTCCAGGCATGAAAGGAGCTGTTGGTATTCCAGGAGTGCCTGGATTAAAAGGTAAAGAAATGTATCTATAATTTTATCTTGATTATCTAGGTGAACAGGGCTTCGCTGGAAATCCTGGTCTGCCAGGTGAAAGAGGGCCAGATGGATTAAGTGGGCTGCCTGGATTACAAGGACCTAAAGGTAAATAAAAATAATATGAATTTTGTTCGTATCCTGCCCTCATCTATTTTAATCAAAAAATTAACATAAAATTTTTAATAAATAATATCTTAAGGAAACTGAATGATTGGGCGATAAGATTATAATTTAAGGAACTATTAGATTACCGTATAAGCTCGAATAATTACACTCTCTCAAACAATTACCCTCCCTAATAATTACTCCCTATTTTTCCTAAACTATAATAATTACAAAAATATTTATTAAAAAATCATGATTTTAATACATATGATTTTTTACCAAGATTTTAATATGATTTTTTACCCAGGGTAATTATTCGAGGATATACGGTATATATTTTGATTTTTACTTAAAAATAAACAATATTGAAATATTTACAGGAAACCCCGGTCTTCCTGGATTACCTGGTCGAGATGGTCTGCCAGGATTGAATGGACCTAAGGGAGAAGCAGGTCTTCCAGGATTCCCTGGCCAACGAGGAGAGGATGGACTTCCTGGCCTACCTGGATTTAAAGGAGAAGCTGGCTTCCCTGGACAGCCAGGCATTGTTGGAGCGCAAGGTATTTATGCATAATTTTTTTAAAAATTTAAGAATAAAAGTATCTATATCGTAAATTTATTAAATTATGATATAATTGGAGACAGATTTTAGGCAGAAGACCATTTTTCTAGACAAATGATGCTAGAATTAAACTTAAAGTTAAATAGCCTATTAATCCTTATTCTAAAGACAAAAACTATAAGCGTGTTATTTGTTATATTTACATATTTTTTATTTTGAAGGTCCACCAGGCCTTCCTGGCTTTCCAGGACTAAAAGGAGAACAAGGCCTGCCTGGTTATGGACAACCCGGTCTTCCTGGAGAGAAAGGAATATCGGGAATCCCTGGTAAACCTGGACGTCAAGGACCAACCGGCGAAAGAGGTGCTGATGGTGTGCCTGGATTCCCAGGACTTAAAGGAGAACCTGTAATTTAAAAAATAAAAATATTCATTTAAATTTTCTAAGGGCTATCAAGGCCGAGATGGACCTCCTGGGCGAGAAGGCTTCCCTGGAGTGCCAGGTCCTAAAGGCGATGCTGGTCTACCCGGTCCACCTGGTTTGCCTGGAAGAGAAGGTCATATTTTTAATTATTTAAAAAAATACATATTGTAAAAATTTAAAATTAGAACTTATTAAAAGAACGTATCCATGGAGGGGCAGTTTGGAGGGGCAAATATTTTTGTTTTTGGAAGGGCAGCACAAATAACCCCATTTGTCACCAACAGGCCCGGAGCCAGAGTGTAGGGTTTGATACATGCCTCATGAAAAATAAAAGAGAAAGGGAATAAAAAATGAAAAAATGGTCAGAAAATGGGGTATACGAACTGAGATATATGTGTCTATTGGTCGACAGAAGTCGTGTTTGTCCAATCCCGTATACGGTACTTTTTGTAAGATTTTTGCTGGACAAGATTTGGACCCGCATACATCTAAATAAATCATATTTTATGAGGCAATAAAAACTTTTTACGTCGTTTTGCAATTGTATACTATGTAATTGACCCTCATTAAATGATTACATTTTCCTCCTAAATTTAAAATAAATTTTAATATGCTAAAATTTTCTGTTTATTTTTAAGGATACCCGGGTTCGCCAGGAATTCCTGGAGAAAAAGGTGAACAAGGACTACCTGGCCTGCCTGGAGAAAGAGGCATTGATGGATACCCTGGTGTTAAAGGCGAGCCTGGTTTCCCAGGACAGCCAGGAGCTATTGGAATAGAAGGACCTAAAGTTTGTTGAATGGCTATAATAATCAATTTTTATTTATTAATTTACAGGGAATGATTGGACTGCCAGGCTTTCCTGGTGTCAAAGGCATGCCTGGATCACCAGGACGAGATGGACTGCCAGGATTGCCCGGAGACAAAGGCAAGGCAGGATTCCCTGGTCAACCTGGTCAGGACGGTTCACCAGGTTTTTCTGGCCCGAAAGGAACAGCTGGACTTCCTGGTCTTCCCGGATTGCCAGGTATCTTTAGCTTAACACTTATAAAATAACGGTTGCTAATGTTCCTAATGGGACAGATTTTTAGTAATGTGTTTTTGCTGATTTTTTACAAGGGGCAGTCTACATATTCTAAAGAATTCAGTCAAAATTATAAATGAAAGCCGGTTTTAGACGCCTAGATAATACTGCATTAAGTAACTTGTATATAATGTTATATATAATGTATTATTATATACATATATATTATTATATATATATTAATATATTATTATATATAAATATATATATAATGTTATATAGAACATATATAATGCAACCTTGTATATAATAAAAATTACATCTAAATAAAACCATTTTAGGTCAAGGATTTGTCGGGCCGAAAGGAGAAGCTGGATATCCTGGAATCCCTGGAAAAGATGGACTTCCTGGATTAACTGGTCCTAAAGGAGAAGCTGGTTTACCTGGTCCACAAGGTTCTTCTGGTCTTAAAGGCGAAAATGGAACGCCTGGTTTTCCCGGACAGAAAGTATTAATTTCTTAATCTTAATAAAGATTAATTTATTAAGGGGGAGCCTGGATTACCTGGAACACCTGGAAGGAGAGGAGAAGATGGATTAGCTGGATCACCTGGCCTGCAAGGCCCTCCCGGATTTCCTGGAGAAAAAGGTGATGCTTGTCTACCTGGTCTTCCTGGACAAATGGGAATGCCTGGATTACCTGGAATGAAAGGTAAATTTATTCATTTACTTTATAAAAAACATTAAATTGATTATCAAGGTGAACTCGGTCTGCCTGGCTTCCCTGGCCAAAAGGGCGATGCTGGATATCCAGGTAATCCTGGGTTACCTGGATTGCCCGGAGCGAAGGGCGACGCCGGATATCCAGGTCCGCCTGGTATGGACGGACAGAAGGGCGAAATGGGTCCTCCTGGTTTGCCGGTAAAAATTTCAAAAAGCCGTATTTATTTAATATTAAAAATTTAGGGAATGCCTGGGCCTTTGCCGCTAACTCAACCAGGAATGAAAGGCGAAAGAGGTGCACCTGGCTTGCCAGGTATTGATGGAGAGAAAGGCCCACCAGGCTTGGATGGACTTCCTGGACCTGCTGGTATTTGTAAAAAAATTTTCTTAAATCTATAATCAATCTTTTAAAGGAATCTCAGGTTCACCCGGTCAGAAAGGAGAGCCTGGTTATCCAGGTTCGCCAGGCTTTCCTGGAGAAAAAGGTGCTGCTGGTTTGCCAGGTTTTCCTGGTCTTGAAGGCACCCCTGGCCCACCAGGTCCTCCAGGCTTACCTGGTTCCATTGGTCCTCCAGGACCTGCATATAAAGACGGTATTTATTTTATTTTAGAAATTTGTGAATCTTTTGATATTTCAGGTTTTATTGTTGTTACGCATTCACAAACAACACAAGTACCGCCCTGCCCTCAGAATACACGCAAACTATGGGAAGGATATTCTCTCCTTTATTTAGAAGGAAATGAAAAGGCACATAATCAAGACTTGGGTATAATTTTAATAAATTTAATGATTTTTGAAAAAAAAATTAAAGGGAATGCTGGTTCTTGTTTACCACGTTTTTCAACTATGCCATTCTTATTCTGTGATTTTAATGATGTTTGCAAGTAAAAAATTTTTTGTAAATGATAGTTGATTATTGTTTTTATATTTTTAGTTATGCCTCAAGAAATGACAAATCATATTGGCTTTCAACGGGAGAAGCTGTTAATTAAAACAAAATAATTTTTAAATAAAATTAATTTTTAGCTCCCAATGATGCCCGTTAACGAACACGAAATTCAGCCTTTTATCTCTCGTTGTGCTGTTTGTGAAGCGCCTGCAAATGTTTTTAATATTTTATAAATTTATAAAATATATTTATTAGGTTATGGCTATCCACTCTCAGTCAATACAAATCCCGAATTGTCCAAACGGTTGGAGTTCACTTTGGATTGGATATTCATTTGCAATGCACACTGGGGCTGGTGCTGAGGGTGGTGGACAGTCTTTGAGGTAAAAAAAGAGAATTTATTTTAAATTAATTTTAATTAAGAAATTTAAATAAAAAAATAATTTTTTTAGTTCGCCCGGTTCTTGTTTGGAAGATTTCAGAACAACTCCTTTCATTGAATGTAATGGCGCCCGCGGATCTTGGTTCTAATAAAACATAAAACATATGCATTTTTAATTTATTTTTTCAGTCATTTCTTTGCAAACAAATTTAGTTTTTGGTTATCCACAATTGATGATTCACAACAATTTACTGTTAATTTTTATATTTTAAAATTAAAAAAAATTATTTTTTTAAAGATACCACAAAGTCAAACAGTAAAAGCTGGTTCTACACGTTCGAGAATTTCTCGCTGCCAAGTTTGTATTAAAACAAACAGATAAAAGGAATAATTTTATATTTTTATTAAAATTAAATATATTAATTTTTTTGTTTTGTGAATTTTTGTTGCCATTTCCCATTACTTTATTATGTTTTTTAAAGTATATTAAAATAATAAGAAAAAGTTTTTACTTTTAATGTTAGGATATACTTTAAAAATATTTTTCCAATTATCTTCCCCTTCAAAAATCCCTTCTATAATCCCATTAAATACCTAATAGAGCTCTTTTACAATTTTAGTTTGCTTTTTTTAAATATTTTATTTTATATAATTATATGCACTGCCATAATTGCACAATCTCACTCCAAAATTATTAACAGTATATTTTTTCATTATTTCTTCATTTATTTATGTATTTGTTACAAACTTCTAGAAAATATTAAAAATAATTGTAAAAATATTTTTAATATTATTTATAACCATTTCTGCTCAATCTTTCTTTTTTTCTTTTTACATTTTTATAATTTAATTAAATTTGTTAAATTCTTGTTCTTTCTAAATACATAATTTGGATAGTATATTTTTTATAAACTTTAAATTTGTCAAGGGATTAACCCAAAAGATCACAGGTCCCTAGATGGTCAAGACGGAAGTTTCCTCGGGCAACTGTTGGATAAGGCAAAATGGGGCCAGCTAAATAAGTTCTTGATCTTGGGTCCTTTCTATCAATCCAAATATTCGGAATTGGCCTGCGGAGTCAATTGACCTTCATTGGGGTCTTTAGGTTGGAGTTTATTTTTATTAAATAGATTATGTATTTGTTTTTAAAGTTAGAACAATATTTTTGAGAAATTTTTTTACATCACTCAAACTTTACATAAAAATATTTACAACATTATTGACGAAATAAGAAATACAATACAAGCTTAACAATAAGAATTATAGCAACAAGCAATTTATATATATTTACATATGTTTGTATGAATGGACAACAATGACGTTTATACAAGGATTATGTTTTCTCTATTTACTTATTCTTACTCTTCGATCCTTTGCTGGCAACCTCTTTCCCTCCCTTGCTGACAACTTCCTTCCCTCCCTTATTAGGAACTTCCTTCTCCTTCCCTCCTTTGCTTACAACATCTTTCTCCTTCTTTGGTCGTTCAAAATATTTTTCGACCTTTACAACCCACGGCTCCACCTTTAAAAAGAATATATTTTGTTTTGAATTTATTTAAAATACTTCTTACCTTATACAGGAAAATCTTTGCAGCAATTTTGACTTCTGGGAGTGACAGGTAGAACAGACCAACCGCCTTGAACAGCCAATAGAGTTGAACATTTTCAGCCATGCGAAATGGCACGTGGTCGAGAATTGCGAAGATTCCATAGACTGTCCAATATACCAACCACTGAATGTCATCTGAAATTAAAATATGCTTAGCTATCTTCCACATTTTTATCTTTTACCGTCTCTTTGCGCCTGAGAGGTGCTTCTAACTGCTCCAAGAGTTGCAAATGCCGGATAGACAAACGTGATGAAATTGCAAATAAGACCAGCATATTGACCAACAAGAAGATAGAGAGGAATTGTCGCAAAAAGACCATATGCCAACTAAAAAATTAAAAGGCAAATAATGTTTTTAAGCGATTATTTGCCTTATGGCGCTCAACTCCTGTGTTCTTCTCAAGCTCTGTCAGCAGCTCCTGGAGCAAAGGATATTGACTTTTGTAGAGAAACTCCATGAAGGCCTTATGTCCTTTCTCCTATAAAATTAAGATTTTTCAAAAAATTTTTATATTTTTCTTACCAAAGCATGACGCGTGTCCAAAGGGTCCAATTGAGTAGGGTCATCGTACACGTCTGTAGCAGTGACAATACCGGAAGACATTTAGAAAATGAGCAAATGGAGGCGATGTGTTGAGGATGCAAACAGACAACAGATTTTCTAATTAAAAAATTTTAAAATAAATTTAAAGCTTTTATAATATTTTAATTTAGTCTGATTTTATACACGATTTCTACATATTTAACGTAGGAATTTTTAATTAGTGGAGATTTCTTTATTGTTCTCTCAGTATTCTTTTTCTAGAGAAATGTTTAATTAATTTTATTTTATTTTGATGTTTTTTATTCCGTAAACATTTACAAATTATAAAAATCTACTAGATCATTAAAAATTAAAACAATTTACACCTATATTAGTACCTAATAATTAATTATAGATATTTATAGTAGCTATTGTTTGGCAATTATTTATTATTTTTTACTTTTTTTGTCAACTCTGATTTATATAAAATTATCATGTTTAATAATAATTAAATTTAATATTCTTCTAAAAGCTATTTTAATTTTAAATATAATACACACCCAATATTTAATTTAATTTTAAATCTACACCCAATATTTAATTTATTATTTAAAATAATTTATTCTTTAAAAATTTGAATTAAATATTATTTAAAAAATATAAAATTTAAATAAATTTTAAATATTTTCTTTCTTTTCAATTAAAAATTCATTTGGAAATACAGATGTTTTTTCTTCCTTGGTACAAATTAATTTAGAAACAAATATTCTCTAAAATTACCCAAAAAGAATTAATTTCCTAATTAATTTTTAATTAATTTATTTTTGTATTTTCCTTTTTAAAGACTTGCAAAAATAACTATATTTTTTAATTTAAACACTTAAATAATCCTATTTTTATTAATTTAAAAAATAAATTTTTTTAAATAACATTATTTATTTTTGCTTTTTGGGAACAAGCAAATATACCTATTTGTTTTTTGGAACAATTTTTATTAATTAGTACAAAATATTTTTTATAAATATTTTTAATGGAAACTGAAATTACTGACAATTCTATTTCAATTATTGAATTAATTACAATAATTGTCCAATGTTTGTTATGTTCTATTGGATTATTAAGTAATAGTTTGCTTGCTCTAACTATATTTAGAAGCCCGTATGTTTTTATATAATTAAAATATCGGGGTAAAAATGGGGGTACTTATAAGCTTTGATATTTCTCAAAAATATAACGATTGTTATTTAACTTTAAATTTAAAAAAATACATGAAAGTAATTTCAAAATAAATTTAAAAAAACTAAATATTTCTTTAAAAAAAGTTTTTTTAGTAAATTAAAAGTTGGTTGTTGTGGAATTCTTTTATTAATATTAGCATTAACTGAATGTGTTGCCCAGTGTAGTGTTCTTTTTCTTCCAACATTTTTGACACTTACTCGCATTCAAATACCGCTAATTATTTGTTTCTATGCTGAATTTTATGGACCTTATTCTCAGGCTTTAATACCTATTATTTCTCTTCTAATTAGCATTGATCGTTTAATTAGTATTTTACTACCAATTCGGTAAGTACAAAATAATTTTTGGGGAATTTATTAGTTACAGAATACTTGATTATTAATTATTTAATTATTAACGATTATTTAATCGTTAAGATTTAAAAAAAGCTTTGATTTTTTTCTTAAAATATTTTTTTAATATTTTTTAGTTATAAAATGATGTCAAACAATGAAAAACAAATTTATATTACTTTTCTTATTCTTTTACCAGCTATTATTCTACTTTATCTTCCATTTGAAATGCACAATTTTACTTTAAAAAATTTTAATAAGTAAATTTTGAAATTAATTTTTAAAATAATTAATTTAAAAATAGGCAAGTATTTTGTATGCCTACAGACTTTATCGACTCTTCTATGGTTTTATTAATGAGTACAATAATTTTATTAAGTAATTTGGGTGTATTGTTTATTTATACAATTATTGGTTTATTAATTAAATTTAATGGTATTTTGTAAAAATTAATTTAAAAAAAATAATTTTCTTTTAGTAATAAAATTATCGAATGATAACACAGAAAGAAAACTTTACAAATCTTTAATTGTTTTAATGGCAATTTCCTTAACTTGTTGGTTGCCTACACCAATAATAAACTTTTTTGTTGTACTTAATACACAATTATCCCAAAATACACAACATTTACTTATTCGAATAGCTCTTCAATTAAATAAAATAGCACAAACATTAAATGCTCCTGTTCTTTATATTTGCAGGTTGAAATAAATTAAATTTAAAAATAATTTTTTGTTTTCTTTTTAAAGTTCTGATTATCAAAAAGAAATGAAAAAAGAATTTTGTCGTTTAGTTAATTTTTTAAAGAAAAATAATTCACAAAAAGAATCAGTAATAGGAGGAGGAGGTAATAGCAACCCTACTAAACAAAATAACAACATACAAACACCTGTGATTTTAATTAATAATTTTGTTTATCCAAAATAAAAAAATGTAAAAACATTCCTTGTGACAGATGAGGGTATAAGACATAGTTCGTACTTGGAAGAGGCTGGGTCGAAAAAAAGTCGGGTCATGTTGTAAATTTTTTATGATTATCAACAAAAAATGAAAAATAATCTGTCTTTTAATTTTAAAAAATTTTGAAAAATATTTTTGTTTTGAAAAAATAAAACTAATGAAAAATTGCTATAAGGGCGAAGGAGGGGGGCCCGAATTCTCGAGTTTAAAATTTGAAAATATTTTTTAGAACATCTATTCTTTTCCAGAATTAATCATTTGTAGTAGATGAAGATCCCCCTTTTTCTAATAAATATTTCTTTCTTTCCTTTTTATGAGCATTAACCCAAAATGGTTCATAATTATAAAGTATGGCTTTAGTTAAATCTAACAAATATTTTGAATCTGGTCTCCATTTTTGATTTTTATAAAAACACTCCTTAAATATTTTAATTTAATAATATTACTTTAAAAAATACCTTAAGAATTGACATAACTTTCGGGTAATTTTTAGATAAAATATTATTTAAATTATTCACAATACTTTCAGTAAAATTCTTTTCTTTGGGTTGGGAATTCTTTTGATAACTAATCTCAACCATTCTCCTCAATAATCTAATTCGTGTTTCCCCCTCATTTCTTTCCTCATTAATATCATTATCGCCATAAACAATTCGATTTATTTCTATTTTATTATTTTTATAAAAATCTTCGAAGAAAGGTGCCGAAGTAAGTAAATCTAGACAAACCATAGCAAAAGACCAAATGTCTGTTTGTTTACTCACCTTAATTTTTCTTACATAAATATTTAAAGTGAAACTGAGGAAGGAAGGAAAGTTTCTAATAAAGAAAAAATGTTAGCGGATATGTACCAGAAATCCTTTCAATTAAGATTAATTTAAAATAATTTGTAAATTAATCACATAATTGCAACATACATAAAAATCATATGTTCTTGAATCATATATTTCAGGTCCAATATGTAATGAAACGGTTGGAATATCAATAGGTTGTGTGTTTACTTCGTTATTTTCTTTAACAGATTCTGCAAAATCAATTAATTTTAAATTTATAGTTATATTAGATGAAGATTCTTCCATAATTAAAATATTGTTTGCATTGAAATCCATAAGGATATAACCTAAAAACATTTAATTTTAACAAAATTATATACACAAGTAAACACCTGTATTATGAAATTCTACAAATCCTTCGAGAATTTGTTTCATTATCTCTAAAAACAATGTCTCATTATATTCATTAGAATTTGTCATAAGATCTTTCCAAAAACATTTTAAAGTTGTATGTCCAAGTTCTAACTTTAATGCTTTTTGTGGTAAATTAGAATTATGAACATAATATTTAATCCTTAATTTAAAAAAATTTTTTTCTACAAAATTTTAAATTAAATACATTCCGAGATATTTAATTAATCTTTCTGGAAATGGTTGGCTTTGCCAAATAAGTTCCAACATTTTTTCCTCCCTTGAAAGTGCTTCCTTTGCAATTTCCTCATCCCGTTGATTTCTACTAATTGAATGGGCTATTTTTAAAGCAATACAATCACCCAAATATTTCCAATTTTGCGTATATGTTGCGTGATAAACCTAAATACATATAAATGTGAAAATATTTCCTTATTAGTGAAAATTTTTATTTTTTAACATACCTAATTTTAATTTCAGAATAAACAGGTGAATTTGCCTTTGGGTATGTCACGATATGATAAAAAAAGAAATTGAAAAGATACTTTTCTCTTTTGAAAATTTTTTTAAATAGAAATTGTTCTAAATTATTTTACTTTTACTATCAATCAAGAATCTAGGACATACTACATATAAAAAAATTTTTAAATTCTAACAATAATCTATTTTTAATAATTATATACTAATTATTACCACAGCAAAACCTCCATTTCCTAACGGCATTTTAGATACCAAAAAATCTTCATTAGTTTCACCATTAAAGAAACGGACGGGTATCATTTCACAGATAAATTCTCTCCCACATTTACATTTAAAAGATTTGGGTTGTCTTCTAATAATTTTTTCTCCTTCTGCATTAACTTCGAATTCCTCGTGTGAAAGGGGTTCTTTATTACCAATGATTCTTTGACCACAAAATAAGCTCTGCCTAAAATTTTCTGATGTCCGGAAATTCGAATATAGCAAGAGTTTAGGTAAATATCTGCTTCAGAAATCGTGCACTTTTTGATTTGCCCACTCCGAAAAGTGGGTAATCAAATTAGTGGATAACCAAAATTCCAAAAAAAGTCCGAGACTAACATTCAGAAAAACTAAATTTTCGGCACCCAAGCTTCTTATTTTTAAAAATAAATCGTGAAAGAATAACTTTACTTTATTTTATCCCAATTAGTGAATCTTCCTTGTTTATTCATTCCGTTCGTCTTTAATGGAATAAAAATAGATACTAACAATAAGATAAACACTAATTCTTTACATAAAAATAATATCATCTTGAAATTGAGACAGAATTTTAATAAAAATTGCTCAAATTTAAATTATATTTTTGAAAATTTAATTTTTTAAAAATTATTTTACTGCTTGCTAAATATGTATATGCGAGAAATTTACCTATTATGGACACTTGATTAAAAATCAATTAATATCCTATACAAATTAATGTAAATTAAAAATCGATTTTAAAAGATGTAAAGGGCAAGTCTATTAGAATAGGGATATAACCTTTTTGCCGCTCTAATAAAATTATTTGCACTTTGACAATAATGCCGCTAATTAAATTCTACATCCACTCTGGCATTTAAATATAGTAATGATTAGGGATCGGAAAATAGTTTCCTGAAATAGTTATGGCGTGTGAGAAGCTCAAATCCGTTGTTATTTTTTGGATTTTATGTTTACGAGGAGTTAACATTGCCTACTGAAACCTATTTTGAAACTTAATTTGAATGTTTAATAAAAATGTTATTTTTGCAAAAATTCTTATTAATTAGAAAAAAAATTTCAAAAATTAGGTCAATTTTTCTTACCAACGAAATTTTTTTTAATTTTTGGAAAAAATATTTTTTCCAAAAATTCAAGAAATTTTTCTTATTATTATTTTACGGTGAAGATTTTGAAGGATAAGAATTTTTTAACAAAGGCCATAAGAGAAAAAATGACATTTTATACTAAAAATTAAAAGAAAATATAAAAAATCCTCAATCTTCAAAGGACCACAAAAATCAGCATTTTTAAAAATAATCCTATAAAAAACCACAAAGGAGGAAAAATCCGCACATATCTGAGCCCCTCGAAAAATGGTTAACAAGGTAGAAACAAAATACGTTAATAAAAAAATAAAGTTACTTTTTTCATAAGCAATAATGGGTAAATTAAAACGGCAAGCAATATATATATAAACTTGTAAAATAGGTAAGTCAATATCAAGATTCAAACACTTATATCCCATTTCCTTCATTAGATGAAATAACTCTAATTGGTACATTATGAATACGCTGCGGTAGTTGTTTGTCCTATAAACATTAATAAATTCATTTTCGGTTCGTGCAGAAAATTGAATAGAAATTTAAAACAAAAATACAAATTGTTTACCATTTCAGAAGATTTAAGGTCGGTTGGACGTTGCTCTATCATATTACCCAATTCAACATCATTTTGTCTGAATGCATATTTGCCAATAAGTCGTCTTTTATGAACAAACTCTTCTGGTACTTCACGGCGTTGAAAAACTTCAGCAATAAATAAAGCCTAAAAGAGGTTTTGATAAACACGAAATTTGTTGTTAAAACTACATTAATTATGCCAATTGCAGAACCGATAAGTACACCAACAAGGACATCTGACCAGTGATGTTTGTAATCACTCACCTGAAAGACCAATAAAATATATTTAAATGACATTTTACTGTTATCTGCACAACTTTGATAACTAATACTATTTTGTATGATTATAGCTCATTCAAATGATAGCCGGGCTTACATTAGCTGAATGACCAAAATAAGCCATCGTGTAGCGAAGGTTATGCCCGGTCTAGGCTCAGTAGCAGCTCAGTTTTTAACGATTCAACATCGTCGAATCTAGTAGTTTTGATGTCATTTGACTCGATATAACATCAAATGAGCTATCCAATTTTTATTCATAATACTATTCTAATCTGTTAAAAAGTAGTGGCAGATAACAGCAAAATACCATCTAAATACCCTGCTATAAGCAACGAAAGAAGCGCCACAAAAAAGAAAGAACTGGACAGCTGGGAGAACTAGTTGACTACCTAACGGTCGATAACAACGAGCTTGTAAATAAAGCTAAAAATATTATTAAAATGACAATAGAATGTACAAATTATTACCGATGTGTACCAGGCTGCATAAAAAGAAAAGGCGGAATGTCCTGAATAAAAAGATAGTTGCGCTTCTTTAATTAAATCGACTTCTTTCCCACTACATTTGAAGTCAGTAATATAACTAAAAATAAAAACAAAAAAGTGAAAATTGATGATAAAAAATTACGTATGCTCATCAGATGGACAATTTGTTCGAAAATCTTTGGACACTTTACTAATTTCTCCACCGATGCCATTAAGTTTTACCTCAGTAATAGGCAAACAAATTTCCATAAAGTGCGGCCGTTGGCGACCGATTGTGTACTAATTGTAAATAATTAGAAATAGTTTATTAATTTCTCAACCTTTGCAATGTCCACCATTAGTTGATTAAAACAAACACCAAGTAGAAAATAACCTAAAAACATTTATTAATAGGTGATATACATGTTTTTTCCTTATTTTAGTTTTAGCGAAAAAATTTCATGTGAAAAAAGTCACAATCCAAACTTGGAACATAAAGAAAAATTACCCATGAAAACGTAAAGTCGAACAACCATCCTATGAACATTATGTGCTCTATATTTAAAAGTACATAATTGATGGGCAGATTGTTTTTCCCAAACCAAAGTACGGAGAATTTCTGTCAAGAAAATCTGTAAAATTCCTGTAAATATTTATAAAAACAGAACAGAAATTACCAGACAAGTAGGAATGAGAAGCCCAATAACGATAAGCAACTGACGACTAACAGTAGAAGTTCTGTATGGGTACCTAATTGATTCGTCATCACAATAAAAACCACGTTTATTTGGCTCGCCCAACAATTCAAAAATCAAAAGAGGAACAGCTAAATCAATAAAAAATATTAAGATTAGAATGTTAACTAAGTTTAAACCTAAACAAAGTAGAACAATAAAATCAGAAATAACTCTTCCAATTGATAAATCCGCCACTATGGCCATATTTCAAATAAGATACTGTCTAGAAGCCGAAGCGGTCTCTGAAATTCATTTATTATAGAATTCGGCTGAGTGCACTTTCCGGGGGGGGGGATTTTAAACTTGGCATCTAATATGGAGAAATGATAGCTCATTCGAAAGAGCTCCTCGAGCTGAGTCGAATGACAACAAAACCAGCTCGATTGCATGATTCTGAAAAAGTTATGCCCAACTGAATCTTCGCTGGAGAAACTGTTTTTGTGGTAAAAACTTTTTTCCGCGGAGACCATGGAGTAGCAAAACAAACGATCATAACTTTGTTCAATCAAGTCGGATTGCGTTGATTTTGGTGTCATTCGACTCAGCTCGCCGAGCTCTTTCGATTGACATATAAATTGTCCAAATCTAAAATCCCCTCGGAAAGTGCACTTTAGCCTAAAATTCGAAAGGACACGCATATCTGCCGCAAGACGTCATCGATTATTCCGTAGTGCGAACTTTGCAGACACGAAATTTGCGGACCTGTTTTTTGCGGACCGAAACTTTTAGAACTGACACCTGAGTATTAAAATTTTTCCATTATTCCGTACCGGACTCAAGATTTTTTTCGGAATCAATTGTCGATCCGCGAATTTCTGGTACGTAAATCTTTTAGATCCGTTGGCTCCAGATACGGAGCCGAAGTTTTTCTAACTTGTTAGGCGCTCCAAAATGAAGATTTAATGATTCAGAATAATTCAATGATTCTGAATTAGCGCCGCAGGCGAAAATTTTGAGTATTTCAAGATTAATTTAATTTTTAACCAAAAAGTCCATTGTACGTACTCACAAATAAGTTGCCAGTTTTGGAAGTACGGAGGTCGATTTGTAAGTACTGTACTTCAAAAAATTACAAATCAGATCTTTGTTATTATCTAATATGTATGAATTCATTTTAGCCTTTAAGATAAATATTTAAATTATCCTAATGTCTAATAATCCCAACGACAAATTTGCTATTATTAGTGTTGAATCAAAGCCTTTTGCAGGGCAAAAACCTGGTTTGTTATCTTTTAAAATGTTTATTGAACTTAAAATTTAGGAACAAGTGGTCTACGTAAAAAGGTTTTTTCTTTTGGGTATAGATACACATAAAGATTAAATTATTTCTCAGGTTCCTGAGTTTCAGCAGCAGCATTATACCGAAAATTTCATTCAATGCGTTCTTGATGGTGGCCTTGGTGTAAATAAGCGTGGTTCTATTTTAGTTGTTGGCGGTGATGGCCGTTTTCTATGTGCTCAAGCTGTCAATATCATCATAAAAATTGCAGCAGCTAATGGGGTTTCTTACAATTATTTAAATTTCATATTTTCTTTTAGGTTTCAAAATTAATCATTGGTCGCGACGGAATTCTGAGTACTCCTGCAGTTTCTCATCTGATTAGAAAGAAAGACGATGGAAGACAAATAAATGGTTTTTATTGATTGATTAGCATTTAATAAGAATTTTTAGGTGGTATCATATTGACTGCTAGTCATAATCCTGGAGGCCCAAAAAATGATTTCGGCATTAAATTTAATTGTGAAAATGGTGGTCCCGCACCTGATAATGTCTAGAATAATTATAATTTGGATAATTAAGTACTTTCAGGTTACTGAACGTATTTATGAATTAACTACAAAAATTAGCAAATATTATATTTGTCCGGAGTTAAATATCGATTTTGGGGAAATTGGTACTTCAACAGTAAATATTCAAGATCTGGGCCCGTTTACTATTCAAGTCATTGACAGTGTTAAAGACTATGCCGATTTGATGGAGGAAATATTTGATTTTCCCAAGGTTTGAATGTAGATTAATAGCCTTTATTTTTTTAGATTCGTTCATTCATTAGTGAAACATCTGGAGATGGCCGAAAATTCAGCATTATTGTGGACTCAATGCATGGTGTTACTGGACCTTATGTTTCGAATATTTTTGTCGATCGTTTGGGTGCTCAATCCAACTGTTGCTTGCGTACCGTATCTAAACCTGATTTTGGAGGTATTCATGTATATTATTATTTGCTATAATCTTTTAAGGAACTCATCCCGATCCAAATCTTACGTATGCAAAATGTCTTGTTGATAAAATGTCTGAGGGAAAAATCGATATCGGGGCTGCGTTTGATGGCGATGGAGTTTTTTTACTTTATTATTTTGTCTAAATTATATTTAGGATCGTAATATGATTTTGGGGAAGGGAGCTTTCTTTGTTACTCCAAGTGACTCACTGGCCATTATAGCTGCGAATTTGGATTGTATTCCTTATTTTAAAAAGACTGGCATTAAAGGTTTTTCTGAGAAATTTCACGATCTTGAGTATTTAATTTAACTGGAAGGGTATGCGCGTTCAATGCCAACCGCTTGTGCTGTGGATAAGGTGGCTAAATCGTTAGGACGTGACTGTTATGAAGTGCCCACTGGCTGGAAATATTTTGGGAACTTGATGGACGCAGGTAAATTGTCACTTTGTGGTGAGGAATCGTTTGGTACTGGTTCTGATCATATTCGGTTTGTTTTCGTTTATATTTTAATTGAAAGTTTTTGAAAGCTCTCAAGCTGAACCACTGTTTCTCCTTTCATCAAAGTGGGACCTTTTTATCACATATCTTAAGATTTTGCATATTTCGGAGATGAATTTTAGTAACTTTAGATTAAATTCTTAAAAGTTTATTTGCCTGAAATTTCTTTAACTTTCTTGGGGAAAGAATGAGTATGATAACATTTTTCTGATCATATTTAGTGAGAAGGATGGAATTTGGGCTTTTTTGGCTTGGTTACAGATTCTTGCCGCGAAGCGTCAGTCTGTCGAGGATATTGTTGTCGGACATTGGAAGGAATTTGGTAGAAATGTTTATACTAGGTATTATTAGAAATTTGGAATATGATTAGTTTGATTAGATACGATTATGAAAATGTTGAAGCGACCGGTGCAAATTTAATGATGAGCTATTTGGAACCGCTTATACCTGGCTTTACTGGGATGAAGTTGAAAGCAAACGATCGTGAATTTGAAGTCATTGGAGGAGATAATTATGAATATAAGGACCCGATTGATGGGTCTATTGCTAAAAATCAGGTCTTTTATAACAAGTGAATTTAATCTCATTTTTTAGGGGCTTCGAATTTTTTTCAAAGATGGTTCACGTGTAATATTTCGCCTAAGTGGAACTGGTTCTTCGGGTGCCACCATCCGTCTAGTTTATTTTCTTATTAATTATAAAATAAATTTTACATTTAGTATGTTGAATCCTTTGTGGAAGCCTCCAACATTTATCAACTACAACTTCCTGCTCAGGAGTTATTGAAACCTTTGGTTTTAGTTGCACTAGGCATTTGCAAAATGGAACAGTTCACTGGACGTACTCAGCCGACCGTGATTACCTAAATAAATAGAACGATTGACATAAAATTTTATGGTTTAGTTAGACTGGATAGATTATTTCTTTACATATATAATTTTTTTAAATTTCTAATTAAGTTTATTCTAATACTACTATTATAATCCGACTCCTGGTTAAACCTTTGTTCGTGCCTATGAATTGTAATTTAATTTACACCACAAATAGCCTTTCTATATTTTGCCAACTTTTTATATCTTACTAATCTATTAATTGTAATCTTTTATAAAGAATTTGTTATTTTTCTTTTTAAAATGATTGCATAAAATCATGTTTATATTTTAAATAACTAAGGTTTTTGATTTTTAGACTAAATTTCCATTACTAATTTTTGTTGAGAACTTTGAATAATTTGTGAGGAAACAATGATACGTTCTAGGCCAGGAGGCGGGCTATTTGCACGTTCAAGGTGTCCTTTTGATGATGAAGGGGCGGTGTGTGAAAGGCCTTTCTGTCCTTTCTTTCATCCTTTCTCTGGTAGGCGATTTAGAATTTATTCTATTTTTAAAATTTTACACTTCAGCTTCAAAGCATTTGGTCAAAGTTAAAGAGGAAATTCAAGATGATGACATAATTGTTGTACATGAAAAGGTTATTCCAATACGATCACCATGGCCCTCATCTTCAACGGAATCTCATGCTGTGAGCAATGCAGTAGAAACTCAACCTGTGGTATTTGATACTTCAATGCTTCACAAAGAAAGTCCTGTTATAGGTAGGTGTGTTTCTATTAAGCAGGGCTGCACGCAGCTGAAAAAATTCCTCAACTCGCAGTTTCTTTTTAAAAATCCGCAATTGCGTGCAGCCCTGCTGTCAAGACATATTTGAGGATAGTTTCTTAAGCAAAGTGTTTGTTGTTTATAATTTTTGCATAGGCACGTGATGCGCTCTAATATTTTTATACGCCAGAATTTCTTTTTCACGACTCATTTTTTTATTGAGCTTTTAGATCAATATTCCTGTGGCTATCTCGGTTATGTTGCACCTAATTCTACTGATTGTGAGACTAATAATCTTGCTTCACCATCTGTTTATGCCAGTTCAGCTACTGTTAGTTTTAATATTACTATTTAAATTTGCTTATTTTTAGGAACATATACAAGGATCTGAAAATCAATGCACTTCTAACTTACTACCGAAAATTCCTAATCTCCCCAATACATTGTCCACTGGTAAGAATATGTAATTATTGAAAAATTTTTTCCTCGTTTTTAGGAATTGATTCTGCACATAAGCCACATGATAAAAATCGAAAGAATAAACGAGTTATTTCAGGTAACTCTGTAACTTATTTTGTAAATTATTAAAATTATAAAAGCTCCGTCATATACACCAACACCAATTGTTCAGCTTGAACGTGAAGAGGAAGAGAGAAAAAAACGTAGAGAATTAGCTGAACGTCAGAAAAATATCCGTGACCGACTTAAACAGCAAGATCTTGTGAGATCAAGCCAAAAGAATGATGAAAAGGAAATTGCGGGCAAAAGTAATAAAGCTTTTTAAATTAATTTTTGGGTAAAATTTAGGTTCGTATACCTCCTCATTTTTCTTTCCCCAAAGTATTAAAAATGGTCAGACTTTTCTTTTTTGCTTAACTTGTATGAGTTGAAGAGACAACTTGTTATATTTAAGTGTGGGGCCGAACTATCATTAGGCAAATTCAGGATAGCTGTTACGAAAATTGTTATTTATTCGGTACTTTCTTCGAAGGTACTCATCTGCTAACGAAGCAGATCTTTTATCTTCCTTTTTTGTGGTTGAGAAAGAAAGAAAAGTCTGACCATTTTTAATACTTTGAGCAAAGAAAAATGAGTGAGAATACGAACTTCGATTTAGCTAATTTTGTATAAAAAGATATTTCAGTTGATGCTAGTGATCCTATTGATCAAATTTTAGCTACACAAGAAAATTTTTTAAAAGATCAGCGGGACCAGAAACTCGAGGACTTAGCTAAAATGGAAATTGAGAAGAAAAAACATAAAGAAAGGCTAGAGAAACAGGATGAGTTGAAAAAGAAAAAAAAGGTTTAAAATTAATCTAAAAAATTTCTACAATTAAAGATATTTTTCGAATTAAGGGAATTAAATTAAAAAGTGGGGATACATGTTGCGGTCCAATACTTGCTGGCGTTCCTCCAAAAATTAAAGAAAAGGAAAAGAACCTTAGACATCAAGATCTCAAAGAAAAGGATGAAATCAATGCTAAATTAGATGAGGATGTTTGGCTTGGAAAAAAGAGAGCTGAAGAAGTTATGGAGGAACATGAAAAGAAATTGGAAAATTGGAAGGTGTTAAGATTGTTAAATTAAATTTTTTTAAATAATTTAGGCAAAGACACAAACTTCGACTGAAAAATCTACAAAAGAGAATACTGTTATAGAAAATATTTTATCCACGAAAAGAAAACAACATTCTGATGCTGGTACTAGTAATGGATTTGGAAATGCGAGTAAGAAGCTGGGGTTTTACAAAATTATGGATGGTGAAAAAAGAAAATCCAAATCTAAAGAGAAATGCGATTTTGGAATAAATGAGTAGGTTTAAATTAAATTTAAAAAATTTACTGAATATTCTTTTTAAAACGTTAAATTTTAATATTCTAGAAATCTAAAAATTATTTCTGATATTGATAAATCAATCGGCGCTTTGGAAGAGGAACTCCGTCAATCAGGCAGTAAAACATCACAACCATCTTCCTCATCTTTTTGCAATAATAAATCCTTAAATATAAAGAAGAATGATGAAGGAAAAAAGAGGGTACCAATTTGGAGGGTAAGCTCTCGGAAACTTTTTACTTATTAAAAACTATCTATTCACAGCAGAAGAGCAATGCTCCAACTGATATTAGATTGGAGAATAAACTTAACAATGCGAGAAAATCAAGCGACGAAATAATTAATTCATTATTTGAGGGAGATGATTTAACAGTTGAGGTATTAAATTTAATTTCTCTTAAGTTTATTTTAAATTTTTAGGGATCGACAACAAAGTCGAATAAATGTGATAACAAGAAACTTAAACTTGATTCGTAGGTTTTTTAATATATTTACTAATATAGAATCCGGTAATTTAGTATTTAAGCTCATGAAAGTTTAGATTTTTTAACTTATTTAGTCCGTTTAAAGAAAATTACTAGTTTGTTTGGTTAAATATTTACATGATTATAATTTCCGAAATCTGTTCGATTTTGCTTTTTCGAATCTGTCAGTTTATAATTTTTATTAAACTAATTTTAGAATAAGCCTTGTGCATAAGAGGCGAAGGACTTCGAGCAGTAGTGAAAGAAATAAAAAGAAATCAAAACAGGAAGATGAGGAGGTTTTTAACGAAGAATAAACTAAATAAATTTCTTTGTATTCTAGGATCAAGAAACTCGAAAAGAGAAACAAGCTTTGGTGGATCTCCTTTCAGATGATGATATCATTCCGCTTTCCTCTAGAATAGAAGATAATGATAAAGAGGTGGACAAAGATAAAACAACATCTAAAGAAAGAAACAAGTATTAGATACATAATTTTTTTGATTATTTTTTTCAAGTAGTATATCAATCTCATCAAATAAAGCAATTCCTTCAAATCTGCTTACTCTGCCAAAACTTTTAACGCCGACTGTCTCTATTGCTTCATCTTCTTCTATTTCTGTTGTTCCTGCTACTCCGTCTCCTGTAGCCTCACCATCCCATAAATCTTCATCTCCGGCTCAAGATATGGCCAAATCAAAAGCGCTTGTTTCTAAAAAAGTTGCTCCAACTGCTCAAGTAAATTTTTTATATGTAAAATGTCAAAAAATATTTTAATAGGAACAATTACATTCACGAACTTTATTATCTATTAACCAATCATCTGATCATGGCCACAAGGTATCTGCTGAAGTTCGAAAAAATGTTTCAACAGAAAGCTCATCTAAACCTAATAATTTTCAACGAAAATTGGTTAATCTAATTGAATCATTAAAAAAAATTTTTTAATTTAGCAATCATCTTCTAGTAACACCACTCATTTTAATAATAGTTTCCAGAATACTTGCCAATCGTCAATTCCATTAACTGTTTCATCGAATCTCAACTCTAGTCTCCCAGCTTCAAAGCAGACTTTTCCATCTACTTTAAAAAAAGGAGAGCAAAGGAAGGCACATTTGGTAAATTATTAATATCTAAATTTTTAAAATCATTTTCAGAGTATCCCATCAAAAACTGAACAACAAAAGCTCGTTCCTTTAGATCCAAATAATCGAAAGGTTGCACTCCAACTTCGCCAGACAAAACTTAAAATAATTCATGCAGAATATGTAAAAATTTGTGTGAATGATCCAAAAATGGCTATTGAGAGTGTTATTTTTATTAAACTTATATAAATTAAAATATTTTTATTTTTAAGGCACAGCATGAAGAAAAAGAAGTTCTTGATCGTTGTTCTACTAAAATTGGATATATATCCGCAATACCAAATGTTGTTAAACGATTGCGAAACTTTGTTGCTAATAATGAGAATGCACGAAAAGGCTCAGGTTTTTAGAACTAAAATTCTTTAATTAAAAAATAATTTTATAGATTCCATCTCTCATCAAAATGTTTTATTAGGTCGTCATGCTGATTCAGTTACAGTTGGATTGCAAAAGGCAAAGCGTGTTGCTCAACATAAAGCTTCGCATCTCAGTGAATCTGAGTAAATTATTTAATTTTTCAATAGATTATTAACATTCAATTTTTAGTTTCTACAACGAATTGGAAGTATATATACTTTCTGATGATCAGCTTTGGGAGAATGGCTATCCAAGATGGACTACATTAACCCAAGAAATCGATGACGATTTTGTATCTAAATTTCAAATCTTTATAATTTTAAATATTTTTAGGATTCATCTGATGAAAGGCCTAGAAATATTGTTGAAATCCGACAATCTGAATTGGATTCATCTAAGGGTCACAGCAAGTCGTTCATATCTGATGATGGTAGAATATTTTATTAATATATAATAGATTTTTTAATACAATTTAGATTTAAAACGTGTTTGCTCTCGCTGCGGAATTGAATATCAATTAAAGCCAAATGGAGATTATGTTTCCTCTGAGGAATGTATCTATCACTGGGGACGAGCTTGGAAGAAAAAGAGTAAGCTTTATTTTATTTAAAAAAATCTTTGTTCAGTTCAAGGTGTTGTTGAGGCTCGATATACTTGCTGCCAATCTACTTTAGATGTTCGTGGATGCGTTGTTGCTGGAAGGCATATAACACAAACTTTGAGACTTAGTACTTTGGAACAATATGTGAGTACACCAAAACCCTATGGAGTAGGGGATCCTAGATCTACAAAAGTAATAAATGATTAAAAATATTTAATAAAAAATGAGCATTTAGGTTTATGCAATGGATTGTGAAATGGTTTATTCAAATTGGGGACCAGAAGTCGCTCGGCAAGTTAAATAGAGTTCATTGGATTCTCAACATTAATTTTCAGTGTTTCTGTTGTAGATGTTCTTGGAGAATTAGTTATGGATGTATTTGTTCGGCCAGAAAATACTTTAATTGACTGCAATACTAGATTTAGTGGATTGAATGCCGATCAAATTCTCCATGCCGAATGCAATTTGGATAAAGTAAATAATCTGTCTAAGAAATTTATTATTTATTAATTAAAGGCACGCGAACGCTTATTTGAATTGATCAACTCTGAAACAATTTTAATAGGGCATTCACTTGAAAGTGATTTGCGTGCATTACGCCTTGTACATACTCGTGTTGTGGATACTAGGTAGGTGGAAGATACGAAAAATATTTTTATTTTATGCAATTGTTTCTATTTCAGCATTGTTTTTCCTCATCGACTTGGCCCTCCGCAAAAGAGAGCACTTAAAACATTAGCTTCTGAAATTCTTCAAATAATCATTCAAGAGGAAGGTGAAAATTTTATATTTTATTTTTGTATTCTTTTCAAATTATAGAAGGTGGGCACGACAGTAAAGAAGATGCATTGGCCTGCATGAGAATTATGTTGAGGAAAGTACGTGCTGTAGAATGCTGATGAATACAAAAATTTCTTTGCTTCGTTTAAATTTTATTTTAATTAAATAGAATGATGTGTAACACTTAAAAAAACTTATAGATCTTTTTGCATATTGTTTTAATTTTGTCATTTTAAGCTTTTAATTTGTCATATTTTGTCCCAAGATGATCTTTTTTGATTATTTTAGAAGAATAATTATGTTATACTTTATTAGTTCTATATAATGGGAGAATTTTATATGTACTTTAACAGGATTAATCTTTTCCTTCATATTATTTTTAAAGGGCTTTTGAACATCCAAGCTTCACGCACTAACAAATATTGAGTTCTCGCGGCAGTTGAAGTGTTTCTTAAAATGTATATTTCCAAAAAATAAAATCTAAAAACCCTTAACACTCGATAGAAAAGAGAAGTAGGTTGTTTCGCCTGTAGTTTCACCTATGCTCGGTTGGGAAGGATTCTCTCGTCGTAGTAATGTTCTAAATCCATTTTCACCTGTTGCTTCATATTCGATTATTTGCCAGTTTCTCAATCTGTTTAATTTCAAAGTATACTTTAATATGTTTAATGAAAACTGATTATAACATCTATTTAGAAATAAAGACTTACTCTGGGTCAACGATTAGTTTTGCCCGAGTATGATCTAACCCAAGGGTATGTGCTGCAATTGATGCACTTGCCATAGAATTGCTTAAATAATATACCGTATTTCCTAAAATAGTACTCCCCCCTGAATTAGCACTCCCCCCTTAAATAATACTCCCCTTTGGAGGAGGGTTGAAAAATAGTACTCCCCCCTGAATTAGTACTCCCCCTAAAATAGTACTCCCCCCTAAAATATTTTTCCCCTATATTTGAAAAAATTATAAAAGACTCATTAAATTATTTCATTTACTCTAATTATGGTTGTCGGTTTCAATTAATTCTGTGTTAACCGAAACCGAACCGAAAACCCGAACCGAAACTTCCTGTTAACCGAAATCGAACCGTAAATTTGTTGAGGATTAAGGAGATAGGTATATTGTGATTAAGTGGCTGGATAAAAGTGGATTTGAGGGATATAAGTGTATTGATATCGGGTGATAAAAGGGGTTCTGAATTGATCAGGCGAGTTAAAAGATATCATTGGATTAAAGGCGGATAAAGGAATTTGAGGGAATAATGACGGATGAGTCATATTAGTAGTTTTTTGTTGATTAAGCGTGATTAAGATAAAATTGAATCATGAATCCTCCTCAACCCAACGATTTTATTTCGATACCTCTAATTCAAGAATTTTCAGATATCCAACTCACTGATCTCCAACTTACATAATTTGATCCCTTGATATTACGCCAAATATGGATATCATAAGATTCGAAGGGATATCGGAAGAACAAAAGTGATGTATCAATTTTCGATATCCACCTTAGTCCAAAGCATGCTTCACTCTTAATTGTTTAAATCCCCTTATAGCTTAAATCCCCACTCCAAATCCACTGATATATACTTCTTGATATCCCTCAATAATCCTTATTTTAAGTCACTTGTGTTTAAATGTCCTGCCATGTGCTCAATTTTATAATAATTTGGATATTTTTTGCGAATTATAAAGGAATTTTTTTGAAAATCTATGTACGGATCCAGCATTTTTCAAATTAAGAAATCTAATTGATTTAGACATTTAGAATTTTGAAATAAATTTTCACAAGATAAATCAGTGAGGAAGGTTGAAAAATAGTACTCCCCCCTGAATTAGCACTCCCCCCTTAAATAGTACTCCCCTTTGGAGGAGGGTTGAAAAATAGTACTCCCGGGAGTACTATTTTAGGAAATACGGTATATGTACTTATTAAAATTGCCATCAACTTCGTCCTCACACGTTATTTGGCGCCAATAGACAAAGTTGTCGAACTGTGCCTTTAAAATTATATTTTTTATATAATTTATTCCTTCTTATAACTTGCCATCATAAAGAACTTTAGGGCTATTAGTTTTTTTGCATTCTTCACAAAATGAATGCAAGACTTTTAGTTCAGATGACGAATCATTACTCAATTCTGCCAATTGTAGTGCATTTGGGTGTAGCATTGTTGTTATTGAGAGAGTCTGACAAATATGTACATTTATAATTAATAGACTAAATTTAAATAACGGGCCCGGTTTAATTTTTCACGATATTCAGTGTCGATATTTAGATACCGACCAACGCTCTCGGTCGGTCTCTATTAACTACATCTAAGTAAAATATTTTTTGACACATTTTTTTATTATATTAATATCTTGCAAATTAAATTAATTTTACTTTTAAAACACCAAAATCAGCCATTTTTTGAATATCTCTGGATCCCCAAAGTGCTCCAGAAGGTATAAATACAGAATGATTATCTTCTTGTCGTCGAGTTGCTTCAAAATTTATGTTTTAGTGTGGTCGTGTTAATATATAAGCAGTCGAATTATGATAATATAGAAGCCTGGGGAATGGCTCATCTAGTCCATAACTCCTCAGACTGATACAGGTTGGCACCTTCTACTTTGGATAAGATGTTATTCTTGTCATTAAATCTCTTACAATCCCGAAAATAACATATACATAGTATGTATATAATTTAAAATTTTGTTTACATTAAAGCAAAAATTGGGGACTTTGAAAATAAATATATATGTACATTACCTGCCTTAATCTCATTATAAGTTTTTTCAACAGCTAAAGCAGTCACAGAACCTATCTATATTAATTATATAATTACTAAATGTTTTTTAACAAATTATTTCTTCAATATTAAAAGAATAAACTTAACAAAAAGATCGGCGTGTTTAAGAATTGTGTTTGCATAATTGTGAATGATATCAGGATGTGAAACCTTTAAATATAAATTTAAAGATTAAAATTATAAATTAATTATTTTTAACACCTCAATAATTAAATCAATGTCTTTCAAGTTTTCTTCATTTAATTCACTCAAAGGTAAAACACCTTCATTAGAATCCTCAGTTCTATTCCAAATTTTTTGTAATAAAAATTCTGGTGATTTACTTAATTCTATTTTAAGGAATTGACCTTTAAATAAAAATTTTTAATTTAAATATGTATTTAGATATACAATTTGCTAAGTTAATATGAAATTTAATTATAAAAACTTTCTAATTTCAGAAAATTAAAATATAAACAACACCTACCTAAACGTCCAAATCCAATAATTCCTATTCTTTTTTGATTATTTTGTTTTTGTTGTTTACTCTTAAAAGAATTTGTAAATATTTCTTCTTCTTCACTTGGATTTTCTGTTGAAGTTACCATTTAATTAATTTTTTTAAAAATAATTTTTGTTAAAAAATTTTTTTACAAATTAAAAAATTAATTGAATAAAACAAAATATATGTAAATATTAATAATCAAAAATTTATTTTATTAAATAAAAGTTAAAATTAATTAAATAGAACAGGAGGAATTTAAAGTAAAAATATTTATATAAATACTTCCGCAATCACAACAATCGTTTTCAGACAAAAAATTAGTTAGAATTTAATTAAAGAATAGCTGAGTTATCTAATAATCTCGTTAACTACAGATATTTATGATTGCACATCAAATAATTAAAAATAAATTTGAATTTAAAATAATATTATATTTAATTTAACAATTAATTTTTATTTATTTTTTGAAATAATAATATTTCGCCACCAGAAAGTATTCCAAGTTTACCAGCTCTCACAATTTTATCAATTGTTCCGGAAAGAAAAATTTTATAAAAATTATTAAAGCCTGAAGGTAAAACATGTAAAAATTGTGCTAAATTAATTAATTGTTCAATTAATGATGATCTAAATAAATAAATAAAAATAAACTATAAATTTCTTTTAATTTAATACCTAATCATCCACATAAATATTTTTGAATGACTAAAACAATAATAAAATGGTTTGCCTACTTTTTTGTCCTAAAAGTAATTATTTATATAATTTATATATTAAATATTATATTTACTAAATCAATAGCTTTAATCAACACAAAATTAGCATTATTAGCTTCTTTTATTATTTCATTACGAGAATGTAAAGGGGGCATTCCACAAGACATTTCAAGCTCAGAAAGTAATTTCCTTCAAATAAAATTTGATAAAAATTAATAACTTTTGTTGTGGTAATTTGAGTGAAAACGTTAAAAATGGGTGCCTGCATACTTTTGTGGAGTCAGACAAAGTGTGGGAACTTCGAAATTTCTGATTATTTTTGTTCACTATACTCTATCATTTTATATTTATTTGATCTATTATTTTAAATATGAATAAAGTTATGCCAAAAATAGTGTGCCCAGTTACTTTTTGGTCACTTTGTATTATAATTAGCTGGAAAATGTAGAAAAGGTCCCTCCTCCCTCCCTATTTAAATATTAAATATCCTCCAAAAATACCAACCGATGCTCAACATTATCTTCATTATATTTATCAGTTTTCAATAAATCATATACCAATAAAAGCCCTTCAGGTTTCAATACTCTATTAAGTTCTGAAAATATTATTTCAAGTTTAGGTAAATATTTAAGTGAATATATTGCATAAGCAGCATCTTGACTGTTTTTAGAAAATGGAATGTCTAAAAAAAGGAATATTTCTAATTTAATTTTATACTTTATTTTTCTTTACTTTTGGAACAATTTGCTTGTAAAAGTTGACATTTTTTGTTAATCCCTAATTTTTGAAATATTTTATTTCCAATATCCACCTAAAATTAAATTTATATTTTATTTTTTAATTAAAAAATAAGCCTCATCGGGAGAAATTGTTAAACCAATAAATTGAGCTCCTGTAAAGGACAAATGTTCAATTACATTTCCAATTCCACAACCAATGTCTAAGCATTTTGTTTTATTATTTAATTGAAGACTTAAATACAATTAATATTTTTTTTAAAAAAAACTTAAAAGGACTTTGACTATTTTTGTTAACATTTACACAATACTCCCCCCATCTAATTATTTTAATATATGAAAGGTAATTTTTATTAAAATTTATTTTTATTTAAATAATATTATTACCAACCATTCACCAATTAATAAATGTAATTCTTTTAAAGAATTAGATATTGAATTACCACTATATTTTGTTGTTTTTATAAAATTATTTGTTTCAAATAAATTAAATGTTTGTTGATTTTGTGAAGGTAATGGAGGCACAAAATGAAAACTTTTACAAAAATATTTCTCAATAAGCTATTAAATTTATTAAAAATTTAATAAAAAATTTCAAAAAATAATTACTTTAGACATAATTGAATAATAATGGGCAATACATGGCCCATAATCTCCATCTTGTTTAGCATCGGCATAAAGGCGGAAATGTATTTCCGTAAAAGAAGTCTGTAAATAAAAATGTAAAGAAATTATTTAAATTATAATGATTATTTAATTATTAATTAAAATATTCTCAAGTTATAAATTAAAGTGAAGAAAAGCTAATTTTAAATATTTTAGATTTAAGCACAATTAATATTAAATATTTAATTTGGCAAAAAGTGTGGTAATAGGTAATTAATTATTTCAAAATTTTGTGTTTAATTTAAATTAAAAAAATATCAGGTATTAAAATAATTTTTCATTAGAACAAATCGATTTACAATAAATAAATAAATTGTATTTGGAGAGAGGGAGAGACTTTTACAATGCATGAGCAAATGATTTCGGCTGACTGTGAACGTGTAGACTGTCATTTAATATTTTTATTTACCTACATATATTGATTTGAACGTAAATATTTAGGAAAATGTATGTATCAGAAAGGGTCGAAAAAAACCCCGGAGATGCCGAAAATTTTAAAAATAATATGAACGTAAATATATAATTTGTTATTTATTGTAATTTTAAATATTAAAAAAATTATTAACAGTTGCTAAGTAACAAATCTTTGTAAATAATGAAGTAAAAATATCTTTTTTTCAGATAAATTATTTAAAAATATATAAATTATATATTTTCTTAAATTTTTGTAAAAATAAATATACCAAATCATTTTGACGAAAATTTAAAAGAATTTTTAAAAGTTGATAATTTATTGACATTATAAAATATAAAATAATTTAAATTAAATTTTATTTTTTTTTATTTTTTGGATTTTTACATAAAATGAAAGGATTGCCGATTAAACGATTATTATTTATTTTTATATACAATGACCGATCTCTACAAAATTTAAAAACACTCATCATTTATTTTTTAATACAAATTTATTGCATATCCTCAAAGCTTTCATAAAATTATTTATTTTCTTTTGAAAATGGGTCATTAATAACGATCAAATTTTAAATACGGTAAAAAGAAACTATAAATATTTTATATTTATTAAAGAAACTTAATAAATAATTTAATTATTTTAATATTTTAATGAATCACAAAAATTTTATATATTAATATTTTGTAAAGTACATACATATATGTATCATTTTATTTTCAATAAAATATTAAACAATAAATAAATAGTATAAAAAAGTTAATTAAAGTAAAGAATGCTTGTTGTAATAATTAAAAGTTTAACAAAAATAGTAACTACCTAAATTTAAAATTATTATTTAAAAAAAGTAAAATTTAATTTCATCTTTAAATGAAAAATAATTTTTATTTTATTATTATTTTTGTGAATTTTTTAATTTTAAATAATATTTTTGCAAATAATGATAATAAGGTTTGAAATAAATATTTTAAATATTTAATATAAATTATTAGGAAATAAATATTAATTTGCCTGTGACAATCAAAAAATTTCCTTTAAACTTCAAATATGGACCTTCAAATAAAACAATTATTGTTTCGGTAAGAAAATTTAAAATAAAAATAATTATTTAATTAAATTTAAATTTTAATTAAAATAAAAATTTAGAATCAATTTAAAAGAGAAAATCTCTTAATAAAATTTTTATTTTTTAATTATAATTTTTTAAAAATTTTTTAAGGAAGTGGATGTTAGCAAAGGAAATGTATTTGAAAGAAAAAATTTTAAAAAAATACATTAAATATTTATTTAATGAATGAATAATTTTTAAATTTAAATATATATAATTTGTAAAAAAATTTTAAACAAATTTTCTCTTAAAGGAATTTATCTCACGAGTGAAGATTTTAAAAATTAAAATAATCCATAAGGGGTTGAAAATATTTTTTAATTTGAGAAACTCTGCTTTACGTTTATTTTCATCGTAACAAGATCACAACACCGAAAGAAAATATGTGCCTAACTCTTTTGAGTTTTTCCTTATTAAATAAGAAATGTTTGCTTGAATTTCTATAAATTTTTCCTATTTTTATTTCAAAATAAGAATAAAGTGTTTCCATACTTTTGCACCAGTCAAAATAAGGGAAGTAAATTTAAAAATTAATTTTTTATTTTGATAACGAGCTTTTAAACTTTAATAAAAATTTACAAATTTTAAAATTTATTGATCAGATAAAATTATTAACCTTTAAAATATCAAAGAAAATAATTACATAAAAATTAAAGTAATCACAGAAATACCATAACACAATATTTTTTAAATTCCACTTTTAATTCTTTCGTTGTGCTAAAATAAATAAAAAATATATTAAATTACTAAATTTAAATATTTTACAATTATTGTTTTTTGCCGCAGCTTCTTTGCAAGCATCACATTTACAGTCTAACGGATGAGCAGAATCTTTACTATTTTCGTCCTTTGTTTTTGATTGTTGAAGTGGATTTCTTCCTGCCAATCAAATTTTAAATTTTTATATTTAAATATTTACATATTTTTAACAAGTAAATATTTACCAAATTGTTGCTGTAATCCGAAAACATCTTTTTGTAAAGGAGGTGAACGAGTACTTCCAAAATTTATTAAAATCAAAAAAATTAAAATTAAAAAAACAATTTTTGTTTTCATCATTTTATTAAAATTTAAATTAACTGAAAAAGGAATTTAAATTTAAATGAGATTATTGAGAAGCTTTTATACAAATAAAAATAAAAATTGGGAAATCTCTGAAAAATTAAACAAAAAGAATTTTGGATATCATTTTTGTTTTCATTTTACGAAAAAAAACAAAATTTATTTATCTAAAATTGAAAAAAAATTAGATAACAAAAGGGACAAACAATAGCTTTTATTTGATGACATTGTTGGATATGAAAGGATATTTTTAGTTATTTTTTGTATTGTATGATGAATCCATTATTTTTATTTAAATAATAATATTGAAATAAAAATTCTTTATTTTTTTTTAAATTGATATATTAAATGCTCTTTTCTTAATTTAGTGTGTTGACTGACCAGGGGATAAATCATACATATTTCTTTTAAAAAATTAGAGAATTTTTTTGTAAATTATTTTAAATTAAATTGTTTATAATTTGAAAATAAAAATATTTATTCATAAAATATATTTACAAAAATTATTATAAATAAAAAAATTAAATTTCAGAAGGCGCTTGATTGAGATTATTTTCTTGATTTTTTATTGATTCATCTATTAATTCATCCTTGCTTATTGAATTTGAAAATATAATTAATTTTAATCTTCTCCAACATTTTTTTATAAAAATTAAAATTAAATAGGTTAAAATTCCAAGAATTATAATAACAAATAATTGAGAAAATACTAAAGTAACAGCTAAATAACCTTTCTTTAAATTAAAAAAAATTATTTTTTTAAATTATTTTAACTAAATAAACTTGAAAAAATAGCCAACAAAAAAAAGTTATAGCCAAACATATCGGCAAAATAACAATCCAAGTTTGGGAATTAAAATTTAAAAAGGAAGTACAAACTGTCAATCCATTATTTTGGTGACTTGTTGCAGCAAAACTATTTCCACCTCCAACCACTAAAAAAGAGGCAGACATTTTAAATTGTAGAGGGAATTAATATATTATTTTAAAGAAATGATTTTGAATTTCATTAAATAAATTTTAATTAAAAAATCTTAAAATAAAGAATATAAGCAATTAAATTTTAAAAAATTAAAGATTAATTCCGTTAAAGTTTTTAGTAAAAATTATTAACAAGAAAACTTTAAGACGAAATAAAAAATATATTAAAATATTTGTATGTATGTTGTCATTAAATAAATAATATTAGAAATATAGTAAACTTGTAAAAAAAGTCTAAAATTTTGGGAATAGTAAAATAAATAATTTTAAAATTAAGTTTCAGTTATTTTAATAACAATTTAAGCTTCTATTTTAAATATTTTATTTTAGAAAAATTATAAAAAAATTTTTAATCTAAAAAGTATTGATTTAAAAAGTGAACATTTTTAAAAGTTTTTTCTGCCAGATAATTATTATTTTTGAACAAAAAGAATCTTTTCTCTTATTTAAAACAATGGATTTCTTTTAAAATATTTAGATATAGACAACAAATGGGGATTGCTATCTATTTTATTTAAAAAAATGAAAAATTATTTAAGAAAAAAAAGAAGAAAATATCAAATACTTATTAAGGACAAACCATTTATTTTGCCAGAATGAATGATAAAAATTAAAAGTTTATAAATAGTTATTATATTACACAAATATTTTTAAATGTTAAATTTAATAAATTTAAAATAAAATTTAAAGATGTAAATTTCTTTTCATTTTTAAAATATTAATAACTTCAATATTTCACAAAATAATGAGAAAAAAGGAAAAAAAAGATGTGTGGAAAATAAATGTACATAGTAGTTAAAACAAAAATCTATTAATTATTGACAAATGCCATTTTATGTTTATACTTAAAGATTTTTTTGTTGGCATTATTGGTATGTATATGAATACATTTTCTCATTCATTAATAATTAGCACCCCTTATTCATTTATATATCCTTTCAAATGTTAAGTATACATATTTATTTTTAATTAATTAGTTGATTATTTTCTCTTTTCATTAAAAATCCTTAAGGGAAATAGATAAAATATTAATTATTATTTTTATTTAAAAAACTGAATAAAAACATATAATCATTATTTAGAATGAGGGAATAATAAAAAGGAAAAAAATTAAAAAAATATTTTTATTTGTAAATAAAGAGTTGCTGGAGGTTATTTGTAAAACTGTAAAACGAGCTTAAAGAATTTGCTTAAATAAATTTTAAATTGTGTAGAATGTCGAAAGAATGGAGGTATTTTAGGTTCAATTTAACAGACTTAATACTCGAAAAATTTAAAAAAATTGAAAATTAAATTAAAATAATTTTATGACATAAATGGACTTTGTTCAAACATTTACCAAAAAAATAATTTAAAAATAAATTAAATTCTAAGTAAAAAATAAAATTGAATTTTGTGAGAGTTCCTTAGCAATTTTAATAAAAAAAATCCAAAAAGAATAATCAACTAATCCTTATTAAATCTCCAAATTTCTCTTTCAATGGCAAATTGAATTTTTAATAGAAAATAAATACAAGTATATACTAAATAATTATTGTTCTCCTATTTTAAAGTAATATTTCTCGTTATTTGACCTTGAAGCGACGCGCAATGATTGTTTGCCAGTTACATATATCTATCTATATATATCCACATTGTTTTCTACTCTTATATTTAAAAAAATTAATAAAATTCAAATTTTTAAGATAATTTTTATTCACATGTACATTTAATAAAAAGCTCTGATTATTTTTTGTCATCTAGTAAGATAAAGTGATTTAATAAATTTGGATGAAAAATTTAATTATTTTGACAGTTAAAATATAATTAAAAGGATTAAATAAAATTTTAGTTTTTTTTTAAATTTAAAAAATATTTATTAAATGTCAACAAAAATATTGAAAAATTATATAGAAGAAGAATCAACAGAAATTATTAAAGAAATACTTCCAAATATTTCTTCTATTTTGGAATATTTAATTAATGAAAGCAACAATCCTGAAATTTTTAATAAATGCATTGGATCAAATGAAAAATTAACCAATTCTTTATTAAATATTTTAAAAAATGGAAATCAACAATTATTAATTAATTTTTATAATGCTTTAATTAATTGTGGCAATTTGTTTTGTTTCTCTAAATTTCTTAAAATTCATTTGGTTGATATGTTGAGGTAATACAATAAATAATTATTAAATAAACAATTCAAAAAATATATTTAATAACAATTATTTAGATTAATTTAGAAATTAAAATTGAATATTTTCAGATTTGAAAAATTATTTAAATTAAATTATTTATTATCTAATCCTGTTACAATTTCTCTCCCTCCATTTGAAAATCAGGTATTTTGTAATATTTTTAAATTAAATATAATCTTTAAATTTATTTTAGATTAATTTAGAAATAAAAATTGAATTTGTAAAGAAACACTTCAAAATATTAAAATTGAATTTACTAAATGTTTCTGCAATTCTAGACCAATTAAATATTTGGGGAATTTTTAAATATTTAAACATAGAAAATTTTGATGTTAGCGAAAATGAATTTTTAATTAAAATTTTAACATCAAAAAATCAATTAAATTATACTTATGATTGTTTTTGTTTAACTTTAATAATTACAAAACAATTTAAATTGTTTAGGTAAAATAATTAATTATTTTTTAAAATAATTTATTTAAATTTTTAAAGTATTTTCTATGAATTAGCTAATTTAAAATGGTTAGAATTAGTTTGGAAAATGTTTTTACATGAAAGTTTACAAAAACAAAATGAAGAAATAATAAATGAAAATTTTAAAGAAAAATCTAAAGAAATATTATTAAATGATTTATTTAAAGTTGAGAATGTTGATTCAGGCTCTAGTAATAATATAATAACATATTATAGAACGCACAAAAATGAAGTAATATTATTTTTGTTTTTTAAAATTAATTAGTTTATTAACTTTTTAATGCTTGATTTAATACAATGCTTGATTTAATATCATTCGAAAGCCCTCAATAACCTGTATATTTTGTCTAATAGGATCAGTCATTAAAAAGTTAAAGCCGATAAAATCCAACTTTATTTGTCTTTAAAATAATAAATACAAACAATTATTAATATAGAAAAATTTTTTTAGATTTATCGAAATTTTTCTACACCAAGAGGACTAGCTTTAATTATAAATAATTATCAATTTATAAATAAGCAAAATAGGGAAGGAACACAAGTTGATGAATTTAGTTTATGTAATCTTTTTAAACAACTTGGATATAAAATAATTTGTGAAAGAGATTTAACTGCTCGGGTTATTTTAAAAATACAAAATAAATATTTAAATATAAATTTTAGCAAATGTGGATTGCAATTCAAAAATTTGCTGAAAGAGAGGAACATTTACAATGTGATAGTGCTATTGTGGTATTTTGTTTAGTAAAAAATATTTTTTATAATTAAAAAGGTTGTAATGAGCCATGGAGTGTTTGATCATTTATTAGGCACTGATGAAATGCCTGTCAATTTCCATTCTTTCGTGTCGTGTCTTAACTCAAAAAATGCACCTAAATTAATAGGAAAACCAAAAATATTCAGTCCAGGCATGTAGAGGAGGTTTTTTTGGAAATAAATTTATTTAAACGTAAATATTTTTAAAGAAAATTATGATGAAGGTGTTGAACATATAGTATCGGAGGAGTGTGTAGATGGCCCATCATTTTCTCCTTTATTTTCGATTTTTTCTAAATATATTAAACCTAACAACAATAATAACAACAATAATAATCCTTTAAATGCTTCCTCAATATTTAGAAATGCCCCCTCACCAAATTCTCAAAATTATTTTAATGAAAGTCAAGGTAAAAACCAAAATGAGAATTATAATTATATATTTATTTTTTAAAGTTCAAAAGAGACTAAGAGTAGAAAAAGTGCCAACATTTGCAGATATTTTAATAGCTTCTGCTACAACTTCAAACAACGTTTCCTGGCGTAATTCAGCTACTGGTACTTGGTAGGTTTTAATAAATTTTTTAAAATTTTTTTAAAGAAAAAAGATTATACATACAATTTTAGTTCTAAATAAAAATATTCAATAAAATGTATAAAAAACTATTCTGAGGACTTTCTGAAATTTGAAACAAATTTAATTTAAATCTAAAAACATTAATTAATTCAAATTATTTTTAAAGGTTTATTCAAACATTATGTGAAGTATTTAGTAAAAGAGCAAAAACTGATGATATTTTAAAAATGCTAACTTATGTTAAAAGTGAAGTTGCTAAAAAAGAGTCAAATTCTGGTGGAAAATATAAACAAGTATTTTTTGTTTAAAATTAATTTAAATAATAAATTTATTTATTTGAAGGTACCAGAAACTCTATCAACACTTTGTAAACATTTTTTCTTCTTTCCGGGAGTAACAAATAAAGAAATTTAATTTCAAGCGTAAATTAATTTTATTTTACAAAAATTGTTGAGAATTTTCAGGGAATTTTTTGTTAAATATTTTAATCATTTTAGTCTCCTTAAAAATAATATTTTAACTATTTTTGATTATTTACGCCTTTCAATCTTTTTGTATAGAATTTGCCTCTGTTTTTGAAATAATTTAATAAAATATTTTTGCCAATTTTTACAATTTTCTATATTTTTAAGTAAAATTTCATATATCTAAATAAATAAATATTATTTACAAGTCTAAGCATAATATGTAGATATTACAAAAAAACAAAAGTTAACTTTTTTATGATGAGCTCAAAAATACTAACTTATGTTAAAAGTGCGTTTAAATTGCTCAGTCAAAAGATTTTTTGCCTTTTTTATATATTTTAATCTTAAATATTTTTAGCCATAAATTTTGAATAATTTTTGATAAATTTTAAAAGTATTTGATAGAATAATTTATTTCATAAAAATTCCTTTATATTTTATTTATTGCTTTTAAAATATGAATGATCATTTAAAAAATATTAAAAAAAATTTTCAAATTATTCCAAAATTTAAAACTATTTACTTTAAATTTAAAATCAAAAAATGAGAATTATTAGCGAATTATTATTAATAATTATTATTTTAATATCAACATTAAATAAAATTAAAGCCTATGATGGTCCAGCAATTGTAAATTAATTTTATAAAATTTTAAATAAATAAATATAAATAATTCAAAAGTGCCCACAAAATTATTTTTTTCCGCATATTTGCTGCTGTCCTCAAGGCACTTTGGCAGGCTGGATTGGTCAAAATCAACCATGGTGTTCATTGCCAGGAATGAACCGGCATTTTGTTCAGGCGTAATTTAAAATAAATAAAAATTTAATTTCTAAATATTTAAGACAAATTTCAACATATTCACAGTCTTGTCCAAATTATTTTGTTCCTTCTCCAAATCAAAATTTCTATAATTTTCCCCAACAACAAAGAAGTCTGTCTCCCTACCTTCTGCCGCAACAATTTTCTGGTCAACTAAATCCTCCTCTCCCTCCTCCTCCTCAACCACTTCCATACCAACTATCTCCTCCTCAACAACCTCCATATCCTCAAAATCCCCAAGGACCTCTACAACTCCCAATTGATAATCAACCATTATCTTCACCTCAAATTCAATTACAATCTTCTAAAAACAATCAACAAAAAGTTGATCCATTATCTAATCCTTTAATTAAATCGTCTCAATTAAATGATAACCAACCAATTTATAATAATAATAATCAACAACCTTTGCTACAACAACAAACTCAAAGTATTTAATATTTAAAATAACATCCATAAACTCTATTTAATTAATTTTATAAATTTATTTTTAGCTAAAAGAACAATAAAAACATTACCAACAAATAATGAAAGTAATGGGAAAATTAAACAAGATCAGAATCAAAACCCGCAACAAGAAAGAATAGTAATTGAGAAATGGGAAGATAATTAAAATAAATAAATTTTATAAAAATATTCGTAATAAAAATTTTTTGTCTGAATTAAAGTTAAGATTAAAATTTTATTTTCTTTCGAAAAATTAAAACTTTAAATTTTTATTTAATCTAAATAGTATGTATACATATTTATTTTAAATTTAATTTTTAATCTAAAAAATTATTTTCTTTTTAAATAAATTATTTCTACATTCAAGAAAAAGCAAACAGTTGGCACATCAAAAGAATTTGAGAGGATTTTTATGTTTAATCATCTAAACTTTTATTTTACTTGGATCATTAAATATGCGTTGCCAATCAATTAAAATCGTTGAATTTATTTAATAAATATATATTTACTATATAACATTTTTATAAAAAGATTAAAGAATAATCAGGTATATTTAGTTATTTGAAAGAAATTTCGATTTTTAATTTAATAATAAATTAAATAATTACTAATTAAATTTTTTAAATTATTTTTAGAAATAAATTAACATATTTATTTTAATATATTCTATGGCTAGCAAAAAATATCCTCGACTTAATTCAGCTGGAAATGCTGAAGTATCCCTCAATTATTGGCCATATTTCCCAAAATCACCTATACACCAACACAATGCTACATATGAATATTATAAAGTTTTTAAAATAAATAAAAGAAAATATTTTTGTTTAATTTAAGCAAGGCTCAATGTATCAATGGTTTTTAAGATCAGCAGCTCAGCAATGCCCGAAAAGTAATCGTTCAGGATATTATTATTATTGCCCATATACTGGACAACATGAACGTTCTGTTTATCGGTATTAATAAAAAAAGGTAATTAATAATAAATATTTTTTTTATTTAAAAACAGTAAAATAAATTTAAGGAATAATTTTACAGAAAATATGTAAATGGCTGGAATTATTCAAAAGAATATCTATAAATTTATATCAAACATTAGAATTTAAATATTTTAATATTTAATTTTGATTTTTAGTTAATAAATTTATTTTAATTTTAAAACTTTTTCTCAAATTAGAATATCAAATTTAATAAATTATCTTTCTTAAAAAATATTTTAAATTTAATGTGTATATTAAGAAATTTATTTTTTCAATTTTTAATCAGCCGGTTTTCATCAAAGAATAAATATCAATTAATATATTTAAAAAATGTTTGGAATTTATTAACTCTCTTTTAAAAACTCCCTAAAATAAAAAGTTATTTTAAGAAAGTTTAAAAAATAATTTTTTTTAATTAAAAATATTTAATTTAACAAAATTTTAAATATTAATTATAAATTAACGTCATTACCTTCATCTGCCATACAGACATTCTGTCAAACATCCTATCATTAATTATATACAAAAATGTTTTGTATATTCAAGGCCTTCTAATTAAAAAATTTTTTTTAAATTTCCTTTTTAATTTGTCAATCTCAAATAAAAAATAATGCTGTAATAAAAAAGATTTTTGGGTGTCAACTAATACCATTAACGCGCATCTTTATTTTGTGACGTTTTAAACTTTTTACACAAATTGAGGGAACAGATATTTAGACGAAACAAAAGTAGAAAATGAGAGAAAACACATAAATAAATTTTGTTTAAATTAAAAGGCGGGATTACTCTTTCACAAAAATTCCAAAAAAAACATTGGAATTACTCATCAAGAATTTCTACGAAAAATTAGATGACTTGCTATATAAAGAAGGCATTAATGAGAGTATCTTTAAACTAAAAATTAATTTGTTCAATTATTGTTAGTTATGAATCGTTCAATTTTTGTTTTATTTGTTTTTGCTGCTATTTGGTTTGTCCCAGCTGAATTTGCTGAAGACAAAGAGGGAGTGGATGATAATAAATCCATGACAAAATTGTTAACTATTTTATTTAATTTTTTAAAATTAGATTTAATAAATTCAGGCGTAGTAGAAGATATGGTGGATGTAGTTCCTGTGCAACTAGTAAGATTGGATTTTTTAAATAATTTATTTTATTAAATTTTCTTTAATAATTTAAGCATGTAGCACTTGCGGAATAAGTGGTGAATTTAAATAAAATCTTAAATTAAAGATTATATAAACAAATATTCCTTTAAAGGATACTCTACATATTCAAGCAGTAGTTATCCAAGTTACCCCGCCTCTAGCGGAAATAGTTATATTCCCAGTAGTGGAGGTGGTTGCTCATCTTGTGGAAGTGGGGGGAGCTATGGGGGTAGTGGAACTGGAAGTAGTTGGTGGTGGAAATCATCATCTGGATCCTCATCACCAAGTTTTTCTCTTTAAATTAAAATTATTTTAATATTAAATTAAAAGGTTTTGGATCTGGAGGAGGTGGTTTTGCACCAAATTACGCACCAAGCTCTGGTGGAGGTGGGGGTTGTGGAGGAGGTGGATGTGGCTCTGGGGGAGGAGGATGTGGAGGAGGTGGTTGTGGTAATGGAGGAACTGTCCACACTGTCCATACATATACTTATCCTGCATCATCTGGTGGTGGAAATTATGGATATGGAGGGGGCTGTAATGTTTGTGGAAAGAAGAAATAAATGAAAATATAGAGAACTTTTATTCATCGAATTAAATCGATATTTTCTGAAAAATAAAATTTTATAATAAATTTTTGATAAATATTTAGGTTTAAATCTTTAAAGTTAACATAAGAAAATAAATTTTATTTTCAACAACAAATAAAATATTTTAATTAATTTAACAATTATCTTATTTTAATTTCTTCTCTTCGTTTTTTCCAAATTCATTTTCGTCCTGGATCATCAATTGGACCAGGTTTCGGTTTTTGAAGAACAGGAGCTGGATTAAAATCTCCATAGTCTTTAGCATTTGATAATTTTAAAATAAAAAAAGTAGTAACCAAAATAATTATTAAATTTAAAGAAAATATTAAATTAATCTTCATTTCTTAAATTATTTAGAAAAAAATGTTGAGATAACTTTATTTACTTTGGTTAAAAATAAAATTTATAAAATTGTGTTTTTAACTTTTGAATAATTTCTCTTTTAAATTTAAAGCAAATATTTAGGTAAATATATAAAATTTTTATTTATTTAATTTAACTTTTTGTTAAAAAATAAAAATAAAAAAATGAAAAGAAAATAATTCAAAAAAGGAAAATCTTGCTTGACTTTCTATTTAGTTATAAATTTTCAAAAAAAAAATAAAAAGTGTCATTTGATTAACAAAAATAGAATATAAAATTGTTTAGCTAAAAATGTAAAAAATGTAAAAAAAATATTAAAATTTATTTTAGCAAACAATCAAATTAAAAAAAAGATTTTAAATTTTGAGAGAAATATATAAAATATAAACGAATTAAACACTAATAGATTAATTTAAAAGTTATTTAAAAAATATTTTTAGAAAATAATTGGGGATTTTTGGTTAAATAAAATAATTAACGTTTAATTAAAGGAAAGAAAGATTTTGTTGGTATATAAAATTGTGTAGTTAATCATGTTTTTAAAGCTTCTATATAAATTTTAAATTAATTGGAAAATCAAAACTTTAAAAAATAGAAAAAAACTAGATGAAATTATGGTTACTTAACAAACTATAATTATTGTGAAAAAATTAAAAGAATTTTAATTAATAATTTAAATAAAAATTAAATAATTATTCTGTATTTTCCCTCGACAATAAATTATTTATCCAACTTACTATTACCATTTCTTTTAATTATTCAAAACTTTTTCTCTTTGTTTTAAATAATCATTAGCTGTAATTCTTTTCTTCATTTTTTGATTCACTTCCTTCCATAATTCACTTCTTTTCCTTTTCATTAACTTTCCACTAATATTTAACGAATTTTCCCCAATTTTTTGAAATTTTTTAATTAATATTTTTCGTTTCCAAGTTTTTTGTTTTCTTTTAATATTTTTATTATTTTTAATTTTAAAGAAATAATTTAAAAGTTTTGAAATTAATTTAAATAAATTATTATTTTTTAATTCTTCATTAGGTATTAAATAATAATTATTAATTAAAATTTTTAAGCCAAAATTATTATTTAAATCTTCAAAAAGTAAAATAAAATTATTTTGTAAATTTATTTCTCTCTCTAAATATTCTTCTTCATTTTCTGCTTTTATAGGTGACAAAATAAATTTTAATAAAGAAATGTTAGCATCAATAGCTAATTTTGCTAAATTAAAGAATTGCGTATTTTGTGAATTTATTGTTTCAGACATATTAATATCTTTATTATTTGTCTCTATTTTCATCTCTTCAATTTGTTCAACTAAAAATATTAATTAATTAAAAAGCTTAATTTTAATTTCATAAATTCTTGCTATTATTATACTTTTTAAAAATTATATCAAAAATAAATACAAAATTTTGTCTAACAACAAAAATATTTAAAATAAACAAACTCACCCAATTTTTCTTCATTTATTTTTTGTTCAATTTCATTCATTTCTTTATTCAATTCTTTATCCAATTCATTAATTTCATCAAAAAAAGGAATATCATTTTTTGTTGGAAGAAAACGTTCTTTCTCAAAATAAAAATTAATTACTTCCCCAACAAGTTGAAGTGCTTCTCCAAATTTAACCATTTTTAAATCATTCTGGTTAATTTGACAATAAATTAATTTGTCATTAATTAATTGAATATTTCCTTTAGCCATTTCATTTCCAATAATTTTTTCTAATTCATTTTCATTTAAATTTTTCAATTTTAATTCATTATCTATTATTTGCTTCTTCAAATCATCTAATCCTGCTTCCTCCAATTTTGAGCGCAAAAATTTATAATCATTATCTACATCATCCTTTACTTTCTTTCCTTCTACATGTATATTTTTTAAAATTTATTTTCTTAAGAGAGTTTCCCGGGACCCAAAATTTTGGACCGTCTAGAGCCAAAACAGCGGAATTATTCGATTTTTTTAGAACGGAATACGGGGTGTCTAAATCTCAGATACGTAAATCCGAGACTCTTTTAGAATTTCTAGTAGGTTAATTCAATTTATTAAAATATTACCTGTAAAATATTTCCACAAAGCACTATGCAAATATCTTGCACAAAAGAGAATACCTTGTATTAATATAACAGATCTTTCAATATCCCTTACTAAATATTCTTCCCCTTCTTTTTTAAATGTCGAAATTAATTTTTGACATTTTTCAATTCTATCATTAGTAATTATCATTTTACTGTCATTATCCACCTTTCGATTAATATATAAATCTAAAGTTTCCCCTAATTCATTAAATTCATTCATACAATTCTGGCGAGAAATTCCTTCAAATGCTGCATCATTTTGTGACAAAAATACAATTAAAAAACTCAAAATAATAATATTCATTTTTTAATTTTTATTTTTGAATTTAATAAAAAGAAGACGGGATTTTTTAATTAAATTGCTATAAAAATTAATTTCTTCCTATATTTATAAACAATTTTTTGCACTTTTTATTTACATGTAAAAATAAAATTATTATTGAGAAATATATGTATATGTATGTAGACAGTCTGAAAAATAAATTTATTTAATTTCCGATTGATTATACATTAAAGAGAAACCCCGAAAATTTGTCGGAAAAACATTATAGTCTTTCAAAATAAAAAAATATTTTAAAAATATTATTAAATAAAAAATAAATTGTTTGCACTTTTTAATTAAATTTTTTTAGCTAAATACAAAAAATATTTATATTTAATTATTTAAATATTAAAAGTTAGCGAATTCAATGTATCAGAAAAAAAATATTTAAAAATTTCCAGAAATTCTCCAGGAGCCGCCAACTTTAAATTACAATTTTTATAAACTAAAATTTAAAGAATTTTTTAAAGTAAAATATCATTATAATCAACAAAATTATTTAAAGTATTAACTTCTGATTTATTAAACTTTCCTCTTTCAATTTCATTAAAATCCAAACTTTCATTCATTGCCAACATATTTACTCTAGCATAAGTAAGTCGACTAGCACGAATTAATTCTGGTCGATAAATTAAATTATTTTCATTATTTTCTTCTTCAAATAAAGGCTTAATTACTTGACAAAATTTCTTTAAAAAAATTATTTTTTTTTAATATTTTTAATTAATTAATTACTTCATTAATTGTTTGTCCTCTTGCTTTAATTAACATATAAATTCCAACTAATGGAATTGCTGAAACAGAGGAAAGTGCAAAAATAATTCCGATTAAATTAGCTATTGGGGGGTAAATATAATCTTGATATTGTAAAGGTTGTAAATTAATAAAACTTGAAATAATCATTGCCTAAAAAGAATTATTTAAATTAATTTAAATTAATTAACAATAAGAAAAATAGGTGCTCCAATTGTCCAACAAATTCTATTAAATATTTAAATAAATATAATAATTTAACATCTATATTTACCTCCAATAATAACCAGGCTTAAATCCAAGCATTTTTTGAATGTCGGAACAGAACCGTTTAATACCTTTATTAAGAAATTAAATTTAAATCTATTTCTTCTAAATAACCATAAATAAAGGAAATAACAGCAGTCTCACAAAAAACAGCTATTAAAAGCCCCCATGTTGTGCTGTAAACAATAAGCCATTCCATTACTAACATTCCCCCCTAAATTAATTTTTAAATTATTTATTTTTCTTTCAATTCCCTACTTTTGTGCACATTGTTATTCCAATTAACATATAAAAAGAGAAAAGAATTGCAACAAAAATTTCTCTATTTCGTTTAATTATTGGGAATTCATCACTTAAACCAGTAATTATTGCTTCTGAACCTCCAAACTTTAAAAAATAAAAAAAAATATTTTTTTATTTTTTTAGATTTTAATTACCGAACTATCTAATCCCAATGTAAGTAACATTAGAAAAAATATTAAAGACCATATAGTTGCCCCAGGCATTGTAGCTAATGCCTCTGGATATACAACAAATACAAGGCTTTTAATAAAGTTAAATTATATTTATTATTTATTTACCCAGGACCTTCTTGGGCAACATCATTTATAGGCTTTCCACTTTTACAAGACATATAGCCAAGGACAGAAAAAATTACAAAACCAGCCAAAAAACTTTTTTTTTAAATTATTTAATATATTTTTTAATTTATTTAATAATTGCCTTGTTGCACAATTTATTGTGCTTGTTAATAATGCATCAAAATAAACATTATTATGAAATTGATTATAAGAAGAATAAGCCTTTAATTAGATTTTAAAATAATTTTATTTATTCGTTATATTTTATACCATAAGTACACCAAAGCCAGGACCGAGAGAGAAAAATACCTTTTAAAAAATTAATTTAAAAATTTTTTTTTGAAAAAAACACTTGTGTGGCAGCATCTTGCCAAACAGAAGGATTCCATAACATTTCCAAATTTGGTCTCAAATAATATTCAATACCTTTAGAAGCCCCTAAATAAATTAATTTTTAAAAAACTTTTTTTTATTATTTTACCAGGTAAAGTAATTCCACGAATTAACAAACAAAATAAAACAACATAGGGGAATATTGCTGTAAACCAAACAACCTTTTTTTAAATAATTCAAGCTTTTATTAATAAAATCAACAAACTTTTCCAGACATTTTAATTCCTTTCCAAAGAGAAAAATAACAAATTAAATAAACTATTAATAAACAAAAAACAATTCCCCAATTAATAGAATTAAATTTATCAATATTTTGAGAAATATGTGGAGTTGATTCTTTTATTTGATGCAATCCAAGAAAATATTTACTAAAAAAATATTTAAAAAATTTTTTGTTAAAAAATATTTATTTTTAACTAAAAATATTCTTCGGCAGCAGATATTGGTTTTGTTTGATTATTTCCATTAATTTCTTTTTGTGGAACACATTTATTAGAAGAAGGATCACTCCAACTATTTGGTTCGTAGCAATCGGGAGAATTATCTAAAATATTTTCTTTTAAAAATCCTAAAAATAATTAAATACAATCATTAGAACATTTAGTCCAAGGTAAATGTTCTGTTGTAAATGAAGAAAAAAAATAATGTAAAGCAAAAGCAATAATTACATTATAGAAAAAATCTGTGTAAAATGCTGTCATTATTACACAATAACCTATTCCTATAAAAAATAATTTATTTTAATCAATTAATTTTTTGTTTTTTACCTTTAAATAAAGGGCATATTCTGCCCCAAGTAGTAATTGCTCCTTTTCTGTGATATTGTCCAAGTGCTAATTCCATATAAAAGAGTGGAATACCTTTATTTTTAATTAAATTTAAAGTTAATTTATTTTTTCTTTTAAAATTAAATTTTACCGGCTAATAAAACCATCATTGTATATGGAATCAAAAAAGCGCCTATTTAATATTTAAAAAATATTTTTTAAATAAAAATATATAAAACCTCCCCCATTTTTAAAACATAAATATGGAAATCGCCAAACATTAGCTAAATCAACAGCAAAGCCAACAACAGAAAGGAGGAAATCAATTTTTCTTTCTATTTAATTTTAAGTATATATTTTGCCGTAAATCTCCTAATTATAGTATTCAGGGATGGGTCCTGCCACATTTTAAAAAACTGAAGGCTGAAGGTGGTATGTAGATTTCCCTGTTATGGTATGTAGATAAATGCCCATCCCTGTTATATCTATATCTCCTATTTAAATTATATTAATTAACCCCATGTTTCACGCTCTCCTGTATGATTTATTATACAATTATCATCATCATTATCTTCTTCATCATTATCTTCCCCTTCATTTTTTAAATCAACAAAACTTTTCACAAATTTATTTTGTTTTTGCAATTTTTTATTTTTTAAATTTAATTCTTTATTATCAATTATTTTTTCATTAAAATTTTTAAATTTCCTTTTTGAATTTTGTCTTTTTTTGTTTGGAATTGAAGAAATATCATTTAATGTTTTGGCGGTTTTTTGAGAATAACTAAATAATTATTTTTAAATTTTTACCTAAAAAATATTTACCTAAATTTATCTTCTTCTGGTGAAATTGTATCTGGGAATTTTGTTGTAAAATAAGTTGGGGAATTACCAGGAGAATAATCTACAATAGACATAACATTTTGATGAGTTATTTGAATACGATTCTGCTAAAAATTATTAAATATTGTAATTGAATAAAAAATTATTTTAGGATTTTTTCAAAGATTATGGACAATCTATTAAATTTTAGGGGTTTTTCCCAATTTAAAAATATTTTTCTTAAAATAACATTTTTTTGATCAAAAATAATTGAAGAACTTGATGCCATTTTTTGCTGTCTCTTTGATTTTGTTTGACTTTTAAAGCAATAATCAACATTTTCTGACTTTGGTGCTTCTTTATAAAAATTTTTTAATTTAATTTTAAAAATATTTATCTAACCAATTTTTAATTGTTTTGCCGCCTTCATTCTAGGTGAAGATTTAATATAAAAATGCCCAAAATGTATTAAAGTAGAAATATCTTGTTTTTGATAGCGAGTAACAATTGCTTCTTTTGGGATTCTGTCAATCTGTTTTTTCTTTTGATTTTCGCTATTTTTTAATTATTAAATAATTGGACAAAAATATTTTTAAATAATTTACTAACCAAAAATCTTCTGATTTTAATTCAGAATTTTCCTCCAATTGTTTATCTGAACATTCCAAGGACGATTCACTGCTCAACATAAGATTTATAAAAAATTATTAGACTGCCGATTATTTTGAACCTTTTCTCAAATTTTTCCTTTAAAAATAAAAAAAGGAAGTCGACAATTTTGTTTTACTAAATTATGTTTATTTGGACATAATAAATGAACAGATTTGCTTGGATATGAAATATTATTAGTATGTATACTTTAAATAAGTATACATACATAAATATTTTTTGACAGGAAAAGCCCAATCATTTTAAGATTTTAAATTGTATTTTTCAGATTATTGAACTATTAAAAAATTTTTAAAAAAACTTTATCAGAAAATAGTAGTAAAGATAGTAAAGATACAAGATGGTGAAGATAAATATAAATAATTTTTAGATTATCATCGATAGTAAAGATAAACCCGTCCGAACTTAAAAGTATTATTATTTAGTCATAACTTCGTTCAAAATCATTCAATCCGAATGATTTTGGTTCCAATCGACTCATCTCGTTCAGGCGCACCTATGTAAATACATTACACTTTGCATATCAAAATCAGCCTTGATCTAGGCAGATTTTTTTCCAGAAATTTTTGCGCAATCTTTGAGAGAAGATTAATCCGACTAAATTATAAAATTTAAAGAAAAGAATTAGCGATTCATGTTTAGTTGAGTCAAAACAAAGGTGGCGGATAATTAACATATAATAACAATTTTATTCTATTCAAATTTTTAATTTAAAAAATATTTAAATTTAATGAACTATTAAATTAATAATTATTTATTAATATTAATTCCTTTTTTGCCTATTTTCTTTAATTTATTTCCCCCAATCGGTCTAGCCATTCCAATCATATTCCCCTCGACACCAAAGCTTATGGCAAAACAATTTTGCGTGTGATAATCTAATGATGTCCATGCACCAAACCATGTATGATGTTGAAATAAAGAAAGACATCTATCTTCATACCACTTCAAATACAGAATTTTTAAAGAATATTTTTAACTACAATAATTTACTTCAATAGAATATTCTTCAGGAGGTATTGCCCATTCTGACCTATGTGTTTTATTTCCCATTGTAAGCACAATTAAAGGCATATCAATTCCGTTACAAGGAATATATTGTATATAATCCTGCCAATATTCTAATTTTCCACCTAATTGTTTATTTATTTCATTAACTGTTTCAATATCACTAAATAAATAAATACTTTAAATTTTCATAAAATTTATTTAATTACCCATATATATGACTTTCATAATTCCCTAATTCATCATTGACTAATCGAGTAAATTCAATATCTGTTTTAGAAGGTAAATTCCAACGAGAAAAACTTCCATTTTTATATTTTAATTCAATTGACAACAAACGAGTATGATATCCATCTTTTTTGGATTCGTCAATTTCAGCACTCGTTGAAGGGAAATAAATGTAATCTTTAGAACGACAACGTCCCTCAATTTCTGAAGAACCTATTTTCATATGATATTCAACATTATTCATTGTATCTCCATCACTATTTAAAAATTAAAAATATTTCTCTCCAAAAATAATATTTAAATATACGTAAGAACACTAAATACAGGTTTATCTAAAATTGGAGCTAATTGTTTCAAAGTTGAAGGAATTCCATTTGAAGAATCAAAAAGAGCTAATCCAAACATTCCCTCAATATCAGAATCTTTCCAATCCATACATTGCTGTATTGTTACATTTTGTATTAAACCAAATTTTAGAGGGAGAACTAAAGTATCACCTAACTAAATATATAGAAATAATAATTAAAATTTTATTATATGTAAACGAAAACATTCAATGCTACTTGATATTTTTAATCAAAAAAGGTTAAACGCGTTCTGTGGCTTTGATGTATAGAATTATTTTAAAAACTTTTTACATTTTAACTTATTAGAAATCTAGTCAATTTAAAAGTCTTTAAGCACTTTATGTATTTTATATGAAACAAATATGGAAATTTAAATTAACTACCAACCGTAACAAGGTCCTTTCCAATAACACCTTTGTTATGATTATCACAATTAAGTACATATGGATTTTTAGAGGTTCCAAAAAGCGAGTCTTCAAAAATATCTCTATTAGAGCTATATGTATATGATTTACTTAAATAAATAAATTGAATATATTTAATTACTTTAAATTAATTTACGTTTTATCAAATGTTAAAAAATTGTCCCAAGTAACACTGCCACTTTGAGCTACAAAAGTATCTGGTGAGCGTGTCGAGAAAGCAACGATAAAATCTTGTGCTTAATTTGTTTAGATTTTTTAAAATAATTGTTAATGTATTTTACTTTAGAAATAAAATTATTTTAAAAGTTCGAAATATCCCAAAATTATCAAAGATGATATTTGTTTATAGAAACTTATTCAAAGTAAATATGTATAGATCTGTGAATTATAGACTTATGTCTCAACCTAATGGCAATTGATTTAGGAAACAGTTAACTTTAAAAATTGCCACATAAATTTAGTTCATTTCCAAAATATACATATTTAAATTATTACGAGGAATTCCCAATTTAATTGTTCCTTGTGGATTAAGCCAAGTTCGATAATAATAACGGTCTTCTGTAATATCTATATCATCAATTTCGGCAGATTCCCCTTCGTTTCCATTTAAAACATTTTTTGCTAATTTATTTAAAAATCCAAAATGTTTAATGCTTTTATGCCATTTATTTAATATATTTTTTTGTTTCGGTTTTAATGGGTGAATATTAACATTAAATACTGCCGATTCGAATATTGAAAAGAAATTAATCAAAATAATTAAAGTAATTGGGAAATACGAAAATAAATACATTCTAAAAATTTTTAAAATTATTTTAATTTAAAAAATATTTTATCAAAAAATACAGATGAAAATTAATAAATTAAATTCTTTGTAATAAAAAAAAATAAAATTTTATAGGTATTTTCAAAAATTTTATATGAATAATGAAGGAGTGGCTAAAATTTACTGATAAAGATACATACATATGTATGTATTTTATTATTTATCTAATACATACAATTAAAATTGAATATATAAATTAAAATTTTTATTGAAATTGATTTGGAAAAATTATAAAATAAAATATTAAATAAATTATTAAAATAAATATTGTATTTATTTGAGAATAAAAAATTCTTGATTTGATAAAGGAATGTTTCTAACCGTTGCTAAATAAAAATATTTCCTCAGATTCATATACTTATTTACTGTTTGTTAATTAAATTAAAGAAGAATTTTAATAAAATATTTAGATAAAAATTTCTTAAAAATTGTTTATTTCAACAAAATTATTGAAAATATTTAAGTGAATTCATTAAAAAAATTTTTTTATCAAAAAAAGTGGAATGATAATAAAAAAATAATTTTTATATTATTTAATTATATATATATATAATTACTTAAATTAATTTAAATGTAATGAATAAAAATTTAATTTTGTTTTAAAATAATTTAATAAATATTACAATAATTTCAATAAAAAGAATATATTTAATCCATTCATTTATTCGAATAATCCAATCTTCAGAAATTGTTGGTAACAAATTTTTGATGACCTTTAAAAAATAAATAATTAAATATTTTAATTTATTTCTAAAAAACTTTTGGAAAAAATCTTTCTGTAAATTTTTGCGAATTTTCATTTAAATTAAATAATTGTAATTGTTGTTTTTTTATTTTAGAAATTTGATATTCATACCAAATTCTATAAACTAATAAAAGAAAAAATTCAAAAAGAAGAAAACGCGAAAAGCGAACTTTAAATTAAATATTTTGTTTAAAAAATAATTTAAAACTAACTGCAAAAAGGTTCGGAAGTAAAATCTTGAGGAAGAAGTTTTGACATTCTAAGGTTTTGTAATTGTAAAAGTGCTAAACAAAAAAATAGCCAAAGTAATGAAAGTTGGATAGATTGTACAAAAATAGAAATAAAAGACATTCTAAATATAATAAAATAAAAAATAAAATAAATTAATTAAACATACACAGAAATACAAAAAAGTGGAAGTGAAACTGTAGCTGTATAGAGACCATTATTTTTACGTTTTAGACAAATTTGATATCGTAAAACAGTGTTTGTTAATGATGAATATAAATCGGCCCTTTTTTTATTTTATTTATCCAAAAAATATTTATTTAATTAATTAATTACTCGCTTTGATTAGATGTAAATCCTTTAGAGTAGGCAAAGAAACGTTGAGAATTTAATGATTCAAGCTCAAATCCACTAGTTATTGTCATTTTATTTTCATTTCCAAAAAGGGAATGTTTAGTTAACATTGTTGAAGAGGCAGTAAATGTTACTCTTTTTTAATTAATTAATTATTTAAAATAATTTAAAAATGCCTGGCTGTTTGATATATAGGAGTAAATACCATTACAAAACAAGTCTAAATTAGTGAATATTATTTATTTTAAATATCTTTTCAAAAAAACTTGATTATCATTAGGATAATTAGTTAAATCTAATCGACATGCAGCTTTAAAACTTATACTCATTTCTGCAAAAATATATCCTTGATATGTTAACTAAATAATTTTACTATTTTAATTGTGACAAAATCATTTACTGTATATGCAGTATTGTGAAACATTGCCAACTCTTTTGAAGGCATTGTTCTACAAAAAATAATATAATAATTATAGCTTGAGACATTCAAAATTGCTAGTATTGTCTCAAAATTTAGAACGGTTTTTCAGTTTGGCTTGAGAATAAATCTGATCTCAAATTTTGAATTTTTTAGAAGATATCAGATGTCTAAATCTTTAATCCCAAGTCTTGTATAGACATCTCTAATTATAACTTACAATCCTTTAACAGTAACACCTGGAGACCAAAAACGACTCAAATCAAAGCCAGTAAATGATAATTTGTCCAACTGACCAAAATCCCTAGGTTCCCACGCCAAACGTTCATCCAGCCAATTCTTTTAGATTTTAATTTATTTAGAAAAATTAATTAAAAATATTTTTATATTCTAACTAAAATAAGTGTTCCATGAAATGTAATTGATTGTTGAAATTCATTCTAAAAATAGGTATTTGTCTAAGATTTTTAAAACTAATTACCATGTCTTCGATGTGATCAACCATTAAATAACTAACAATCTTTTAATTTAAGTTAAAAGATATATTAACAAAATATTAAACCTCAACAGGTCCCCCATTACTAGGTGTTGGCGGAGATTCTCTTTCGTAATGTGAAAATAATTTTGGGACCAATTCTTGAACTTGTCTTTTATTAAATAAAAAATTCTTTTAATAAACTTTAAAGAACCTATTAATTTTACTCATATCCCTATCCAACTCGTCAGGAGCTAATGGCAATGAAAGAAGGGAAAAAAGATTTAAAACTGTTGATATACCACGATCTGCACTGCTAATTCCCATCTTTATTATTTTTTTTGAAAAATTAAAATTATATTTTAAATAAAAAAATTTTTTATTTAGTCGAATGTTTATATTCAATTAATGAATGAAATTAAAGAGCGGAGACATTTAAACTTTTTTTCTCTATTATTTTTCAAAATAAACAAATGCATTGTCCAAATAAAAAAGTGATTTGGCAAACTCACAATTTTTAAACAATTATTTAAATGTTTAATACATAAAGGGATGTGATAGAGAAAAAGTTAAAAATACAAAAAGTTTAATTTAAAAGTACATATGAAAGCACTGTTTGTACAAATTGAAACTCTTGTCTAATATGATATAAATATTAATTAAATTAATTAATTTAGCTTATTAGCTTAAAAACAATATTATTATAATATTTATTCATGAAACTTTTTCCATTCGTTTAAAATACAAAAATATTTTATACACATTATCACAATAATATTTGTCAATATTAATTTTAAGAAGTAACTTTTAATGTTTATTTTGGAATTTTTAAAGCATTATTAAGTTAAAATTTAATTCTTTCAAGTAGATATAGTTGTCAAAATTTAAAAAATAATGTCAAGGAAAAAACATTAATTTTCATCCCTCGTATGTGCCAAACATTTGAAACTGTTTACATACATATTACAAAAGTCTCTGTAGATTTAAACAATAATTACCCAAAGTGAAATTATTCGAGTATTTTCTTATATATAAATATTTTTTTATTGATTTAATTATTATTTCTTCCATTCTTCTTTGAACAAACAAATTTACGAGAAGAAAGAAATTGCTAAAAATTGACCAATGTTTGTAGAATGCGCGTAGAACAATTTGACTACATATATTGACAAATCCAAGAAAAGAATCAGAAAGAGAGGAGAGACTGTAAATAAACAAGGAAAATAGAAAATAATATAAAAAATTAAATTCGGACATTCGGGAAATTTTTGTGAAAGGTAGACAAATAATGAAAGAAGCATTGAATGTTTGCCTGTATATTTCTTTATATTTATATTTTACTTTAATTTTTCCTTATTTTATTTAAAAAATTTAATAAAATATAAATTTTATACAGAAATGAATATTTCAAAATTTAATTAAAATTATAATTACCAAAAATTATATGTTATCTGCTGATAATTGTTAAAACTGTGTATTTTCTTCCATTTAAGATGCCTTTAGAAAAAAGAAGAAATGCTCTTTCAATAAATAATCAACTAGTAAATAATAATAATAAAATATTAACAAAATCATATAAAGAATTAAATAATATTTTAAATGATTGTCCACAATCAGAAGAAGAATTCCCAACAATTTCTTCAACATCTGTTAGAATTTAAATAAAATTATTAAAATAAAAAATTAAAACTTTAAGGGAAATTTTGGATTAAATTTTGTTGAGCATTGTTATTCACCTAATAATTTTAATTATTACAATAATTCCACTCCCCCATTTCCATTAATTCATTCAACAAGTGTAGCTAATTTAAAAAAATCTTTACAAACAAAAAACTTAATTAATAATCAAATGCCTCAATCTCTAAAAATTTCTTTTCCTTTATTTAATTCTTCTATACCTTCCTTTTCTTATCAAAATTTACCGTCTTCTTCCGGATTTCAAATAGAAGAGGTTAATTTAAAAGAAAACAAAACAAAATATTAATTTAAGGAAGCATTAATTGAACAAAAAACTCGATTATTTAATTATAAACAAGAAAATTACCCTTATAATCAAGACAAAGCAATTATTGAAGCAATCTTAACTTCTCCTCAAGCTTTAGTAATTTCTGGACTTTTGCCGAAGAAAATATTAGGTACTACATCATTTAAATATTTCTAAAAAATAAGCAATCTAAATATATTTGAGAAATTTAAAATTAGAAAATATTATACTAGCTAGTTTTACATTTTGGATAATTATTCTTAAATAAAAAATAATGATAAATTGCCATAATTCTTAATTATTCTTACATGTAACAATTAAAGAGGATGCCCAATTCTGGGATCAATGGCTTTGCCAGTTATCTACTTCACTTAACGCTACACAATGGCAAAAATTTTGGTATCAATATGTATCTATTTTTGGTTTAAAAGCTTTGCCTAGACATTTGCTACAATTTTTTGAAAATTTTTCTTTTAATGAATTTAGTGAAGTAATTATAAATAATATTTTTAAATAAAATTAAAAAAAAATTTTAGAAAAAGAAAGTTTTTGAGGGAAACAACAATTTATTACAATTAAATTGTGGTCAACAACAATCAACTATAAGTGGGCAATTAAATGGTTATATCTATGGAATTCTTTGTAAGTATTTTAAATATTTCTACATATATACATTTGTAAATAATCCTCACTAATAACACGAAATTAAAAAAAATTATTGTTTAATTTTATTTTCTTAAGAGAATTTTATTTGGATTGAAAAGCTTTTCTCTTATAAAAACAATTAATTATTATTTAATATTTTATCCATTTTTTAACAATTTAATATTCTATAGGTATCTATAAATTTAATCTTTTTAATTATTTAAAATTTGTAAATATTTATTTTTTATATTTTATCAACGTTAATTGGACCAAATATTTTAAATAATTTCATTAAAAGTTCAACGATTCTTTATTTTTAATTAAAAATTAAACAGACTACCTTTAATTCCAACGTTTAATTTATTTAACCTTATGGCTTTCTTAGATCAGTGAATTTGAAAGGGAGGATAAATAAAAAAAACTTTTTGCTTTAGAATAACTGACAGCTTTTCATAGTTTTACATTTGTATATCTGTCTATGAACATAAATTTCTTGTTCTTTTTTGAGAAAAAATAAAAGAATATCTAGTGAAAGCGCTAGGCTCGGATTTAAAGATCAACGGGATAAAGAAGAGATGGATCAATGAATGTCAGTATGTACATACATATCAAAAACATTTTCATGAAGAAGAGAAAAGCAAAAAAAATTATTTGAGAAACTTTTTTGCTTTTTCATATCTACCTTCTATCACTCTCCTCCTTTATTTAAAATTTATCTTCTCAAGACGTTGATCGTCTTTTGCAATCAGCTGCTGTGTATTTGGTGATCATGCTTCCGTTTTTTCTCAATGACAAGAGATTATAAAGAAGGGAAATAGCTGTAGAGGACGAGAATATTTATGTGGGAACGGAAATACTTCAAATAAATAAATATATTCAACAAAACAATAGAAGGAGAGAAACAAAAGTATTTTTTTATTTTAGTACATTTGGCAGATTTTTAACTAATCATTCGTCTTGTCGAAAGTAAGATGTGTGAATTATAAGGATAAAATTTTTTGCGGCGACATTAAACAATCAACAATTATTTTTTAGAGCTTAAACTTTTAAATAATCGACAAATTGTTTAAAAACAAAAAAGACATGTTTTTATAAAGAAATATTAAACAAAATAATATTTCTTTAGCTATTGGCTAGAGGATCTCATATTTTTTTAAATCCTTTAAGTCAATTTAGGATTCTTAATTTTCAATTATCAACAATAAATCAAAATAATTTTGTAATTACAAGTTTAGTATTTCAAAAAGTACAAACTCTCTAACGAGCCCATCAAAAGATCAACAAAGTTTATAAAATTGAAAATATTTTGTAGTGAAATTAATCCTTATTATACAACATAAAATTATATTTATATACCTATTAATGTTTATTAGTTAACAAATTTTAATTAAAAAATATTAAACAACAAAAATGGGTAATAACCATGCCAATGCAGCAGTTATTGCGATGGAACGAGGTGGAAGTGGGCATGCTAGTAGTGGAAACCGGAGAGCTCATCAAAACGACCAAGCCTATCATCTTTATCATCCTTCCAGTCATCACGTGGTTGTACATACAAATGGTTTGGAAATTAAAGAAATTAAATTAATTTAGTCTTAAGTTAATTCTAATTTAATTGCTGTTTTGAATTTTATACAATTATTTTTTGGAAAAATATTAATGACAGGATCTATTAGTTTTAAACTCCCTAAAAATTACAAAATAAATATTTATTTACATAACTAGATATATAGACAACTTTTTAAGAATTTATTCATTTTTAAGTATTTTATAGACACAAATTAATATTTTTTTTATTTTTTTACTTTGCCATTTTTTTCTATTTGAGGGTTTTGTAAAAAACAGGATGAAAGTAAAAGTGCCAACGGAATAGCTAAAATAATAAAAAAAAATAAGGAAATAAAGCCATACATTCTCTTTTATTTATTTTTTTCTCTCTATTTATTAGCATTTTTACATAAATATTCCCACATGGAATTTGTTTGTTGAGCATCAGCACAAGTATTGCGTGAAGCATTAGGCCAAATAAATGTTAAAGACGTGCTTGTCTTTTTAGTATTTATTCCTTTCCTTTCAAATTCATCTCTCTAAAATATTTTTTACTTATTAATTTAAATACTTATATATTTAAATATTTAAATATATCAATGGCTTTTTACATATATTTATAATTTCAATCTGTAATGTGCCATCCATCCCTTTCTTTTTATTTGTTATCACAGACGTTTATTTTCTATCTACTACTTTTCTTATCTTTCCTTTTCTTAGAAAAAAGAAAATTTTTTGAAAGAATATATTTTTTTATTTTTCCAAATATTTCCTTTTTCTACTTAATTAAGAAAATTTTTTGTTTCCTTTGTTTTTCAGAGACTTTGTTTTTTTTTTCTCCAACTTTGTTAATTGCTTGCTCTAAAAGTTGGCAAAAGTTGACTTTTTAAGCTTGAAAATAAATTTTTCTTTTATTTTTTTTCATTCTATAAATTTTATTTAATTTATAAAAAGTAACAACATTTATGTAAAAAACTTTAAAAATTGTTAAAATTATTTTTTATTTTAGCTAATACTAATTAAAATTTCTTTTCAAAAAATTACCAAGTATATTTATTTAAATATTTAAATTATTTGGATAACTTCGAAATTATGGTGACACGACTTGGGCACAGTGATCCATTTGCACAGTAAGACTTTTGCACAGAGGACAATTACACAGTGGACAATTGCACAGTAAAGTCTTGTTTATTCGCAAAACGACCTACCCATTTATTCGCAAAACGCTTGTTTAGTCGTGAAACACTCCAAATAAACGCAAGGCTCATTCACCTATAGGTCATAACTTCGTTCAGAATCATCCAATCAAAATGATTTTGGTGTCAGCCGACTCAACTCAAAAAGCTCTTTCGAATGAGCTATAATTTGATTCTTCGAATTTTTTACCTCAAAAAACCGCTTGGTTTACTCTATTGTTTTTCGATTTTCGGGAGCCTATATCTCTGCGAGTTTTCGTCTCCCGCGAACAACTTTTCCAACAACGGGAAAAATTGCTTATAGAACAGGAAAAATTGTTTTTGTTTAAGAAAACCCATTTTATTATTAAAAAACTTATCAGAAAGTCTAACACAAATGCACTTAACCACAAATTACTGTGCAATTGTCCACTGTGCAGATGCCCAATGTGCAATTGTCTTACTGTGCAAATGGATCACTGTGCCCGTGTCGGAGCGCCCGAAATTATTTATTCCTTTAAAGTTTATTTTTTCCTTTTAGTTTTGTCTCAAACAAATTGCCATAGTCGATTTACTTTCACTTTTATTCAAATAATTATTTATTTTCTAACCACACATACATACATCTACATATTTTTTACTTTTATATGTTGGCTAACAATTCCCTCCTCATTTCCATAGTTTCTTTCGACGCGGGACAACTACCGGCTGGCAGCTTACTACTATTTAGCTTTTGCTACTGCCATTTCATTCTATTTTCTTCGTTATTCCTCCCATAAAGAAAAGAGAAAATCGATTTATAAAAATGCCATAAAAATGTCCAATAAATGGAAAAGAATTTTAAAAAATTAAAAAAAAAGTTTTTAAAAAATATTTTTTCTATAAATTTTTAATTTAAGCTATGCTTTTACTCATTTTCAACTTTTAATCATCAATCAATCATTCGCTTTTCCCAACATCCCAAAATTTCTTTTCATTTAAAAATTCATTCGTTTCTCAAAAAATATTATTTTCTAATAAATTATTTTTTCTTAAATTTTTAAAAATTAATATTAATTTAAAATTAATAATTTTTTAATTATTTTATCAAATTATTAAATTTAATTTTAAAAAATCCATATAGTATTTCATTTTTCTCTAAAAATAATTTTTTGTTTATTCACTCATTTAATAATTTTATTTAAGTAAATTTTAGAGTATCATTAAATTTAAAAAAGCAAACAATATTTATTAAATTATTATATTTGTAGACTTCATCAGAGTAAATGAATATTATATTCTAATATATTTGCTTCTCTCCTCTTGATAAATTTTGAAATAAAGCTTTTTAAAAATTACTTGTTCTGTTCTGTCTTAATTTTAAATTAACATACCGTTACTTCGAAATGTCTAAACACAACTTTTTCACTATAAAATACCCCTCTGGGCCTAAGTAGAATTTGTAGAATAAGCACCATAATAAGCACCAAAAAAAGGTTAAGCATAACCGAAAATTCCTATCCTTAATTATTATTATTCACATTTTCATACATATCCATCTTTATTTATCAGTGAAATACAATCTATAGATTTAAAAAATTATCTTTATTTAATAAATATCTTACATCTACGTTTATTATTTTATTCAATTTTTAAAATCAATTTTATTCAAACTATCTTCGATCGAATAATTTGAATATGTAGTAATAAAAAAATATTATTTTATTTCTATTTTTTAATTCCCCTCAATATTTTACTATACCTGCACTATTTAACGAATTCCTCCTATGAATGAGCCCAAAAAATACCATTTACCCTCTAAATCAACTCTAAATATAGAAACATATAAATATATTTATTTGCTTTATAGAGGCAAAATTTTAACGTTTAATGATATTCTTCTAACTGAAAATAAGGTGCTCCTTCTAAATGATTTACATACCGTATTTCCTAAAATAGTACTCCCGGGAGTACTATTTTTCAACCCTCCTCCAAAGGGGAGTACTATTTAAGGGGGGAGTACTAATTCAGGGGGGAGTATTATTTTTCAACCTACCTCCATGATTTATCTTAGGAAAATTTGTCTCAAAATTTTAAATGTTTAAATCAATTAGAGTTCGTAATTTGAAAAATGCCGGATCCAAATTTGGATTTTCAAGAAATGTGGATTCCAAATTAGTATAAAATTGAGCAACTTGCGAGACTTTTAAACACAAGTGACTTAAAATAGGGTTATTGAGGGAAAGCAAAAAGGATATTAGTGGATTTGGAGTGATATCCAGGGGTATAATGGGATTTTAAGCGATTAAGAGATATCGATAGATTAAGTTGGATGTCGAAAAAATTATCAGGATTGAGAAGGATATTGACGTTTTAGCGGATTAGTAGGGATGCCAGGTAATTTTTGATTAAAAGCGATATCGTGAGATTTGAGGGGATAAAGTTGATATTAAAATGATAATAAAATGATTATCAATAATAATAAAATGATATTAATAAAATGATTATCAATTAATTTTTTGGGATATAGTGGAAATATCTCTGTCTAGGAATTTATCAGGGGGTTAACTAGTCTCGTGTGTATCCCTCTATTAACTAATCTCATAGGGTTAACTAATCTTGTGTGTATTCCCCTCAAATCCCTTCATCAAACCTTAATCCAATGATATCTTTTAAATCCTACTTGATCAATCCAGAACCCATTTTATCATCAGATATCAATCCCTTTATATCCCCCAAAATCCACTTTTACCCCACCAATTAACCGGATTGTATTTCTTTAATCTCCGAAAAATTTTAGGTTAAAATTTCAGTTCGTTTTCGGTTAACCGAAGGCTTTCCGGTTTTGTTTATCGGAGAATCAAGTGAAACCGACAACGCTACTTAGAATAAATAAAATAATTCAATGAGTCTCTTTTTATTTTTTCAAATATAGGAGAAAAATTTTTAGGGGGGAGTGCTATTTTAGGGGGAGTACTAATTCAGGGGGGAGTACTATTTTTCAACCCTCCTCTAAAGGGGAGTACTATTTAAGGGGGGAGTGCTAATTCAGGGGGGAGTACTATTTCAGGAAATACGGTATATTTATTTATTATTCACCAAAAAATGAATCAGTAAAAATAAAAATTCAAAGAAAAAAAATATTTTTTTATTTGCAAAGTTTTTTATTAAAATTTTGGAAATAAAATATTTTTGTTTATTAATTTCTGAAATCTTTTTCAAAAAATAAAAATCTTTTTTTAAATAAAAATTCTTTTTGGTGAATTTGTGAAATAAAAGAGTTTTTATTTTACAAAACATCAATAAATTTATACAAAATTTTTATTAAAAGTCAATGTAAACAATAAAAAAACTAATATTTTTTATTAAAATAATCAATTATTTAATAATTATTTATTTATTTATTTAAATATATACTTATTATTTATCAATCTAAAATTTTATTTTTCATTTTATTTTCTTATTTTATCGAGCCAGAAAGGTTTTTTAGTAATTTTTATTTTTCATGATACACACATCGATTTGCATATTAAATATTTGGATGTAAGTACATCAGCTGCCTTTAACGGTGGTTTAAGTTTTATCAATTTATTACACATTTTCTTTTCTCTTTTATTCAAATTTTTTTCTCAAAAATAAATATCAACTAGAAATTATTTTATAAAATTATTTCAAATTATATAATTGCTAATTCTGGTAATATATTAATGTAACATTTTATAATTTACTAATAATTTTTAATGAAATTAATTTTAAATTTTAAACTAAAATTTTAATTAAGAAGAAGTTTTTTAAATAAAAAATATAGTATATGTAGTAGATTAGTTTTGTATTATTTAAAACACACTTTCTGAATCAATTAATTTTTTAGAAAATAATTCAATACAAAACAATCATTATCAAATAATTTTTTATTTGCAGTATTTTAAAAAAAGTAAATAGTAAAAAAACAAAAATATTTATTGTAAATAAATATTTTTTAAAAATAAAAGAAAATTGAAAAGAATTTTTTAAATTGTTGAAGAAAAAGGGGAAATAGAAACCATTCATAAACACATAAAATACCTCAGTCAATTTTTTAACATACAAAAGTCTAAACAAAATTTTAAAAATTTTTTGAATTAACACATGAAGAAATAAACTCTTTAATTAAAAGTTAATGTGAAAAAATCATTTAATATTTTTAGATATTATTTATTTACAATAAATAAATAAATAAAATTTTAAATTTACATAGTTTATTCCTTTTAATCAAAGGAATAATTCCTTTTAATCTTATATATTTTTTATTTAAATATTACTTCCTTAATATTTCTATTAATTATTTTCCTTTAATTAATTTATCATAAAAAATACTTAAATATAAAATTAACAATTTATCATAACAATCTTCTCCAAATAATCCCTAAAACACAATTTTATATATTTTTATTTAATTAATCAATGAACATTTCAGTATAATTAAAAATACATTTATTATCTCTAATCAATCAATTCGTCCTTCAAACAAAAAGAAATAAAAAAATAAGCTTGCCGCTGATTTTTTTATAATTCCACCACCAATTCTCTCACTACATTCAACAAAAACAAATTAACTTCATTTTTACCCCCGCCGCTCCTCTCTCTGCGCAACCATTTAACAGAAATTTGATTCTCTTCAATTTTGGCAAATATTTTAAGAAAAACAACGACAAAAGAAAAGAGAAAAAGAAATAAAAACAACAAAAATTTAAAAAAAAGTTTAGCAATTTTTAGATTAAAACTTTGCTAAAATAAACATTTTTTAATCTTCAAATTCGTCATTTTCAAAATTAATATTTTGAAGAGAAAAGAAATTTATCAAAATTGATTTATAATTTTTAATTAAAGAAGAAATATATATTTAATTAAAAAATGTTGAAATTTTTAAAAAATAAAAATAACGACGATCAACCATGTAGTACTGGGCAAAGTGGAAAGGAGAAAACAGCTGGAAATTGTGGGTTGACAAGAAAATATTTTTTAATTTAATTATTGTGTTTAGGTTATTTACATAAGTAATTATTTAGGAGAGTAATTGAAGAATATCTCTAGATATTAAAATTCGAATTGGATTTAGTCTATCTGGCCTTCCCAAAAATGTTTTTGTCAATTTATTTAGTACGTAAGTCTTATCCAGACATGCCTACTAATTTCGATTTAAAATTAATTCGGACTGATTTTGATTCTTATTCCGTTTTATGGAAAATTTTCATGTTTTTAAAAATATAATAATTTTCTTTAAATGTCATTTTTTATTATTTTTATTTACCGCAAATCTTCTAACCACTCTACAATACACACCCTACGAAAGGATCAGAAAATAAAAGCACACTCTCTAGTTGAAGCACTCTCCAATATAAGCACATCCCTACTATGAGACTGAAAAAATCATCATTTGTAACTCTTTATACATATTTATGACATAGTTAGTAATTACTTTTTTGTATTTAGCTTATTAACTAAAAATCGCAATGCGATTTGAACACTGATCCTAGACAAACATATTTATTCTACAACTTTTATAAAAAATAATGACCAATTTGTCTTTAAAATAAACAAATAATTTTTTACTTATTCGAACCTTCAAAAATTTTTTAAGAATGATTTTATTTTTAAATAACTCTAAAATGATTTTTCTGTTCGTACATATTTGGTAATTTTGTTCAGAATCATCAAATCTAACAGATAATAAATTATATTGTATGAAGCAAAAAATCTTATGTCAAAATTTTTTTATTTTTTCACAAAAACGATTAGAATTTTGAAAGCATATTTTTGAACTTTTTGTACCTTTCTTTTCCACTTTAAACAAAATTTCTCAAATTACGCGCTCCTATCTCGTATTTTTTTTGTTTATTTTTCTTTTTCTCTTATAATGTAAAATAAGTCAGTCAATAATTTTTATCCAATCATTCATCGGAATGTTGCCAAAAACTTTGAAATTTTTTTAAATTTTATTTCCTCCTTAATTCTTTATCTACTACCTATTTACAATTTAAAATATTTTTTCATTTTTAAAAGTTATTATTATCAATACATCTCTTATTATCAATACATTCTCACCAAGTAAATTGAGGAATTAACAAAAATAGTCTAAAAAATTTGGAATTTCCATATTTAAAGTAAAATTAAAAGAAAGTTTTTAATTACTAAATAAATTACTTTAAAGAAAATCTTTTTTAAAAATATTTTTTTGTTTTAGTTTCTTTTCTATTCATTCACTAAAATGGAAACGGGAAGTAACAAATCTAAACAATGTTTGTATATATTTTAAACATTTCCTCTTTAAATATTTATTTTTTCTTTTTAATATTTTCTAACTTTAATATTGATTTTAAGAAGTTTTTGAGCATTATTTTCACTTTTAAAACTTTATATTTAGTTCATAAATATATTTTATTTTCTCTTTTTTCTCCAATAAATTATTTAAAATATTCTCAAAAAATTAATATTTGTTTATTCATTTAAAAATCATTAAAATCAAAAATCTAAAAATATTCTTTTAGATCAAATTTCTTTTTAAATAAATTTTATTTTCTCATTTTAATTGTCTAAAAAACCATCAAAATATTTAATAAAAATGTCTGTTGAGGCAAATAACACTTTTTATTCTAAATTAAATAATGATAAATCACCTAAAATTTCTTCTTTTTCTTCTTCATCTTCATCTTCTTCTAATTCAACTACAGAAAATAGTGAAGAAGACGAAGAAAATTATAATTTAAGTGATAATAAAGAAGAAACAACAACTTCTTTTAATTTTTATCCTGTAACTTCTTCAGACAACAAAGCAGGAAAGAATGATTCAAAACCTAAAGGTTTTGTATAATGTTTTAATAAATCTTTTAATGATTATTATTACTTAATTTAATTCTAAACCACACATCCAAAACCTAAACACATCCATCCACTATTGACCCTTATCTCTATTACCTATAATTATCTAATAATTAACCCTCCCCCCTAATTATTTTACGCAAACTTTAAAAATATTTAAAGAAGATTATCAAATTTAATTATTGGAACATTTTAGGACTCAATATCAAGAAATAAAACAATTTCGACTCAATTAGATTGAGATATACCCTAAATTCAACACATCCTCCTCTAACGAGAGATTGAAACAATGATTACTCAGGGTAATTATTTCAGCATTTTACCATTTTTTTATTTTCGAAGTTATTTTTCTTTAGATCTCAAAAATTTTGAGAAATATTCTAAGATTTTTTTATTTCGAATAGTCACCTTATTTTTTGGCTTTTTTATCTCCTCAACTAGAATATTATAGCGTTACTTAAATTTTTTCTATTCATGTACACCTTTCCAAATATACCAAAATAGTCAATCATTCGTCCCAACAATTAAAAAATGCTAAACCATATTTTCCTTTATCAACTGAATACTAGTCCTTTCCTCATTTTTTCTCTCTCTCTCTCCCCCTCTCTCTCGAGCCATTTAATCAGTAAATGAACTCGACTATCAACTATCTATAATAACTATTTAATTTACCTACTTACATAATTTTTATTTTCTAACTGACGGGAATAATAATATGTTTGTAGTAACAATCAATTCCACGTGATTTTACCTACAATTTAGTTTTTATTTTTTGTTAGTTTTATTATTTTACTTGACAAACGTTAGATTATATTTATAAAGTTCAAAATATTTTTTGTTGTATTTTCTAATAATATCTACTAAATTCTATTTTTTGCTTTAAATTACTCAGGGATATTTAGTATGCTGCATAGCAAACTTTTTTTTAAGAATTAAAACCCCAATAAGTTGATAAAATAAATTAAAAAGGATAGAAATGAAACAAGAAAGATAAAACCATTATTTATGGCTGATACCACGAGTGAATTTACCGACAGTTTAAATTTTTAAATCAGGCTTAAAGGCCCTCTTATATAGTAAAGCAGCTGGGCTATAGCTATTTCTCTCCTTTAGCTAGTGCAAAAGGTTATTCGGCGGCTGGGAGCGAACCAGCATCTTCAGTAGACCGGACTGATGTGTTAGCCATTACACCACGCCGCCTACTGCTCAGCCTTAGGAAATTAATAGCTATATGCTTTACAATATTTTTAAGCGGAAATTTACTTAAGACCGGTATAAATTGTTATGTAATTCCTTTCATCGTTATCCGATATGGCAGATCTTAATGTTAAAAAATGTAAACCCATAAATTTTGATAAAAGATAGCTCTTGTCTTAATTTTGCCAATGAAGATATATATACCTTAATAAAAATTTACATACAGCTTTTTCATTTATACAACAACTGGAATTTCAGAAATGGGGAGAGTCCGAGAATTTCAATCAACCTCAGATTACTTTATAATTTTATTGAAATATCTCATCAACTATTAGGTGCGGACATAATTAGTGGCCGTTTTTTAATTTGGTTTTTTAGAATTAATTTCCTTAAAAATATTTTTTATTTTTATACCGAATCATTTGTCAGTGTGTTTTCTAAATGATCCCAGAATTTGGAAATTTTTGGTTAGGTATTCAGGGAGTTCTGATCGAAAATGTCAAAATTTTCGAAATCATCAAAAATCAAATTTTTTCGAGTATATGTAATGCTAATATTTAGTGTAATATATCATTCGAAAGCTCTTCAAAATCTCTATCCGTCGGCCACAATGTCGAATTTTTAATCCGAAAGGTCGAAATTTTTTGAAAATGTCGAAATTCGAATTCCGGGTTCGACACGTTTTACAGACTTTATACCTCGGATTTAGAATAAGCCCTCTATGTGATTTAAAAAACCGTTTAGATCATCCTGATCGGATGATTTTACGCTGAGTTATAAGAAACAACTTTTTGGGGGAGTGTCGTGTCGTTTTCCCATCAGTGCAAAAGAGCGTACACGCGGCATTTGATTTGCCTTCCTCAAGCGCAGACCGCGTTTTTTGAGTCACGCGTGGACATACGTATAGAGCTGATATCCCTCTATAATTCAGCAGTAGAAATAAGCGGATTTCATCTAAACCAAACGAGCAGGACCGTTTTCTTAATGACAGCTGTCTCCCTCGACCATGTTTGCATCTGAGAGTTGTGCGGCCTTATTCATAAAGCCTGAACCCTATTTTTTGCTGTCTAGCATAGATAACGAACCCATTGACTAGCTCATTATGATTTTTTGCTTCTTGCGTTGCAGTTTTGGTAATTTATAATTTTAGGTGTAAATGCTTGTGAATTTCACTACGAGGTAGTGAAGTTCAAAAAATCATAACTTTAAGAATATTACCCATATATGGCTGTAACTTGTATTAAAATGAAGAGGAGATTCAGATCTATATGTTTATTAATAATACAAAAGAATATTTGTAAAACAACACCCCTAAAAATCTAGTCTAAAAAAACGGCCACTAATTATGTCCGCACCTAATATTTTTTAAAAATTCCAAATTTTTACATCTTTTGATAAAAATAATAATTTAAAATTTTTCTTTCTATTAATTTGTATGTTTATTTTATTTTATTGTTTCATTATTTGCAATTAAATATTTATTTTGGTTAATAATAGCATTTTACAAATATTAACAACAAACCAAAAATTAATAAAAAAATATTTTTATTATTTATTATTAAAAATATATAAATATCAATAAAATCTTTTAGCTTATATATCTAAATACTTAAAATAAATCCATTTACGTCAACTTCATTTCTAATACATAGCTCTTCTCTTTAAATTATATTTTTCATTTAATTCTTAAAACAGTTAAAAGTTTTGTCTAAATATAAAAAATTATCAATTTTTTAATAACTAAAAAAGTACTTTTCTACTATTTTATCAATATAAATATTAACTGATAAAAGAATTTTCTTTTTCTTCTTTACTTAAAAACATTTAAAATAAATTTAAATCTAATCATTTCTAAATTTATATTTTTTTTAATTTTTATTAATTATTTATTATAAATATAAAATTATATCTAAACAAAAATATTTTAAACTTTAGCCGTTGTCACTCTTTATATTAAAGTAATTCTATCAGTATTTATATTCTATGGATGGAGGAGTCTAAAGAATTTTCTGATTCCTCTCCTACAATTCAAAATAAAAAAAACAAAAACCAACAGCAACTTCCAACAAATATCCCAGTAATTGCTGAATCAGTTGTAGACGAAGAAGAAATTATTGGAAGGCCAAATACAAAAATAAATTCAATTAATGGAATACCTATTGCTCAAAGAGCGGAAGATAACGAAGAAGAAGATGATGAGGATTACGTTTCGGGTATTTCTTTGGGAGAACAAAACCAAAACTCAGATCCTTTCATAAATTCAACAGCAGAAGCTCCATTTTGTTAGTAGTAAAAATTTACTTTTTTTAAATTGTTTTTTAATTTTGATTTAAAAAAATTTTTTTTCTAACAAACGAATCAATATTGGTTCAATGAATTTTTAAATAAAGAAAAAGCAAAAAATGTTTGTCATTTAATTTCATTATTCACACACAAAATCTATTTTTATTTTTTCATTTCAAATTTCCATTTTCTCTCATTTTTAAATTAATTTCACCTTTTATTTTTTTATTTTTTTCTGCTATATTCTAGCTTTTCATTCAGCTAATTTAGAAATTACATATACAGGGTGGGGCAAAAGTTCGGCGACAAATGTTTTTAATAAAATCTATTAAAAAAAAATTTATTTAAGATTAAAAAATGATAAAATATAATCAATAGGATATATTAATCATTTTATTAAAGCAATTTCTCAAAATGACCGACCCTGACTGAAATACACGCATCCAAACACTTACGGATGTTAATCACAATGGTCGCGCATTGTTCATCGGTTATTTCGTTCCAGGCTCGCTCCAAAACAACATTAGTTCCTCCGATTTTGCGTATCGGATTCGGCATACTTTTTGCTACAAAATTGCCCAAATAGAATAATCCACGGATCTAAATCCGGTGAGTATGAAGGCCTTAAATCTTTCCGCCAAAAACCAAGAAACAGCTCCCCACAGAGCTGGATCGTCGTTTTGGCTCCACGCGCGGGTGCTCAATCCTGCTGAAGCGAGAATTGGTTTTCTCCGTAAAGCTATTATGGCCGTGGATGCTCAATCCCCCTCAGAATGTCATTTTTAGACTAGCATTAATTTTTACATTTCATCACTCTGTTATGGCGACCAGCTGCGACCAAGTGTTTAATCCTTCGACATTTCTGAAGCCTCTGATGCTTCATTCGATCGATAAGGAAATATGCGTGGCTGATCTTGTAGCTTCGAATCTAAGCTTCACTCTGACACTTCTTAGGAGGCTCCTCGAGCTCATTCGGAGATCTGAGGCCGTTTTTCACTTCGATTGTTCAGAAAAACGGCGAATTCGGCATCTGACCACGTTCATTTTTTCAGACGTAACTGCGGTTACCGGCCGGCCACTAATAGGGTGGTCCTGAGTATTTCCAAGCTCATTATATCGTTTTATTGCTTTGGAAACTAACATACGACAGATATCGAGCCGTCTAGTGATGTCACATTTTCGAACATTTTTAAAATACAAAGAAAAAATAGAATCACGATTATTTGACATTCTGTAAAATTTTTGCTTTATGAGATAAGAAAAAATTTTCAAGATAAAATGTATAGAGCACGAATCATAGAATATGGGAAATCTAAACAAAAAGAAAAATCTAAAGTAAATTTTAAGAAAGGACAAAATAAAATTTGTCGCCGAACTTTTGCCCCACCCTGTACTAAGTTTTTGATTTTTGAAAAAAATCAAAAATCTCCAAAATTTCCGCCAAGAAATCTGGCTTCCGACCTTCTAAAATTAGTGGATATAATGGGATTTGGACGGATATCGGGGATATAAATGGTGTTGAAGGATATCATAGGATAAATCTTGGCCCTCAAAAATTCAAGAAGTTACGCCTCAACGCTTAAGATTTTTCTTTCAACATACAATTCTTTCAACTCCCTTAATAAAAATTTCTTTTCTGAACCGGATATCCAAAATTTTGGTTAGGATCTCGGTTCCAGATCAGGATATCTGAGAAATATTTAGTACGTGTATTAAAATTAAGTAATTTTATCAAAAAGATATATAAATCTGTTTTTCCTATTTAATTCTCCATTTTTGAATAATTTTTCTACTTTAATTATTATATTACCATCTATTTGTGTTCGACAATTCCGCTTAAATTTTTTTTTGAAAGAAAAATGAGTATAGACAGGATTAAGTTAACAGCCTTTTACTAATAAACTAAAAATCTTTTGATTGTTGCTTGGGCTGCAACGAAGCGGAAATGTCGGCAGCGACATAAAGAAAAAAAACAAAATTAGTCCCATTGGCACACATTCAATTCAATTTATAAAAGAAGTATATGTGCTTAGCATATAAGGATTGTTAAATAAAAAATAGCTAATATAAGCAAATTAAACAAAGGGGTTAGAGAAAATTTTTGAAAATATTTAGTGAAATAATTCTCGAGAGAAGGAAGCTTTTTAGAATTGGACATAGGGGTTATAAATATATATGTGTATATACATACTATATCGACCCAAAAAGGCTTTAGTATATTTCTGAAGTTTTATATGGCATTCCCGGCCAATGTACTTTGTTTAAAAACAGAATGATATATTCAAAGATAAGAAAGAGAAAAGGGAAATAAAAGTGCCAAATAGCTACGATTTTTTGTTTGGCATCTACCAAACGAAAGCGTCAAGATTTTTTACGTATTTATATTATCTACGTTATTACCCCGGCCGTGCAAAATAAAAAAACTTTTCTTCACACTTATTTGTATGTATACTTCAATCTCTATAAAATACATACATACACATCTAACTTAAAGCATCTAACTATGCCAAAACAGAAATTCTTATGTGTACTCTTTATCTTATTTTTAATTTTAAACGTTAACTACGGCAAATAAATAACAGTGCTAATCTAGAAATAATCAAAAAAAAATTTTATAAATTATTTAAAAAGTAGTTTTCCCTTTTCTCGATTTTCTAATTTTCTTTACAATCTTTAAATATGTATATATTTAAATAAAATTCTTTTTTCTATTTTCTTCCACCAATTATTTCCTTTAAAAATATTTGGGTAATGTGATCTGTTTTCTTCATAATCAGACCTTTACTAAATAAATGACCCAAACAATAAATAAGAAGCAACAAGTGAAATTCTGTAAGACAAAATTCAAAAAAAAGTTAAACTTAATAAAAATATATTAGTGAAAAAAGAATATAGTAGGTAGTCTTAATAAAGTGATTGATTATTTACAAATTATATATATTTTTAATTAAATTATTTAAATATTTATTTTTCTTTTTTTTAGTTAAAGAATTCCTGGACAAAGCCAAAGACGATTTTAAACAGAAATGGGACAATCCAGCATCGGTGGGTTAATTTTTTTGAAAAAAAGAATAATTTATATACATTTTTTCTTTGCAACAATTAATTTGAGTTTATTATTAAATTTCTAAAATTTTTTTCATTAATATTTTTATAAAAATATTTTAAATATTTTTAAAATTTTGGGCACTTTTCTATTAGAAATTTTCAAAAAAAATTTTTTTTGATATGCTTTACATAAAATTTTAATCATTTTATATTTTTTATTTTAAATTAGTTTGGTATTTTTGTGTTATCCCTCCCCATTTTTATGCCACATTTATAAAAAAATAAGGAAAGCCTTTTTTGTTTTTTTTTTATTTTTGTTTACATTAGAATTTTTCTATAATTTTATTAAGGAAGTTTTTTATTTTTTTTATATTTAAACAAAATTTATTTTTTAGAACATACATATTATGTAAATAGAAATTTATTATTCACAAACTATAAATATAATTTTTAAAGATGTTTTGGCAATTTTTAGAAGAATTTGTTTACTTTTTGAGGATTTATTTTATTTTTTTTATTTTAATATCTTTTTTTTAAATATTCACATGCTTTTCTTCTCCCTAATTTTTAACAAAATTTTAAATGTACATATTGTTATTCGTTTTTATTTTTATTTCTTATTGTTCTTTTTTATGTAAAATAATAAAAATTTGAAAACACAAAAATAAAAAAAGGCAAATAAATACACATTTTAATTTTTAAATTTTAATCTAATTTTGACAAATTTGTAATTTGTGATTTTTTTTTAAATTGTCAAAGAAAAAATTGCACACTTAAATGTACATTTTAAGAGCTAACTCTGGATTCCTGGTAGTGAATCCAAATCGGAGTTCGGAGCCGCTAAATACTTGCAGAATATTGATATTCAGATCAGACCTTCCTCACTTTACATCCGCAGGCGAAAATTTTGAGAATTTTGGAAGTCTATTAAGAAATCTGTATTTAGACCAAATTTAAATATAAATTAGCTAAGGATACGACGTTGCTGAGATTACTCTAAACTTTTTCTAAATTTATTTTTTACTTTTAAAGATTAATTCTCTAATTTATTATTTTATAAAATTTGTTTTTGAAATAAAAAGATTTTTTTATCAAAATACTAATATTCAATCATTTAAAAATATTATTTTTTTCTTTTTCTTTAACAAACTATTTTTTTATTACTTTATTACAAAAATTATTTCTCAACCAGTTTACTTTTAGTTTATAAATATTTATATATTTATTTTTACTGACAATCATTAACAAACTGCGATCATTGCATTTTTGCTAAAAAATATATATTTATTATTAATTTTACTTTTCTTTTCTATTCATTTGATATAAGATTGCTTTCCAAAAATAGAAAAATATATTTTTATTTTTTATTTAAGCTATCTTATCTACTATGTACATCTTTAATTTGTTTAGTTATTTTTCTTTTTATTTTATTTATTTTTTAAAAATATATTTTGCTTTTTTTTTCTAATCGCTCATCTGCGCTACACATGCCCTCTTTTTTTAAATTATATTAGCGATTTTTGGAGTTTGCTGAATCATTCCTTTTATATTTCCGATAACAAATTCCTTTCTATTTTTGTCTTAATTTGCAAAAAAAATTTTTTTTTTTAATTTTGCTATCTATTTTTATATATTATTTTTAAATTCTTCTATATTTTCTATATATTGTATATTCTTTAAATTATCAGAAATTTATTTTCTTCTCAATTCTTTAAATAAAAATTATTTTTTATTTGTAATATTATTTATTAAAAATAATTAAATTATTTTTTATACTAAAATAGAAATACTTTTATGTATATATTTATTAATTTTTATTTTATTTTTCATTCATTAATCTTGCAAATTACCAATAAAATTAATAATAAATATTCCAGCATTACTATAATTTAATGTTAAAATCTTGAAAAATAAAATTTATGTATTTATTCGCGCAAGGGATTCCTTCAATTTTTTCTTCAATAATTTATTATTATTTTTTCACTTTGCTACGTCACACAAATAAATATTGAACATTTACATATTAATTTTAATATTTTTTTACAAAAGATCAAAAGCTAGATTTTTAATTTTTATAAACTTTTTTGATAAAATTGATTTAATACAATTTTTTTAATGAAAATATTTGTTTTGAGTAAAGACTAAATAAAACCAAATTTTAAACTTTAATTTATCAATAAGTATATTTTTACATTCATTTAATCATTTATTTTTGTCTATATTATTTTGAAGTCCATCTGAAAATACATGAAAATAACTTTTAAATAAAAATATCTGCCTGCTTAGGTCAATTTCCTTTTTTGGCGATCTCCCATTTATTCATCCAATTCTACAATATAGCCAAAATTTATCTAAATATATTTTTCTAAAAATAATTTAAATTTATTTATGTAAATAACCAAATTATATTATTCTTTTTGTCAGAACTTTGTAGTCTACAAGCAAAATCACAACCACTTTTTATTTCTCAATCAAAGAATTTTTAATCAAAAAACGTCGCTATACATATACTCCAACCATTTCCTTTTATATATCATTTTACCTTTTAAACACGTTGTCTTTTAAAAAATATATTTAATTAATTTATTTATATATATTTTTTGATTATTTAATTATACATTTAAGAGAGCGAAGAGCACTTTTTATAAACTTTTTTTTTCCAATTTTCTGCATTTATATATAAAATATTATTACGATCATTAATTCATTTCTTTAACATTCTTGATAAAAAAATATTTAAAAAAAGAATGTTTAGAAGCAAAAGTCAAAGCGCAGCAAAGACTAAAGACAAATTTTTTGATTATTTAATTCCAACAAAAATTACTCATATTTTCAATTTTAAGAAATTTATCTTAAATAATTTTTTTGAATATAGAGAATTTAATTTTAAATTCATTTATATTCAAGTACTTTTATCTACTTTTAATGTTTCTATCATTATTTATTATTAATTATCAACTCCTCACAAAAACTACTACACTTAAATATTTTAAATACTTTTTTTTGAGCATTTTCATGAGATTTCTGTTTACTCACTAAATATACAAACATATTTTTGAAAAATTTTATTTTTTTAACAGTACAATTTAAGTACATTTGAGAGGAGTAAAGGAGAATTTTTAAATTTAATATTTTTGTATTTAGAGAATATAAAAATATTTTTATTTTTAATTTACATAGTTCTCTCCCTATCGATATATTCTAAACAAAAATTTTTTCCTAAATATATTTTCGTCTTTCAAATAAATAAAATGCAATCCAAGTTTGTTCAGGAATTGCTTTTACATTTCTTCTCGATTATTTATTTCCTTTGCTTTTCTAATGTTTCTAATAACAATTTTCTAAAAAATTTTTTTGAAAATTTTATTTTACTTCCTAAAATAGTGAAAAAATAGAAATTTTTAGAAAAAAAAGAAAATTGGATTTACACTTTGAAATTAATTTTAATAATTTTTTATCTAGAATTATATAGAAATTTATTTTTTTAAAAGACAAAATTTTGTTTTATTTTTCGAAAATATTATTTTATTATTTAGAAAATCATTTTAATGTTTAAAAACCATTTATATTTTGCCATTCTAGAATGCTATTTTTGCATATTTTCTCTTTAATTTTCTTACCATTTTTATTTCTTTAATGCTCTAAATTTAGAAAATGCGGCAAAACATTTAGAATGTTTCCCATAAGTAAAAATGCACATGCTCTATTTTTATTTTCCAACCATTTTTTCACCAACATTTTTTTTAATTTTCGCATAAAATCGTTTCTATTTATGGAAATATTAAATGGTGAATATTTTTTTGCTGCAAATACCTAAATTAGTAGTTGTTATTTTTTTTATCGAAAAATATTTTTTTGGCTTTTGAAAACAAATGATATTTTTGTTTGTTATTAAGAAAAATATTCTTTAGACTTTTTTGTTCGGACTATGAGGTGTGCAACTCGAACCCTTCTGACATTTTTTATTATTATGTATTTGGAAAATTCTTCGACTCGGATTTTTCAAAATCAGAAACTCATCTTTGAATACATATATAAATATTAGTTATAAAATGAGCAATCTATTTCTAATCCAAACTGCGAAAATATTTGACAAATTTTAGATATTTTGTTTAAAAAAATTCTAAATTTCTAATAAATGGTTACAACTTCCCCATTATTCATGCCACAAAAAACTCAACAAATGCCATACTACAATAATTATTCAGATGAAAATAACAATTGTTTTGTTCGAGGACAAGTTCATTTAAATCGGTGGTCTCCTAAAAAAATTGATAATTTGTCACAAGGAAATGCCCAAAATCTTCATTTTCATAAAGACAATTCTCAAGTATCTAATCCAAACGGCGAGTATTTGACAAATTTTGGTGCTCCTTCTCATTGGTTTGGTCGTTTACCTGTGATGCCTTTTAATTCACTTAATCAACAACAACAATTCTATAACCACTCAAATCAGCAACAAAATCATTTTAATAGATATAATAATTCTCAAAAAGAATATATCGGAAACAACAAACATTCCCCTCTGACAATTGTAGAGAAGGCTCCATTTCCCCTACGAAGAGTTTATTCTGCAAATTCCCCAAAATCACTAGGAAGACAACAAAACAATTGTAACAAAAATAATATTATTTGGAGTTCACCTTTAATTAATCCCAAATATGCCTTGAATAATATAATTGAAGATAAAAGAATTAATAATCAATTCAAACAACAAATATTTATTAATCCACAAAAACTTCAGCAAGAACATAATTTTGTAGCGAATAACAAAAAACCTCATTTCTATTCGTCTCCTGTTTTTAGCACAAATAATAATGTTTTTCCTGTTTCTCCTTGTTTACTTCAAAATTCTGTTCCCTCAAAAAGACCAATTCAAAATATTTTTTCATCAAATTTTGATCAACAAAACAAAGAAAAACATCAAAATAATTTTACAAAAGAAATGACTAAATTAACAAAACCATCTATTCGTCATCATTTCTCCTCTTCTTTTTCCTCTTTTGAATTACTTCCAACAGTTAACCGAAAATCACCCCAACAAATGTCTTGGCCTTACCTTCAAAATGAAAATAGTATTGTCATGGAAAGAAGTAGTTTTGCACAAAAAGTTTTTGAATTGTTTAAGCAAGCTGCTTGGGCTGCTGCAGCATCTACTAATATAGCAACAACTGCAGCAACAACAACATTAGCTGGAAGTGTTATTCCTCCTTTGAGAGAATTTAATTTAAGGGCAGAATTATTTTGGTTAAAATCAGCAATGAAGGAGTCTATGCATTCAATGTTTAGAATGCAGGTTATAATAAATAATTGAATTTATATTTAATTTGTAAAAAATTGTTGCAAAGAAATTATTTAAAAAAATATTTAATAATTTAAAATTTAAAATATCCAATTTTTATTTTTTAGAATACAGCCTGTTTGGATGACTTTGATAGAATCAAAACATTAGGAACAGGGTCATTTGGTCGAGTAATGTTGGTAAAACATAAACAAAGTGGAACATATTTTGCTATGAAAATACTTGATAAACAAAAAGTTGTTAAACTAAAACAAGTAGAACATACATTAAATGAAAAACGAATACTTCAAGCAATTGATTTCCCTTTTCTCGTCAATATGCAATATTCTTTTAAAGTAAAAATAATTTTATTTTAAAAAATTTTATATTATCTACATAGGATAATTCAAATTTATATATGGTGCTTGAATTTGTAAGTGGTGGAGAAATGTTTTCACATTTACGTAGAATTGGACGTTTCTCGGAGCCTCATTCACGTTTTTATGCAGCCCAAATTGTTTTAGCTTTTGAATATTTACATTCTTTGGATTTGATATATAGAGATTTAAAACCAGAAAATTTGTTAATAGACAATAATGGATATTTGAAGATTACAGACTTTGGTTTTGCTAAACGGGTTAAAGGAAGAACTTGGACATTATGTGGTACTCCAGAATATTTAGCACCAGAAATTATTCTTTCTAAAGTAAAAAGAAGAAGAAGAAAATAAATTATTTAAAAATTAATTTTTAGGGTTATAATAAAGCTGTTGATTGGTGGGCATTAGGTGTTTTAATTTATGAAATGGCTGCTGGTTATCCACCATTTTTTGCTGATCAACCAATTCAAATTTATGAAAAAATTGTTTCTGGAAAAGTAAATTTAAATGTTAGTACAAACATTTAAATAAAACAATTTTTAAGGTTAAATTTCCCTCACATTTCTCAAATGAATTAAAAGATTTATTAAAAAATTTACTTCAAGTAGACCTTATAAAACGTTTTGGAAATTTAAAAAATGGTGTTGCTGATATTAAAAATCATAAATGGTTTGGATCTGTTGATTGGATTTCTATATACCAAAGAAAAGTTTGTCTGCTATTTAATTAAAAGTTTAATTAAAAATATCTTCAATTTATCTCTTAAAATCAAAACAAAATTTTTTTCTTCAATTTTCCATTTCACGATTGGGTTTTTTCAAGTTTTTGTGTTCTGTGCCTTGATTATTTTCTTTAAAATTTTTCTTGTTTGTACTAACATTTTTTGGTTTCATTCTTGTCAATTTTGTGATAATTTTTTAAAATTATTATTTTTATTTTCCTTTATTATTTTATGTTGAATGTAGGAGAGGGAGGGACTGTGTTATAATTTTGTATAATTGTACTATCCCTCATTTTTATTTTTTACCATTATATTTTAAAACAAAATTGACAAGATTCTTTTTCCTAACATTTATTTCCTCAAATTTAATCCAAAAAGATGTTAGATAAGCACTCACTAGAGACAAGCACTCACTAACTTTTTAGGAGCAACCTCAAAGCTTTTCTTCTGCGTCTTCTGCAAGAAATCCAACTTCACATTCCAATGACAAACTTTTTGAAGCTCTTTATCCAAAAATAACAGGACCAGCCGATACTCGGCATTTTTTGGAGGCTATAGACGAATCCCTTTCTCAAATAATTATTCGTGATGAGGATATACATTTTGATAAATTTGTTGATTTTTGAGATTATTAAATTAACATTTTTTGTTTTTATTTTTTGCTCAAATACTTTAACTATAGCTTTCCTTTCTATTTTTTGTTTAGTTTAAATGTCTAGTCCTTTTAACTAATTTTTTTAAATTAGAGGTCGGTATATTTAATTACATTTTTGGATTATAATGTAAAGTATTTTTTCCAAAAATGTGACAAGTTTGCCGGCTTTTTAATAAAATTTACATGTAATATTTTAATAAAAAATTTTAATAAATACAATTATTTTCTAATTTTTAATTTAAATAAATTAAATTATTAGTTTATATTTTCTAAAAATACAGATTGAAGCTCCCTTCCTGCCTAAGTGTCGTGGCCCAGGCGATTCGAGCAATTTTGATGATTATGAAGAAGAGCCATTACGCATCTCTGGTACTGAAAAATGTGCAAAAGAGTTCGCCGAATTCTAGTCATTTAATTTCTTCCCTATATATTTTCCTCCTCAATTACAACTCAATTTTACAATTTGTTCACCGTTCCCACTCCCTTGCCTCCGCCTGACGATGGCATTCATGCTGCCCTTCCACATATTTCTCGCAAAATGTCAATGCAAAAATGTAAGCGAGTGAATAATTTTAAAGAAATATATATTTTAGTAAATACAATTTGTATTCATATACTCTTTAACACAAATTCTATTCATGAAAATCCTCCCGTTTAAATTGTGCTACTAACTTTAATACTTATTATGTGTTAATTAATTGTTTATAAAATTAATTAAAAAATTTTTTGGTAAAGCCCAATTCGCTATTCACTTGTCCGCAAAGCAAATGCTCATTTTTCCTTCGTTTTCTTGCATTTATGAATGGTGGCGCTCTCGCTGATTTTCTTTTCTTCACCATTAAATGCCTTTTGGCACTTGGAATGAAAGAGAGAAAACAATTAAAACTAACTTAATAATTATATAGTTATTTATTTTTCGTGTGATCAAAAGGCAAATATTTTTTGATCACTTATAATTAATCATAAAGTTTTGCCTAGGAATTAATTACCCCTCAAGCAGAAATGCAAGAAGAAAAGTAAGGAGAAAAGTGCGATCCTTTTGCGGACACAGGTGGATAGCGAGATGGATTTACCATTTTTTTGAAAAAATTTAAAAGAATAATTATCTAAATTAATATTTCTCAAAAACTCCTTATTTTTAATTTTAGTATTATTTAATTTTATATTTTGCATAATAATTATCATAATATTTTTGTAAATAATTAAAAATTTAATTATCTTTTGATTTTTAACAATTAATTAATTTAATAAAATATTTTTTTAAAAAAAAGTTTAGAAAATTTTATTTTTTCAAAAATTAATTAATATGTTTTATTTGCTAGTCAAAAACTTTAAAAATACAAATGATTAATTTTTATATTTTAAATAATTTTCTTTTATATTTAAATTTTAATTGATCAAATTCTTTTTTTTAAATTTTAAATAAATTTGTTTTTAGCTTTTTATTTACACTTGAAGAATTTAATTAAATTTTCATTTAATTGTTTATATTCTACAATATGTTACATCAAATTAATTTAATTTTGTAATAAATAAAAATACTTGAAATTATCAAAATTATTTTTTGAATATATTAATTACCATTCCTTTAAAAATTATTTCAAATTCGAGAATGAAATTAAAGTATATTTTATTCGGAATTATTTTTATAATTTTTATATGATGTAACATAATTAATTTTAAATAAATTTGTTTTTAATTATATATAAATTCCGTATTTGGATTTTGTTCAATTCATGCATCTCAAAATAATTCTTACAATAAACAATTTCCTTGGCCTCTAGGTTACATTTGATCACACATTTACGTTTGTCAGCACCCTCAATAATTATTTAAAAGTATTTTATAGAGATTCAACCACTTATAATTATATTTTTAGATGCATAGAGTATATTCATACCTGTTTTATCTAAAATAAGAAACATCTCTAAATTAAGCCATTTGGATTGAAAAAACAAAATTTACAAAAAATACGGAATAAAAATATATTTTTAATTAATTTTCCTTCTTTTCTCATTTTTCTAATCTTTTTATTAAAGTAGTTTACACATTTTATATATTTTATTTTGATTCGGTAATGTCAAGTGATTCGGCATAAAGATTTGTGTTTTCATTCTTCCCTGGGTCACATTTTTATATCTTTAATTAAAGATGTTTACTTTCGTATTTTATGTCTATATTAATATATACATGGATAAAATTATTAATAAATTATAATAAATAAATAAAAATTATTCGCTAGAACGCAAACATTTTATTTTTATATCCCGAAATTTTTCAGATTTATACGCGTAAGTTTTAAATGGGAGTTTAAAAAGGAATCGAAATATGTAGGGAATTGTTTGTTTTCTTCTTATACAATTAAGGAATATCTTATATTTACTAAAACGATATACTAGATATACATAACAATTACTTTACTATATAAGATATATATTTATTCATCAAAATTTACCTATCAGAAATTATTTTTGAAAAGAAAAAAATTAAAGTAAAAATAATTTATTTTACAAAATCAAATATATTACAAAACTGGGATCAAAAAATACTAAATTAATTTATTTTATATATCTACAAAAATATATTGGGATATATTTCATTGACTAGAATCCAGCAAATTCATTAAAATAATTATTTATAGAAGATATGTTTAATAAAATTTCATCATATTCTTCAAAGTTGCTGGAATCATTTGGACCGCGGCACTTTGGTTTAAAAGGTGTTTCAATCTGTGAAAAAAAATAAAATTGATAAAAAATTAATTTATGAATATTTAGAGAAAATTGGAAAAAATTTTTTAAAAATATTTTAAACAAAACACCAACAAGAAAAAAATAACCATTTAAAAATCAGCAAATTTTTCGGCATGAATATCCTCTTCCCTAATAATTAATTTAGAAAGAGATTCATCAACAGGTTCAGAAAAATGTCTAGTATCTGCAGGTCCTGTTATTTTTGGATAAAGAGCCTCAAAAAGTCGTCCACCCCCACGAATTTTTGTTTGATTTGCAGTTTTGGCAGAACAAGTTGAAGCAAAACTTGGCGGTTGAACCTATAAAAAAGTCTTTTGTTTAGTTTACTTAAATAATTAAAAAAGGATTTTTTGGTAATATTGAATGGTGAGAATGTACAATGTTAAAATATTTTTTGTTTAAAATTAAATTTTCAAATATTATTTAAAAGGAGAAAAATGATTTGTTTGTATAAATTAATTCGGAAAAAAAATAAAATTAAAAAATATTAAGCTATAATAAAGCAAAAATACAAAAAACACTTAATATAAATTAGAATTTATAAAAAGGGAAAACAAAAATCAAAAAACAATTAGGTATGTAATTTTAAAACAAACTTTTCTTTGGTATATAGAAATCCAATCAACAGATCCAAACCATTTATGATTTTTAATATCAGCAACACCATTTTTTAAATTTCCAAAACGTTTTATAAGGTCTACTTGAAGTAAATTTTTTAATAAATCTTTTAATTCATTTGAGAAATGTGAGGGAAATTTAACCTTAAAAATTGTTTTATTTAAATGTTTGTACTAACATTTAAATTTACTTTTCCAGAAACAATTTTTTCATAAATTTGAATTGGTTGATCAGCAAAAAATGGTGGATAACCAGCAGCCATTTCATAAATTAAAACACCTAATGCCCACCAATCAACAGCTTTATTATAACCCTAAAAATTAATTTTTAAATAATTTATTTTCTTCTTCTTCTTTTTACTTTAGAAAGAATAATTTCTGGTGCTAAATATTCTGGAGTACCACATAATGTCCAAGTTCTTCCTTTAACCCGTTTAGCAAAACCAAAGTCTGTAATCTTCAAATATCCATTATTGTCTATTAACAAATTTTCTGGTTTTAAATCTCTATATATCAAATCCAAAGAATGTAAATATTCAAAAGCTAAAACAATTTGGGCTGCATAAAAACGTGAATGAGGCTCCGAGAAACGTCCAATTCTACGTAAATGTGAAAACATTTCTCCACCACTTACAAATTCAAGCACCATATATAAATTTGAATTATCCTATGTAGATAATATAAAATTTTTTTAAAAATAAAATTATTTTTACTTTAAAAGAATATTGCATATTGACGAGAAAAGGGAAATCAATTGCTTGAAGTATTCGTTTTTCATTTAATGTATGTTCTACTTGTTTTAGTTTAACAACTTTTTGTTTATCAAGTATTTTCATAGCAAAATATGTTCCACTTTGTTTATGTTTTACCAACATTACTCGACCAAATGACCCTGTTCCTAATGTTTTGATTCTATCAAAGTCATCCAAACAGGCTGTATTCTAAAAAATAAAAATTGGATATTTTAAATTTTAAATTATTAAATATTTTCTTTTTAAAAATATTCTTTGCAACAATTTTTTTACAAATTAAATATTCAATTATTTATTATAACCTGCATTCTAAACATTGAATGCATAGACTCCTTCATTGCTGATTTTAACCAAAATAATTCTGCCCTTAAATTAAATTCTCTTAAAGGAGGAAGAACACTTCCAGCTAATGTTGTTGTTGCTGCCTCAGCAGCCCATTCAGCTTGTTTAAACATTTCAAAGACTTTTTGAGCAAAACTTTTACGTTCTAAATTTAAAACAGAATTATCCGTTTTTAGTAAGGGCCAAGAAAGTTTATGATGATTTTGAGTCTTTTGTTGATTTAATTTTGAAGATGGACAATTAATTGAAGAAAAAGAAAAATGTCTTCTAATTGTTATTTTCCTTTCAAATATTTTTTGAATATTTCCTAATTTCTGTTTTTGTTGAATATCTTGTTTAGAAGAACATTCTTGATGATTTTCTTTTTTTATTAACTGATTTCTGAATATTGGTGTACCCATAGTTAATCCTCCTGTTGGAGATGCCATAGGTGAGCATGGCAAAACAGGAAATCCGTTGTGCATTCCGAATGATTGTTGTTGATTTATACCGATAATTTTATTAACTTTTACTTCTTTCTCTTGATATTTGTTAGTAGGTTTGTGTATTTGTGGAGAAAATTGAATATTATTAATTGCTTCATTTTCTTCTTTTAATTGATGTTGTTTAATATTCAATGCCGCCAAAATAAAAGAATTATTTTGATGCAATTTTTGTGGTGAGGATGGGGTGCCAGGAGTTGAACAAGTCGAAGCACTTGGAGGGGAATCGAAGCTCCATAAAATATTGCTACATTTTCTATCTTCATTTCTAAAAAACTTTCCAGCTTCTGATTGTGTTGAATTAGCAGAAAAAACCCTTCTGAGTGGATAAGGAACATTTTCTGTTGTTTCAATTAATTTTGGAGGTGTTGAGATAAGTGGGGGAGAAAGGCACAATTTATCACTTCGCTGTACAAAATAAGCAGCAGGTGATCTACGTAATGTTGTTGTTGTTGTTGTTATTTTTGAATTCAAGTCTTCTACTTCGTCAAATTTTTGTGATTGATTTTGTTCTTTATCAAAATTTGGTGTTTGTCGATTTGGCGAATTAAAAGGCACTAAGGGTGGACGACCAAACCAATGAGGCGGTGCTCCTCTTCCATATTTTGAGGAATATCCTGAATGATGTTGGTTTCTACAATGTTTATGGAGCCTTATAGAGGGATGTGCTAATGAAATAAAATGATTTTGATGATCTTCTTTTTCATTAAAAAAACAACAAGAAATATCAGATATATCCTCATCACCATCTTCACAATAAGAAAATTCATCCTCTCCCTGGGGAAGAAATTCTAAAGCAAAAAGAGAACGAGAAATTTGTTGATTTCCTAATTTTTGTTGTTTGGACATTCCAAAATGGGAAGAAGTTGCTTCTGTCCCTGAAGGAGTTGTTTGTGATGGTACAAATAAAAGACCGTTGGAATTCATTGATGAATAAGATGAAACCATTAAAAGTGCCAGATTTACAATTATCTTTTGTTTTTTAAATATTTATTATCTACAAAAAAATATAAAAAGTATACATAAATCAAGATTAAGAATAATTTAAAAAATAGTAATGACATATTAAAATAAAAGTAAAACTTTTTAAAAACAAAAAAAAATTTTTTTAATCGAAATAAAATATTAAAAGATAAGTGATTGTAATTGTCTGTTTCTGTTAATCTTTTTTTTTTAATTTTTTTTTTATTTTCAGACTTATGCGTGACAATTTAAGTAGATGTACGATAAAAAATAGAAGAATGAGAGAAGAGAAAATTGTCAAGACTACGACCGTTAATGAGAAAAAGGGAAAATAAAAAACTCTTTTTTAACTATTCACGCGAAAAAAATAAAAGTGCACGTGGAAGGGCAGAAAATAGAAAAGAAAAAAATATGAGGGTTAAGAAGACCTAATGGTAAGTGGAACGTTAAAAAAATAAAAAAAAAGGAATGAGGAAGGAGGAAAGAAAAAAGTACATTTTCATTTATCTAAAATAAAGTCTAAATTTAGAAATAAAAAAAAGAAGTATTAGAGGGAAGGAGTACATGAAAACTACTTACTACCTATTTAGTTCTTCATATTTTAAATTAAAAAAACAAAAAGGAATCAAAAAGGAATCAAAAAAATTTATTTAAAAGTAATTTAGAAGATAAATTTTAAAACTGTTTAGAGGACTGACTGTCCCTTACTTTAAATAGATTTAAAGGTATTTATTTATGTTTACATAAAAATGTCTGTCTGTTATAATTAAACATAAACAAAATATCTGTGGGCGTTGTTCTCTGTAATAAATTTTTTTTAATAAAAAATTTTATATTTAGATTTAGTTAGTTCCGTCATAAAATTATAAAAATATAATTATTTAGACATAAAACTTTTTTTAGAAAAATTTATAGTTAAAAAAAGAAGGAAATTTTTAAGGAAGTATTCCATGTATTATGCAAAAAATGATAATAAATAAAGAGTCCATCAATGTCTTTTCTACTTCCTTGTTTACTAATAAATATAGAGAAAAGGTGTTAAATGATTTTTATTAAATAACCTTTTTAATATATTTAAAAATTTAATAATTAAAGGATTTTTGAAATGAATTTAAAAATTAATTTGAGAGTACATATGGAAGGATTGAATCCGCAACGGAGTTTGTTATAAACAGGTTTGGCAATTTTTGTGGAAAAAAGAAAAGAAACTGATAATTAGCTAAATTAACAAAATCGAATCATACTTAAAACATTAATTGGAAAAATATACTGGCAATAATCTAACAAAGAAAAATATAATTGTGAAAGTTTTCTAGTAATTTTTGAAAACAAATATTTTAAAAATTAATTCTTTTTTTTTATTTTAAAATTAAATTTAAATAATATTATTTATTTATAGAGATGTACTTTGAACATCAATAATTCAAAAACTATTTATTATTTAAAAAATATGGTTTAGGGCCAAAAACAATAATAAATAAAAGTAAATAAACAATTGTTTATTTAAATTTACATTAATTTTATTTTGGAAAAGTACAAAAGAATAAAAATAAAATTAAGGGGAATGATAATTTAAATCATTATTCCATCATCTGATTTGAGACTATAAATTAAGAAATTATTTTAAATAGACAAATGAGAATGCCCTTTAAAAATAAAAAACTAAAAATAAATTTAAAAAAAAGTAAATCTAGAAAGGAGGAAAAATATTAATTAAAATGAAAGAAGAAGGGGTTTATTGTTATTCTGAAAGTTGAATAATATCAAAAAGCTAGATTTATGTATTTTTAGGATTTAATAATGAAGTGACATATTTAGAAATCTTAAAATAAATTCAAATCTTAAAATTCTTTTTGGAGATTATTTAATAAAAAATAAATAAATGTATTTTTTTAAATTTATTCTTAAAAAAGATACAAGTAATTTTTTTCATTTTTGGCCACTAGCTTATAGCAAACAATTTTTTGTTCGTTTCCCATTTAGATGAAGCAAAAAAGCAATGAAGAAACGGCAGCTTAAAAGAAGAAAAGTAGTAAAAGAGAGGTGGAGAGAGGGAGAGAATGTGGACAGAAAATTGCTAGCAAATAATCTTTCAAAAACAGTCGACATTTTGTGGAAAAAACAATAGCCTTTAGCTAACATCTGTGTGTGTGTGTGTGTCTAAATCTATTTTTAGCTTATTTTTCGAGGATATACATATATAAAATGCTTGTCGACACTATATAGTAGTAGATGGATAGCTTTATAATATATATCTATTTTTTATTAATTCATTAAAGTCTGGAAATGAAATAAAAATGTCAAAAAAAGGAAATAAAATAAAAAATAATTAAGATGTAAAAATCAAAAATATTCTCAGATTTATTTAATTGAAGAAAATAAATAATAAATATAGAAAGTTTATTTTTAGATTTTTAAATTTAATTTTTTAAACTAAAATATTCTAAATGCTAAAGAATTTCTAAAAATAATTAAAGCAAAAATAGGTCCAAAAAATATAAAAAATATTTATATTTATTATTGTGTTTTACTCCAAAAAATATTTACTTGAAAAATATTTATTAAATATTTAAATGAAATTAATTATTAAATTTATTTGGTTGTTAAAACGGTTGTTAAGGACATTTTTTATTCTTACTTAAAATGTGTAAAGCTTTGGCAAAAATATAAAAATAAATAATAAATAAATATTCTTTTTATTCTAAATTTAAAAGCAGTTTGCCAGCTAAAAACTAATAAAAACATTATTTCCATTTTTAGTAACTAAACATTAAAAACGAGAAAAAAAGGGAGAAAAAAAGAATATTTATAATGCCAAAATTGTGCCAATTTAGTTTTTTTGTTAGCTGCCACTAACATTTATTTATTCTATTTTTTTACGTTCTGTAAAAAAAGAAAAACGAACGGAATGAAGAAAAAAAGAAAAAGAAAAAATTAAAGTTTTGAGACAAGGAAAGAGAGACTGGCAGCTGACGGATATTTTATTTTTAGACAAAATACTTAAAAGTGCAAAGTCAGGACATATTAAGATGAAATAGCTGTTGTATATATATTGGGAATGAAAATTTTTTTTAAAAATATATCTTGGAAAAAAAAATAAATAAAAAAGTTAAGCTTCCAATGGTAGGAGGTAGGTAGAGATACATACATATAATTCCCAGACGTTCTCCCTTTGGTTTAATTAAAAAATAAATAAAAATATTTAAAAAAATATTTTGATATTAATAATGTTTTTATTTATGAATTTTAAAAAATCTAAATAAATAATAAGAATGCCAAATAAAAAATGGGGAGAAAAAAGTTTTTAGATAAATTGTTACTCATTTTTAATTATTT